GGCGAAAATATCCAAACTATCAGGATCATTACCATATATGGAAATATGCCAATTAACGTTAAGTATGATATGATCACTTAGCCGGGAAGATGAAAAGACCAGAGGTTCCCAACACAATAGGTTATTTCTACAGGTTATATCTAATTCATGACTTTTGTTATCAGTGAAAACTAGAACGATTATGAATATGTTTCATGTTTTTTGTGATGTGATCTAACAGACATCGTACATTAATGTAGAGTTCATTGCGTACAGAGGTTGTGCCGAAGTGTGAAGATATCAATTAACAATTAATCGTTTCTCCTTGTGTGTGGATGTCATTACCAAAAACAGGTCTGTCGATCGGAAAGCTAGTTATAAAAGATGCTATAAACTATAGTGGTAGAATGATGTAATTAAGAAAACCCTGGATATTTGATATTTCAAACGTCGTGGCAGAAATGCTCTGATTTATCTGTAGGTCTTTTTTTTAAACATTATATGTGAGTAATATACCATTCCTGTCTCAACCATGATTCATACTTCATTTCTCGACAGAGTATTGTGTCCAAAGTAAAGTAACATTACAATATTCAGGTCATATAATGTTGACTAGGAGTCGTTGTGGTGTTGTCAGTGCTCGAGGGTAAGCTTTTAAAGTAATGCTTTACAGACCAACCATCACAAAAGCTTGGTCCTGTTGTCATTCATTCCTTATCTAGCGAATGGAACTCGAGTGATGGTAGTATGATCTTGATCTTTTGTAACGGGTCACATTTTGTAATAGAAAATGTGCCGTTTACATTATTTAAGACAAGGCGTAACAAATATCGCGAATTAAGCGAAAACAAAATCTGTGGACACTAATTAGCAAATGACGTTGACGTTAAAAGTTGTTTATTTATTAAATGTATTTTCATCAACTTTGTGTAAATAACTAAGTCACAATGCATCGATTTGTTCCATCTATAAAGTATTTTGAGGTCACATCTACTAACACTAAAAGACAGACACTGTTGAACACTCCCAGCAGCTGATGGTCATCAAACAGAGGTCGAGCAAGAGTTACAGTTCTGTAACTGATGAAAATTAACGACAAATTCACTTCGGGAAACAACACTTGTGTATACACTATATTTACATCGATCGATGTGCCGGTACCGAGACTTCTGTCGAACACTATAATCTCGCTCATCGTCCTTCCTTGCCTTCGCTTGTTTCATATTACGATTTCATTACTCTTTTCTACTGCTGTTCTTTAGAAATAGCGTGATTCAAGATGGAATTAGCACACTATTCTATACTAACCAATTTGTTACTTATATGTTATACGTTGCTACAGACAATCTCACACACACTGTCAAGTTGATTCCTGTGCCGTTTTCCACAACAACGCTTCTGCTGTGTCGTGTTTTGATCCAATCATTTTTCTGAACACGTAATTATCGATTCCATTGTGTCGTTGCGAGTTTTATATTTCAAGTAATATCATCTCGAAGCACTTTCATGGTGCTTGATGTAACAAACCACAAGACTGTCTCTAGACACTACAGACATTCACTATACAGTGTGGAAAATTTGAGCATTAATATAGAAAAAGCAGTATTATGGGATGTTTTACGGTCGTCATAGTGATCGTATTGAAGAATATTCTGTTTCTTTTTGCGATGTGAAGCTGCATGTATTTGATACTCGTGAGTTTGCTTGTTAGTTGCGTTGTTGCATACCTTGTTATCATTTGGGAGCGCGATATTACTTACTTTAATTGATCAATGTTGACATAGCGGGTGTCATCGATGGAAAAGACGTTTGTTCTTCCGGAACACCTTGTCATATTCTCCTTATACTTTTTCATAAATCTTCCTTGTGAATGATTCTATCATTCATGTTTTCGTCTGGTTTCATTGAATTTGAATTGGATTATCTTCACATGGTGGTTTGGTTGATATTCGTGTGGACCAAGAACCGTTTCTTTACAACACAACGCGTTTTACTTAAAATTTACAGAATAGAACTTTACTTGACACTCAGATCAACATACATTGTCCAAAATACATGAGCGACATACCCACATCAATCTATAATTTAATTAGTAATTATTGCGGAACAACTGTTCTGAGTGGACAAACATACCAATTTTCACCCTCCACATAGTGTTGAGAGAACCGCTTGTTGCTGTGGTAGGAGTGGAACCAATCCCTTTCGGGTCGAGAATGACTGTTTCTTTGAGTTGAGAGGAAATGCCAATAAAACAATCTCCTTTAACGGTCTGGTATTTGTGTGTTGTAAATGAGTGTAGGTTCCACTAAGACCAGAATGTGACAGACTAATATAATGTCCAATTACATGTTGCCGACAAGATCTTCTCCGATTTCGTTGAGAAATCGACCTTGGCTGCTACATTGACTTCCGGCTGCGTCAATTTCCTTCCGGAAACGTCCATTGGCTTCCGGCCGAGACCAATTTATCAAGTTGGCGTTTATAGTCGATAAACAATTTGGTACCTGTCGTACCTAATGTGCTTTTATGAAATCAACAGCGAAAATCCTTGTGAAAGCTTTGTCCAACTAGCTTTCCATCACCAAACAAATGTTTGACCACCAGACTAGCTCGGGCATCAAGAAAGAACCCCCTGTTTATCAGACTAGCATGAACAACATTTGTTTATCAAGACACTTGTCTATCAAGATTTCAAGATTTATTGAAAACTAAAGGTTATTAGTACACTAGATATTATCACATAACGCCACGTTTTAAGAATGATTAACAGAAACAGATATATTTCATCCCAATGAAAGGTTATTAGTACATATCTACCTGTCTCTATACATTTACAATTCCTTGATTCTCTACCTGTCTCTATACATTGTTTACAATTCCTTGATTCTCTAGCTGTCTCTATACATTGTTTACAATTCCTTGATTCTCTATGCATTTTTTATATCTACCTGTCTCTATACATTGTTTACAATTCCTTGATTCTCTACCTGTCTCTATACATTGTTTACAATTCCTTGATTCTCTAGCTGTCTCTATACATTGTTTACAATTCCTTGATTCTCTAGCTGTCTCTATACATTGTTTACAATTCCTTGATTCTCTATGCACATTTTTATATCTACCTGTCTCTATACATTGTTTACAATTCCTTGATTCTCTAGCTGTCTCTATACATTGTTTACAATTCCTTGATTCTCTATCTGTCTCTATACATTGTTTTACAATTCCTTGATTCTCTAGGTATATTTCTATATCTACCTGTCTCTATACATTGTTTACAATACCTTGATTCTCTAGGTATATTTCTATATCTACCTGTCTCTATACATTGTTTACAATTCCTTGATTCTCTACCTGTCTCTATACATTGTTTACAATACCTTGATTCTCTAGGTATATTTCTATATCTACCTGTCTCTATACATTGTTTACAATTCCTTGATTCTCTAGCTGTCTCTATACATTGTTTACAATTCCTTGATTCTCTACCTGTCTCTATACATTGTTTACAATTCCTTGATTCTCTAGGTATGTTTCTATATCTACCTGTCTCTATACATTGTTTACAATACCTTGATTCTCTACCTGTCTCTATACATTGTTTACAATACCTTGATTCTCTAGGTATATTTCTATATCTACCTGTCTCTATACATTGTTTACAATTCCTTGATTCTCTAGGTATATTTCTATATCTACCTGTCTCTATACATTGTTTACAATTCCTTGATTCTCTAGCTGTCTCTATACATTGTTTACAATTCCTTGATTCTCTAGCTGTCTCTATACATTGTTTACAATTCCTTGATTCTCTAGCTGTCTCTATACATTGTTTACAATTCCTTGATTCTCTAGCTGTCTCTATACATTGTTTACAATTCCTTGATTCTCTAGGTATATTTCTATATCTACCTGTCTCTATACATTTTTTACAAGTCCTTGATCCTCTAGGTATATTTCTCTATCTACCTGTCTCGAACAGCTTATCCACCTCGATCGAAATTCTTTGATCTTATATACATGATTCCCCCTGTAAACGTAGTGTATCACACAAATCTTACATCTGGTAACGTAGTGCTAATGAGACCACGATTAAACAGGCCTAATTTTGATTATTACTCTCTTATCTTATACTTTTGTGTCTTTAATAAATTGATGAAACATTTCAATTTGATCTATTAAGTGTAGAAGTTCGCTTCAATACACAATAAGCCTTAACAGCAGAACAACGTGAATCTATCATGGTGGATTCCAGACACGATTGTTCAGGGTCGAAATGGTTCCTTGTCATGTAGCCCGTCTATTAGGTTAGTATGATTGATGCTACATGCCAAGCTCAATCTATGTATATTTCCAAGGTTCGTTAAATTTATTTACCATGACAATGACGTGTAATTACAGATCAAAGGTAAACGCAGTGAGGGTTGATCAATGTAAACAATCCGTACAGTCAATTTGACCTCTCATTTTTCTATTACGTTGTATCACACACAAACTATATCGGATACCGAATAAATATACAGAAAATATCTATCATTTTGTTAGCAATGTCGAAACGAATTCCAAATATTCGGAAGTATCCTAATTATCACTTGGATTTTGTGGTAAAATGGGATAGTGTCTCAGTTTATGATTATTCATAATCACATATTCCAATCTTGTTTAGATTATACGCGTGTGGTTGGGGGCAACGTTTTACGTTTTCTGAGCTAACCAGTGAAAACGCTTGATACTTGTCACTAATAACAAGGGCTTTCAAAGCTAAATTGAAACTCGAAACTATCAATCTGACCTGTCACAACAAATCTATAGCTGTGAAACGATAAAAAATATTCCTTTTTTGGTTAAATTCATCTTTTTACTGTTTGAAATAGCTATCTAATGACTTGCTATTTTCTGCATCAGCATTACAACTACGTGTCTGATATCTGTTGTGTCGGTCATGTAAGTATAGAATTTTACACAGATGACACAGATGTACAACAATGATACTCTATACTAGATATGTTTTACTTTTACAGGCTTACATCTCCTGTACGCTAGGTGTCACTAGCATCGGGCCGGTGATGATATGTTTCGGGGCCGTCAGCGCTGTAAGCTGTGTAATGATTGGTTACTTTGCCAGCAAGCACATCAAGCGATTCGCCTTCATCACTGCCGGGGCCACCTTTAATGTGGGGCTGCTGATAGTATTGTGGCTATGGAAACCTAGCCCGAACGACATTCCCAACTTCTTCGTGGTGGCTGGATGTTTGGGTCTCTGTGACGCCATTTGGCAGACCCAGACGTATAGTACGTAAAACCATGTACACTTTTTTGTAAATGACGAATTTTCCTTTCCAGAAGCATGTTTTCTTTCCTCAGTTTCAATTCATGCGTTTCAAACGCACCTGCCGGTTGTACCCTGTGGTTACTAAGGGCTTTATAGTCTTTGACATATATCAAGTTTGAAAACAACAAGAAAAAGCAAAATGTTAAGATAGTACAATCATGATCCAAACTCAAATCTAATAAAGCAATGGCAAAATATTAACAAAAGAAAGATTTACACGGAGACTCCTGAACAAACTAGGAGAATTAGACCAGGCGTTTCGGAAGAGCAAGCTCCTCTCTCTCTCTCTCTCTCTCTCTCTCTCTCTCTCTCTCTCTCTGTGTGGTGGTGATGGTGTGTGTGTGGGTGTGTGTGGGTGTGTATGTGTGTGTGAGTTTGTGTGTGTGGTGGTGGAGATGGTGTGTGTGTAGGTGTATGTGTGTGTGTGTTATTAACATAATGAATTTTTTTCGATGACACTTGTCATTTGTCATCATCAATGTCACATGACGTCGTCGAATACTTTAATGCTACAAAATGAGGCACGGTTATCTTTGTAAAGACTCCATTGCCAAGGTACATAAATAGCTCTAATGCTTTTCTTTATTTTTGATTTCAGCATTATACGGTGTACTATTCCTCGACAGACAAGAGGCTGCCTTTTCTTCGTACCGGATGTTCTATGCTACCGGATGTGCCCTAGCCTTCGGTTACAGTCATTTCCTTTGTGTTCAGACCAAAGTCTACGTCCTTGGTGGGGTTCTCGTGCTGGCTTTGATAATGTACTGTGTTATCGAAATGAAAGTTCAGTTACAGAGCCAGCATATCAAAGACATCGTTGCCTTGTAAACAAGCAGCATACGCATCACGTTACAAGAATGAATTGTACCACATAATCAGAAAAACACGCGCAAGATGACGGGATTATCTGTCTTTGACAGCTTAATCTTGTTGTCAAGAGCGGGCAGGGTCATCACGTTTGTAAAGAGGTTGCCCGAATCGCTGGTATGGTGAAGGCCTCTTACTTTATAATGGTAACATGTAACCGTAGTACCACTTGAGTGGACTGGCATTATGAACACAGATAGTTCTTAAGACCAGGAAGTCATTCCGAGATATGACTTAGATAGACAGACTACGTGTCTGTAGGTTTTGTGGACTTCGTTATTCGTGCTTGTGATATGGCATGTGTTGTGCAGAATCAAATCATTGTGACATTTCGAGACATCTCAGGACGATTCGCTCTATTTTCCGATAAGTAACAAACTCTCCCGTTAGGAAGAGAGCAAGTGGTAGCCTCGATTCTATTCGAGAAAATCACTTTTGGATACATTGTAACTTTTTCGGATGATGTTTGGCTTTGTTTAAACAGACTCATTTTGAAGTGTTTTGGGTTCAGATAGGTGAGAAACAATCTAAATGTTATGACCACCTCACGTACAGCAATGTCGTGCTCACGGAGTTATTACATTATCGCATTGTTTCAGTGACCTCTACTGTGTTGTAATTAGCCATGTATCATTTCTTTGTCGGATTTCTGTCTGTCTTTAGGATGTGCGTGTCCGTCCACCAATCATTTTTTAAGTTTCGATAAGGTATTTTCTCAAACCCAGTGTGTTCAATACACTTCTCGTCAGTGTTCGTAACCCCCTAGAAGTTTGTGGGTGTCATGTCCTGATATATAGTCTATACACTTAAATACACAGATTTGTTCTGACAAGATACCAAAATACAGGATAAGTAATGAGTTCGTATCCAACGCCTATGATAATCAGTAGCTATACCTACTGTACAGACCCCGTCATGAGTTTGTGACAGACATTTGCAGTGTTCGCAGTCGATGAATAATTGTAGAACTATTTGGTTGAATATTTGTGTGGGGATTCGTAACTTTTAACATTAGAGATGTGTAACCCAGAAACTACGTTTGTCTGTTTGAGACTGGCTTACTGGGTTCTCCAGATATATCATACCAACAGAAAATGTTATGTAATATACATGTTATTCAATCATCATTCGGTTGTTCAAGTGTTTTGAACTTCTTGTAAATTAAATGTATTATGGTATTTCATGTTTCATTTTTAAACAGCTAATTTGTTTAAGATACAAGAAGTCCACTGGAATGTAAAGTTCTCCAGTTTTTATTATTATTTTTGTCATGTCATCCAAAACTTAACACCTCTTCTTTAATGAAGGTGAAATATTCAAAATAAATAATTTGAAGATATGAATGCATTTTATTCTTTTAGCGATGAAGGTGAAATAAGGTCATTCAATTGAACAAAAACGACAAACAACATACCACCATGTTAACAGAATCTTAATGCAAACTCAAGATCGATGAAACTTGGGCAGAAACCATCATAATCCAAGATTAGATAAAAGCTCATAAAAAACAAGGAGAATAAGACCAGGTGTTCCGGAAGAGTAAGCGTCTTCTGCTTCATCGACGACACCGCCATGTTAATCGTTGTCAATGTAAGTAATCAAGTAATTAATGTCATGTTCTCAAATAAGAACAAGGTATATAACAACGGAACCTACATGCAACATCACGAGCATCAAACTCGTCCAGCTTCATATTCACAAAGAAATAGACTATTTCTCAATGAGGTCACTATGGGAATGCCAATAGTCTGTTGGAAGGTCTTGCCGCTAAACTCGGCGAAAAACTTTTCTACCAGAAACTCATTTTTTATTATTTCGTCCTCCGTATATTTATTGTTTGGTTTGAATGTATCTTTCATCAAGTACGTTTTTTAAGAAGATATTTAAAATAAGATTTCTATTTATTGAACCAAAGGAACATTGGAAGTTGGTCAAGTTCATTTATCTGAACAACAGGTAAAGTGCTTAACTCCAGTCATTCAGCTTTTAACACAATTTATTGCTAAATACAATAATGCCAGAATGAATTAAATTTAATAAATTAATTAATAATGAATAAAACCGCATCATATAGCTGTTTTGGTTCTTCAAGGAATCGTCAGTGATTATAACGGTCCATTTTTCAAAATATAGAAGGCGACTGTGAAAAATCTCGAAAGAGAAGTCAAAATCTGGATGGGAAGGTACCATACCCCTTTAATTCAATACATTTAGTAATTTTCCCAAGTCTGAACATTTCAGGAGACCACGTACCAGTAGATATTCGGAACCCTGCCACTATTTGAATGAAATCAAACGTGACATGCAGGTTATGGCAAACATTGGGACTCAAAGTCCACCAACAAGGTCTAACATCTGCCATTTCGAAGATTTTACAAAAAACATGTGAGTGACGCCTTATAACACAAAAAATCACCGAGGAGGATCGAGCAGTCTAGGATAGACCAGTTAGAAATTTAGTTAAATATTTTATTTATTTGTTCTATTTATTTTTTTTCAATACTGAAATTAAGAAATCCTATTGTCAGGAAACACGTTACCAAAGTCGCAATTCATGCTTAAATTCGATGAAACTAGGTAAAAACATGAAAAAAAAACAAACAAACAAAAACAAACAAACAAACAAACATGGAGACCATCGAAAAGCAAAAGAAAAACAAGACCATTTTACCCGAATTGAAACAGCTTTCTTCACCAACTAGTGAAAAACGGTCACGTTTTCATATGAAGTAAGTTAAAGCGACAAAACTACCAGGCAACGTAAACCTCACCCAAGAAAATGGAATATCTTCAAATAAGATCATGGTGGTAGCTACAAGGCACTCCCCTTCCTCTAAAGCGACAAAACTAACCAGACATGTTAACAGGCAACATGAAACTCGCGCCAAGAAAATGGAATATTTCCTAGTAAGAGCATGGTGGTAGCTACAAGGCACTCCCCTTCCTCTAAAGCAACAAAACTAACCAGACATGTTAACAGGCAACATGAAATTCGCGCCAAGAAAATGGAATATTTCCTAGTAAGATCATGGTGGTAGCTACAAGGCCGTCCTCTTCTCCTACCTTTATTTTGATGTATACCTAAGTTGTATGAATTGATTTCACATTAAACTATGCTGAGAACCTACCTATTTGTTCATTTATAGATATTTATCACATAAACATAACCGCATTTTTGAACGTGCCACTAATATATTGTTCCCTGAAGCATTTTTCATTGGTTGTTCTTGTTCGAATTCGATTGTGGTGACGTAATATAGACAATGGCAGTGCGACATGAATTTATGACGGTGTAACAAAATGACTGCCTCCTTTTGATTTTCTCTTCCATATTTTCGACTTTACAGTTATTTCAGAACGTAAATAGTTTTGATTTGATAAGTTTTACTTTTGCTCGACAAATCTTGTTTCAGCAAATCTCGTATGAAATAAAAACAGATATATAATATGTAAACAAAGTATTTCTCTGGCGTTTTGGCGGACATATAACGGATTGTGAAAAAAACCCCATCCTTTTCAGTGGTTCAAGATAATTTACTTCAAACAAACTACACCTGGATTCTCTTTGATATTTATCAACCACGAAATAGGATTAAAATGATTGATTTGAACAAAAGGAAATGATTATATGGAAACCCAAACAGGCTTCTGGATTAGTATGACTCTACGTCTTCCAACCGATAACCTTGAAGGAGGGTTGAGTTCGTTCATATTGATCATAAAATAACAGACCAGATTGCCAGCATGCCTCAGGTAAAAAAACTCCAAGATTTTATGTTATTGAGATGTCAATCAAATATATTTTCAAACATAACCCACTGATTCAAATAAAACAAACGTTTGATTGCACTTCCTTGACGTTCTTCCGGCAGAATACCGTGACCATGAGCCTCTTGATTATGAGAAAGTATCGTAATTGTTTTCGCGCATTTGAGCCCTCCGACTTTGAAATTAGATATGGCTTTTCAAGCATGCAAACGAACATGACCCTTATCTAAACACATTTGATGCATTTATGACCTTGGAAGTGGATCACCACAATTCATCTCAACAAACTTGATAGTTTTCCAACCTAGCATGCTTCTGCCCAAATGTCATGACCCTTGGTATCTTACTTTGCAAAAGTCATTTAGAGGGAATGTGGACAGCAGCAGGCTTTTATATAGCGGAATCAACGGGAGACCATGTGACAACAAAAAACCACCAAATTGTCAGTATAATCATAATTCAAACTCAGATTCAATAAAACTGGATCAAAATATGAACGAAAAAGGAAGATTTACACGGAGACTCATGAAAAAGTATCAGGATAATTAGACCAGGTGTTCCGGGATCGTAAACATCGTCTGCTTCATTGACGACACCCGACATATAAACTTTGGCCAATCCAAGTAAGTTATGTCACGATCTCAAATGAAAACAATGTGTAAAAATGAACCAACGGGCAAACGAGCATCAATCACGTCTAGCTTCATATCGCACAAGAAAATATAATTTTTTTCTCCGAGATCCTTATGACAATCGTAGCACTTCCCTATAATATCAACATGTATCTTTTGAAACCCTGTATTACGAGTTTGTCCGTCAGTTGACGAATTCTTGCACGAAAATCGTGGTAATGAGAACAGGCCTGCGACATGTAAAGACTACAGGTTGGGGATGCTGCTATCCTGAAATGGAAAATTCACAACGGAGAGACCGAAATCATCACTTTTATCACACAGCTTGGTGTAAAGCTGTCCATGTTTGTTTCGTAATGGAAACGATCGAAATAAGCAGCTGATGTAGAAGAGTCTGTCATGTTTTTGATTTCCGGTACTGGTGAATATATACGATAGACATGGCCAATAAATTGTCCTGCTATTTAACGAGACGTCGTCAAAAGTCTGAAAGTGAAATTAAACAACTTTGCAAAGTTTTGATGACCTATTTTGTTAAGCTCTGTAATAAAGTCGGCCATGTATGAAAACGAAAACAAGTCAGCTAACAGAGAGACAGAGACAGTTCCCATAGGTACGTCAATAATCTGTTGATCTTGCAACCAAACTCTTCGGAGATGTTCACAACCAGAAACTCGTTTCTTTAATATGATTTCGTCCTCTGTATATTTCTACCTTGTTTTTTGCTACTTTTCAGTATAGTTCACAACCATGTTTGTACACCCATTCACGTAGGAGAAAAAGTTATTTCAGTTTAGAATGAGATATGACGGTGTACAGGATGGGAAAATGAAACGTTTCTATAGAAATTTTTTTCAAAGAGGATGCTGATGATTGTTAAAAAACTCTTCATAGTTCTTTCAAATCCACAAACTATTAATTGTATTTCTTAAGTACAAATGTAAATAGTTTCACAATAAGACTGTAACCGAAATTTGATGGTATGTAGTTTTGATAAAGGCGTGGCGGAACAGTTAGACGAGCGAGCAGTAAAACGTTGTTAATATGAACTCTTGTAAAGCTCAGGAATCCAATATATTCGGATCCTTGTCATTAATAGGCCTTCTAAATTATTGTAATACCACAGGACGATTCGCCAGTATTTCGTCTTTGGACAGGTTACATAATATATATTTGTGGTTTCCTTCGTTATCAAGCGAGCCAAGTTCTCTTTGTGTATTGGACTCCTTTGTCTTCAGGCACAATAACATACCTGTAATGTAAATCTCCAAGTGTGGACATAGCATCACGACTCGGGAAAGCTGACATGTGTTTTGTTTTCATTTTAGCTTTCAAACTCTAAATTCTATTAAGAATGACGGACCGAATAGACTTAACCCACTCAGAAAGTGGCAGCAGGTTCTGGTTTCGCCCATTCTCTGGCAGAGTTTTCAACGGAGTCCATAAGTTTCTTGAAATTCATATTCCCAATTAACGGACGGGGTTTCACGATATTTAGGACCCTTCATGAAAATCTCTAGCAGCTTAACATTTTGAGTAATACTAACATCACATGTTACGGTGTGCTCAGCTGGACCATAGTGTGAACTGAGTTTTCTATTTGTATATTCTTAACTTACGCGTCCCTTTCAATCTGTCGATTTTCCCTTTTTTATGTAATATAATATCTCCTTATGGAGGAAATAAAGTTTGATGAAAATGTGTGCCCAGCTGGACCATAGTTATAAGTAAGGGTAGAACAAGAACAAGCTGATGGAGGACCAGTTATAAACGTAATATCTTAAGGTAATTTTAAGTAAACTTAAAATACGCTTAGATATAAATCAGCTTCCTAGTGAGCCATACAATGTATGCTGTGTACTAGTAGTGGTCTGGGCCCTAGTGGTCAAGCTAGGAGTCTCTTTAGATAATATTTTACTTTTACAAACGTACATTTTAGTATCTGTTTACGATAACAGACAAAACAGATAATAAACAAGTAGATGATATGTGATCATCTAAAATCCTTTTTCTTTTCACTAAAACAAGAATGATAATATGATCAGCCCTGCTATTACTGAGTTGGACATTCTCGTTCCTTCATGAGTATACACAAGCTACATAAGCAAGGAACTGCTGAGCAACACGGCTTGTCTTATTTATACCCTTCAATATTTCTAAAGAGCAGAATTTACTCATACTTACTCCTTTAAGTTCCCCTTTTAGATAAATATAATGTCTAAAACATCACGACATTTTTTTCACCTTGTCCATCGTACATAAAGTCTACCACTCAGAAATGGAAATCAGTCGCTCGCCTCGATTTTTTCCTACTGATACGCGTGGTGATTTCAATTTCCCATTTTGTGAAATACTCCTCTCCTGATAGCAGTTTCCTGTCCTCCCGACCCATGATGTCTACATGTCACGGTCGATACGATGTTCAATGAATTGTAATAAACATGAAATGTGCAAGATGTCGACAGCTGACAACTTCGACAGATGCAGGTTGATCAGATTATGGGCAAGTTTAATGACAGACATAATGATCTCATTAGTTAATAATCTATTCCTTGTGCAACATGAAGTGGGACGGATTTAATGATCATTAATATTCCTTGTTCCCGTTATTTTGTTCTCACTAGGGAACGTGACTTACTTCGATAAACAAATATTTACATGGCGGGTGTCGCCATGACATAAGACTTTTCCCGAATACCTGGTATCATTCTCACAAGTCTCCATTAAAATCTTTCGTTTGCTCATATCTTTTCACGTTTCACCGGATTTAAGTTTGAAATAAGAGTGTGTTGACATATCCGTGTTTCCTCTCTTGTTTTAATATTAGCGCATTCAACATTTAAAAGTTTGATAGTACATTACTATGAAACATAAAACATGAGATTATGCCAGAGACGTATATATACCTGTGTTATATATGTCTCTGATTATGCTGTGCTAGATGTTTCAACTCACAGCCAGCAGTTCGTCTAGCTGCGGATCAGCTGACCTCCAAATCAATGCAATGGTTAAAAGACTATATTCAACACAGCCAACAATGGTAACTAAATTTATTTACCATTTAACAGCTGCAATTTCTTACAGTCATGTGTGTGTCAATCACGGAATTTTTTTTAGTAATTCAACAAATATGTACCGATTGTTTAATTTAAAAAATAGACAAAACCTGGAATGTTATTTGTAAAGGTTTTAAAACCTGTTTTAGTATAAATGCAGTCCTTACTGTCTATGTATCAACTTTAAAACGAACCTTAATTCAGGGACAACTTCTATCCAGCCTTCATTCAAACTCACAAGTTAGTTATATTATACAGCAGACATATAAGAAATAACAGTTAACAATGAATCGGTTAGATCTACATAACAATTTGTTGTGTGTATATATAATCATGTACAAATAAAATATATCAAATGGTCTCGGTTTGTAGATCATAATGTACGTTATTTTCCATTTTTTACAGAATTTAATTAATTGATAGACTTCTTCATAAAGCATGTCTTAACGGTAATAGATGTCTCAGAAAACATATAAAATGAAAAATGAATAAACACGTTTGTCAATCAACTCTGTTTTGTTAATATTTCATTAATTTTCCTTGTAAACAGTAATATCCCTGCTGATATTTAAATACATGACACTTTAAATCATGCGACACTAAATATGGCACAGCATCATGAAATAATATAATGATATACATCATGGTATACTGCACTTGTTATCAGTATTATATCAGTGGTCGCTGCTTTCTGCACTCTCTTTCACTTAGTAAGATAGGGAAATAATGTGGCGACTTTTCCTTTAATAGAACTGACATAGAATGGATATACATGTTTACTGTTGAAGTAGGTGCCACTAGGAAGTCATCACTTACATGTACAACCTTTTTTGTATTGGTAATCCTCCTATACCATATAGAATATAACGCCATCACTACATCATGACACTATTATATGTTTTAACCACAGGAAACACATGCTACTGTAAAAGTGAAAATTTAAGCTAGGGGAAATTAATGCTAATTCAGCAAAGATGGTTAAATCGCACAAATTTCCCCAGCGCATAATTTGTGATATGCTTAAATTTTATTGACAAAATAAAATGAAAATTGATCACAAAAAAAAAAAAAAAAACCAGACATACAGTTTACCCACAGAAATTGCAAGATTAACCCCTCTTGAAAATTTCCATGTCTACAGTAACTCAACTAAAATTGGTTGGGAAATGTTACATGTTAACAATCATCTCACTTTAAAACAATATTTCTAAATTGAATTGAAATATAAAAAAGTATAAAATGCTTCCAATCTAACTGAACCTTGACAAACTGAAGGAAAAAACAAACTTATTCAGAAGAAATAATGTAAACATTTTTATTAAATAAACTATATAGCAATCAGCAGATCACCTAAGAAAAGTAAAATTGTTACTTTGTAATCTAGGTTCACAAAAACATCATCATCATCATATCATCATCATAAACCTCCTCCTCCTCCTCATCATCACCATCATATAATCATCATCATCATCATCATAATCCTCCTCCTCATCATCATCATCACCACCATCATATAATCATCATCATCATCATCATCATCATCCTCTTCCTCAACATCACCATCATCATCACCATCACTATTCTACAATAACAGACGCTAAAAGGTTGGTGTACTTGCACTATGAAGTAAAAGTTTTATGGCTGTGACAGTTGTTATACCACCACAAACTCTGGACAGTCAGTCTAGCATATTTTGTACCGTGGAAGCCCTTTAGTAACATGATATAAACACGGTTTGTCTAGGCTATATAGGGCAGCAATGGGGACACCAAAGTTTGTAAGGACATCACAAAGAACAAAATACCTACCCATAACAATTTCTTCACACTCAGTTGTGTACATATGTAAGAAATCTATTTCATTTGTTCGGTAAAAAAAATCTTACAGCATTCTGACTAAAACCTAAGATTGCACACAATCAATATTACTATGGATTTTTTCTCTACAATAAACAAATTATAAATATCAAAGCTACCAACAATATATCATTTTGTTAAAAATATTCCTGCTGAATTCTATGATCTCATGCTGTTTATAGTACAGTAACTCCTTGGTAAAACACATGTCTCAACAAACCAGGAGTACGTAAAGTGTCAGGTAGGGTTAATATATTAGTAAAAAACCAAATGAAGACATGTAATAAATTACACAGTTTTAATTCCGATTTTCATTTACAAATATAACTAAAATAGTAAAATTGATCGAATGTTAATAATGATTAAAAAAGTTGAAATAGAGATCAAAAATGTAGAATTTTTATCATTTTTTCTACGTCCAAATTCTGATATCAATGAAATAAATATGTATGAGTGGAAATGTGTAAGGTATTTTTGTGTTATGTTGAAATAGAGGATGGAAAACAAATATGTCCTGGTAATCGATGTGAAAGTGAAACATATTTTTAGTGTTTAAATGTGAACAGGTAACTTTGTTTTGTGGACGAAATATGAAAGGTATTTCTGTTTTGTGGTTAAATGTGAATGATATTTTTTTTAGGTAAAGTGTGGAAGATGAAACATCATTATCTCCCTGTAATAACGGATTATAAATTGGATATAAATTTGTACAACAATTGTAAATATAATTAAATCCTGGCATTAAGCACAGATGTAAACCTGTTAGATTAGTATAGAAAGATTATTCCTTAACTTCACAAACATTGTGCACATAAGTGTTCATTGACCATTTGAATTTAATACCGGGTCATTTAAGAAGTCAAATCACAAATTTGTCCCGACTAAATTTGAAATACGCATGTCCCTTTTAACACCAGATTTGAAACTTATTTTTAGGAGTCCTAAACATAATTTCAAGGGTCTACGGAATGCCCTGAACCCTGCACATGTTTAATATGCTTTGTAAAAGGCGGGGGTAGTGTTGCATATTGTGGTCATTCACAAATTACATTTCCATATTAAAAAGAAATTATCATATTTGAATGAGAGAAAAAAAATCATGAAAACAGACATTTTAGAATCTTGACATAATCATATCTGTCGGTGGGGTTTTCCTAAAATGTTGGGTACCAAGTTAAAATATATCTCAAGCTGAATCTAGAAATCTAAACCATTCAAGGAGAGTGTCTTACAGATGAGTATTTATTATCAAACTTGTCACGACTAAGGATAGAAATTCTATTTAGGCCGATAAATCTGTCTTTATTTCATATATAACCTAATATATAACCTAATATATGATGCAAGCAAACTATATGTACTTTGATAACGCTTGAAGGGACTTAACTCTTGTAATTCTGAACAAAGCGGGGTGAAAATTGAACTAAAGGAGGATAATTGTACAGATTCTGGGCATAAGATAAATCACTGAGATCCAGCATTGTATTTTATTGATAAAATAAATCATTGATTCTTTCATTAACACATCATCTCAAACCACAACCGAAGTCTGGAATCTCTTCATCACATTCACTTCCTCTGAATTTTTCAAATGGGTTTTTTTTCTATCGTTAACTGTATTATCATCAACGTGGGTGGTATATAGAACAACATAACATTACAAACATTGGTAATATTTAGATATAAATGTATACACCTCATAACATACCATCATGTAATTTATTTCTATCTAGTAAAGATGTAAACAGTCCTCACTTCAATTTTATTATCCATCAAAATATGGTCTTTTACCGCATGGCTTCCAGAACAAGATAAATTTCATTTTTTACCTGAGATAAAAAAGGTTTAAATTCTAGACAAAACTCCACTGCTAATTGTGGAGTAGTTTTCAGCACTAATGGAAGTATAACATTTAGAACGACAGAACAATGGAAAATACCACAATATCAAACAGCCATACTGCGTTATCAGCAGGGTGCAGTCAAATCAGTCACTGCTGATCCTCTCACTGATCTCAGGGACATATAAAAATATTTCTTAGAACACTTCAGGCAGCACAAATTTTCTCTCTCATCTCACTTTCCGAGTAAGACTTAAAACAGCAGTGAATTACAGGGTGTTTTTAAAAGATAGACATGAAAGGTTGAATATAGCAAATTATATGTATTGCCTGTTGTAATAATAATTCTCTCCAAATTTAATTGGACTAAATATCAGTGGTTAAAATAATCACAAAATTTCCTTGAACATTCATTTTAACTTCTTTATAAACAACTACATATACACTTGTGAAGGATAAATAATATTACTGATCAAAGAACAACTTGATAAATTGAGTATGGTAGTCATTCATTCAAGATACAAATTATAAATATCAGCTTAAAACAATATATGTCCAGTTCTCAATGATCAGGACTGTCACACTCAACATTACACAAGCACTGTATGTGATATTCTGATCAGGACTGTCACACTCAACATTACACAAGCACTGTATGTGATATTCTGATCAGGACTGTCACACTCAACATTACACAAACACTGTATGTGATATCCTGATCAGGACTGTCACACTCAACATTAAACAAACACTGTATGAGATATTCTGATCAGGACTGTCACACTCAACATTACACAAGCACTGTATGTGATATTCTGATCAGGACTGTCACATTCGACATTACACTGTATGAGATATTCTGATCAAGACCATCACACTCAACATTACACATTATAAGCACTACGAGATTGTGTATCTATCCATCGCACACATGCACATTCTTACTGCTTATGTAGTATTTCTTTTTTTTTCAATTTCTAAACTGAAATGAATTATTGCCTCATTAAGAATATAGCATTGTAACTACCAAGGAAGTTGTAATATAGGCCACAGAGTACTGTCAACCATACATTCTCTGTGATCAGCCTTGTAAATCACCACACACAGCTGTACGTGGTGAATGGAAGTCTTTAACGCTGACCACAAAAAGGAAAAATATTTCAATTGTAGGTACTATATAATGAAAACGCTAATCACAATTAGGTTCACCAACTGGCACCCCGTTTTCTTGCAACTTCCTGTAAAAAGTCAATGTGACTGGCATAGATCTCAAGTTTACTTGTAAGGTCCATCCATTTCACTCCCACAGCATCATCACCTGGAATAGAGAGAAGCAGTATAATATAGCATCTTACATGAGTTTACTGTCATTTGTGTAATGGATGTAATTACAAAGGTAACACGATAGTAACTTATGTGGTTAAAAGGGTTGTTATCAGAGATTTTGGGTTTAAGTACAAAATCTTCTAGTTAAACAGAAACAAATGTCACGCTTTACAACAAGACCTTACTGAGATTAAGGATTCTGCTGTGTACCTGAAACATTACATAACATATCCTGGATATCTATATCAAAGGTGTGACACGATTGGTTCTAAATATCATCTTTTTTACAAAACACATCCTAAATTTTTCAGGCCTAATCCAATGATACATACGTTGAACATCCGTCCCGGTAATACTTCCTAATAAACTTACCTGCATGTAACTTGATTTGACTAACTCCTGTACCGTCCCTGTATCACTTCCTAATAAACTTACCAGCCTGTAACTTGATTTGACTAACTCCTGTACCGTCCCTGTATCACTTCCTAATAAACTTACCAGCCTGTAACTTGATTTGACTAACTCCTGTACCGTCCCTGTATCACTTCCTAATAAACTTACCTGCTTGTAACTTGATTTGACTAACTCCTGTACCGTCCCTGTATCACTTCCTAATAAACTTACCAGCCTGTAACTTGATTTGACTAACTCCTGTACCGTCCCTGTATCACTTCCTAATAAACTTACCAGCCTGTAACTTGTTTTGACTAACTCCTGTACCGTCCCTGTATCACTTCCTAATAAACTTACCAGCCTGTAACTTGATTTGACTAACTCCTGTACCGTCCCTGTATCACTTCCTAATAAACTTACCAGCATGTAAGTTGATTTGACTAACTCCTGTACCGTCCCTGTATCACTTCCTAATGAGCTTACCAGCATGTAACTTGATTTGACTAACTCCTGTACCGTCCCTGTATCACTTCCTAATAAACTTACCTGCATGTAACTTGATTTGACTAACTCCTGTACCGTCCCTGTATCACTTCCTAATAAACTTACCAGCCTGTAACTTGATTTGACTAACTCCTGTACCGTCCCTGTATCACTTCCTAATAAACTTACCTGCATGTAACTTGATTTGACTAACTCCTGTACCGTCCCTGTATCACTTCCTAATAAACTTACCAGCCTGTAACTTGATTTGACTAACTCCTGTACCGTCCCTGTATCACTTCCTAATAAACTTACCAGCATGTAAGTTGATTTGACTAACTCCTGTACCGTCCCTGTATCACTTCCTAATGAGCTTACCAGCATGTAACTTGATTTGACTAACTCCTGTACCGTCCCTGTATCACTTCCTAATAAACTTACCTGCATGTAACTTGATTTGACTAACTCCTGTACCGTCCCTGTATCACTTCCTAATAAGCTTACCAGCCTGTAACTTGATTTGACTAACTCCTGTACTGTCCCTGTATCACTTCCTAATAAACTTACCAGCATGTAACTTGATTTGACTAACTCCTGTCCCCGATTCGTCATGGAAATTGATCGCCACTGTCTCCATCCAGGAATTATCTGTATTGCGCGGGTCATCCACGTAGCCTCGATAGACCTGTCATTAAAAGTCAACTTAGTATCTATGCTCAAATACATTTAGTCAGATGACACAGTGGTCACACTCTGGCCTTCCAGAAAGACATCCAGGGTTTAATTTCCCTGACATGAAAAGGTATGGGGTCAACTTCCATATTCTGAAGGTTTTCCCCCAGATACTCCAACCCAGGTACTCCAATTTCCCCTCACAGTAAGACCCCTTCATATGCCCCAATCCAGGCCAACAAGCGTGACTAGGATATCGGGTAAGTCGGATTACTTGTTTTACAATTTTTGCAAGATAAATAAAATCAATGTTTTTTTTTATAGAAATTGCATATTTTCTAGAAAATACTTTTGCTACAAAATAAAAATTGACCAAAGAATCAGATATGATAACTGAGTGACTTACGCGTTTCAATCCATTACCAAGCTATTTGCCACACAACACGACCTACCTTAATTACAGTTAGTGATTAATTTTGACTTCCTTGTACACATTACTTACCTCGTCGCCATGTTGAAATATATTACTAATTGCTTTTTCTAGATTCTCCTTTTCTTTTTCAGACATTTCTAGTGAGTTCATGGCTTCCTCACCAAACTCACGTTTTAAGGTTTGTGTGATGACTTCACCGGGATCAACCATGCCCTGTGAGATTAAAAATATATCTAAATAATATTGATTTGAAATCATGTAACAAAAAGATATGTATTTCTATTTGAAAGATCAAACTGAACTAAACTTAGGAATCATTCCTACTATATCTTAATAAGTAATGGATTTAACAGTGTTTGAGAAATGACAACTTACTGAGGAGGACTCTGATTACATACCAACAGATCCAACACCACTCCTCTAAGGGAAGTGTGAAATGTTTTTAAATTAACTGATGAAAACAATAGCTTTCATAAGGAAACCATGTATGATACCCAAATCATGACACCTGAGAGAAATCATAGTAATCAAATGAAACCGTGACATTAAAAAAAAAACAAAAAAACAAACAACATCACCAACCAAAAAAATCTGCAATGTACTACAGGTAGCCATGGAATTATGTCCTGGATAACAATGACAAACTATTCGGTCTAAAAAGGACTACTCAGGAAAATAATCTGGGGTAGCCATGATTGATTGATAGCCTATCAACAGAGTAAAGGTTATAGGACAACTGACTGTAATTACCCACATCATACACGATAACTTACCCCAGGTATAGCCCACTGCTTATTGTCAGACCTCTGGACTGCCACAAACTGTAATATATCTTTTCCATCCTCTCCTTTCACTTTTTTATTATCTACATCTCGTAGCCATCTGTAACAAAATTTTAATCATGGGAGGTGATACTGGTTTTACAGTCATACACTTGTATACCGTATATGAAATATCGGCTTAAAATTTTGCAAGGTTTTTTTTGATGACAAGATGTCCAATGGCCTTGACCTTTATCTGACAAAGAAGACCTATTGATTATACAGATGTGGTAATGCACACACATACCCAAAATTTTGTTCACACATCATGACCAACACACACTGTACACTGTCTAGAATTGCACATTTTGTGCAGTGTGGTAAAAATGGTTGACCAATATTATGGATTGAAAATTAAACAAAAAAATTGTGCAGGTATGATTAAATGGCAATCACATATCAAAATCAGTGACTATAACAATGATTTTTAATTTGACAGTTTTTGAAATAACAAAGGACCCTGCATTGTTTGGTAGTTCTATCATATAGGTTCACATCTCAGAGAGTGACTTGGGAAACAAAAATTACCTGTATGTGGGTTAAAACCTTACAGATTGTGTAAATTTGTGCGATTGCCAAAACTGAATATCAGAAATTAGTGGTAGTGGGAACATTTATCAAAAGAATACCGGTAACACACTTCTGAATTTAAGCAGTGAAGGTAACAAAACCCAAACTTTCTTTCCTTCAGTTTCACTGGGAACATGATAATCTGGACACTGATGGTATGGAAAATATCATATCAGATGGAAATGTTGGGGTACAGATTTCTGCAACAATTGTACTCACCAGCCTGGAAAATCAAACCCCCTATTCAGAAATACTAGATGGGAATGGAATGAACTTTTAATAGTAATATTTTTGCAATACATGTACGTAGATAGATACTAATTACAAAATTATATACGAAGTAAAAGTCCAAACTAAATGTTTTATAAATTCTGAAGCTCCGAAGATTTCTACTGATAAATTCATTCTACATAAAAATTATAACAAAATGTCATCACATTCAATTACTCTACCCCAAAACACCAACTATCCACCTTACCGTGTTACAATAGGGTCTGCTGCATGATTTGGTCCCCAGCGACCTAAACAACCTCGCCCTTTAACTCCTGTTCGTCCTATTGGATTTCTGAAATGATCACAATATATGTGATATCATACCATTAGATTAGTGAGATCTGATGAAAACTGTTGCTTACATTATGTCAAAGCATGCACTACTTCAAATGCAATTTCATTACGATTTGAGATAAAAAATGATCCAAGCAGATACATATTCAAATATCTACATACCTTAAATATGAATTAAATATATTAAAGTTTGACTATTACTAAATACAGCAGGAAATAGAGAAATCTGGGCACCAATTCCACATAAATACCTTGGGAGGTTGTCATTTCCTAAATTGTAAGACCCCATATGGCTGGCTCGACTCACTTTACCATCTAGAGCATTCCATTTCATTTCAGCAGTTGTAGTTCTTAAAAAATAATATATAAAAATTGTAAACATTTCTGATTAATAAAGCATAATTAGCATATTACAGTAAGATCAACGAGTATATAAGTATATAAGTATATAACAAACAAGAGATCCGAGACCCATCTTGGCATCCATTATCATATGATCATAATAGTTTATATCATGAGAAGGCAAACCTATACATGAAATTAAAGGAGGGGGGGGGGGATCCATTACTTGCACAAGAAAGAACAAAGGGAAGCTTCAAGTAAATTTTAACAAAAATCCAGGAATGCAGAAAAAATGAAAAAAATTATTTTGATACAAGATGGCCACCTAAGCGACTGTCCCAAAACTGAACTTTCATCATAATTAAGGAAATGGAAATCTTCATATAAACTGAACTTTCATCATAATTAAGGAAATGGAAATCTTCATATAAAATTCTAAATTTATGTTTCTAATTATGACAAGAAATAGTGATAACGATCTTCACAAAATATTTTCAATATGATCACCTCCCAGTCATTTTTTTTTTTGCTTTTCATATCAGTCTGAAAAGGGAATGAGCACCCATGCACCATAAGGGACACAAGGGAGCCTCCATGAATTTTGAAAAAGATCAATCCTTCTCATGAATAATGATCAAAATATTGTCAAAATCCAAGATGGGCACATATCAACCATTTTTTTCCCTACTCACTCTCAAAATTGTGCATGCTTCACTAAGAACCAAGAGGAAGGTGTATGTATATATATTAGTGAAAGTTTAATTCAGCATTTTTCAAGAAACAAAGGAAAATTTAATTGTCATACTCTGAATTAGCCACTCTTCAGTCATTCTGATTTTCTGGTCATTCTCAAAATTGTGTAGGCACCACTAATAATATAAAGTCCTACAAATAGACTTTGAGACAGATTTATACACTGCTTATCAAGAAATAACAATGACAAATTTCAATTTTCCAAATCAAAGATATTCTCTTGTCAACTGAAGGGTAAGTGGGCAATATTTATGTACCAACAGTGCATTATAAGGACCAGTCAAGTATATATACTTACAACAGATCTGGATCTGCCCAAACAGGACCTTTTAATACACCTTCTGATGTGTAAACCACAGGATCATACTCAGGATAGTCAACGTCCCATTTCACATATTTATCTTCTACTTGGAATCTTTTCATCTGGGTTCTTGGATAAATTTCACCTCTAGCCTTTACATGAAGCCGGGTCAAGAAACTGTCTACCCGTTGTATCTTTGCATGTTTGGCACACTCCCCTTCCGTCGTCATTTTGGCTATTGTTGGCTTGGCTAATCGTGTAGCTCTGCTTCCCATACAATGTCTCTGTATAAAGAAAACAATTCCTAAAGAGTTCAAATTGCAAAAATCAAATAACACCCAGATTTACCTCATATTTTTCTGTGGCATCCACAGATTTAACCCACAATTATCTGAGGCAATATATAGATATAAACCACCATTAAACACCAATTAATGGTTACCATGGCCACTAATATCCACAGATACACAGGTACTTTATGTATACACAATAACCACAGGTGGTCCATAACATCTACAGATTTCCCCCAAGTATTACCAGAAGCCAATAACATTCACACTTATACCCCACAATTACAACTGACCAATGACATTAAGATTTTCCCCACAATTACTAGAGGTCAATAACATTCACACTTATACCCCACAATTACAACTGACCAATGACATTAAGATTTTCCCCACAATTACTAGAGGTCAATAACATTCACACTTATACCCCACAATTACAACTGACCAATGACATTAAGATTTTCCCCACAATTACTAGAGGTCAATAACATTCACACTTATACCCCACAATTACAACTGACCAATGACACTAAGATTTTCCCCACAATTACTAGAGGTCAATAACATTCACACTTATACCCCACAATTACAACTGACCAATGACACTAAGATTTTCCCCACAATTACTAGAGGTCAATAACATTCACACTTATACCCCACAATTACAACTGACCAATGACATTAAGATTTTCCCCACAATTACTAGAGGTCAATAACATTCACACTTATACCCCACAATTACAACTGACCAATGACATTAAGATTTTCCCCACAATTACTAGAGGTCAATAACATTCACACTTATACCCCACAATTACAACTGACCAATGACACTAAGATTTTCCCCACAATTACTAGAGGTCAATAACATTCACACTTATACCCCACAATTACAACTGACCAATGACATTAAGATTTTCCCCACAATTACTAGAGGTCAATAACATTCACACTTATACCCCACAATTACAACTGACCAATGACACTAAGATTTTCCCCACGATTACTAGAGGTCAATAACATCCACATATATACCCCACAATTACAACTGACCAATGACAACAACAGATCTCCCCACAATTACCAGAGGCCAATAACCTCCGCAGATATACCCCCCAATTACCACTGACCAATGACACCAACAGATCTCCCCACAATTACCAGAGGCCAATAACCTCCACAGATATACCCCCCAATTACCAGTGATCAAATGTGAATTATGATTTTAACCCTGACCAATGTTATCATAATCACTATTAAGCACAGGACAAGCTATAAGCTACAGTTGTGTAATTTTAAAGAGTGTGTTTGATGTGTTTGGTAAGAAAACTGGATAAGATTTAAGATATATTTTGTATACTTCCCCTAATTTAGTTGTTGCCATCTACCACTAAATGATCTAAATATAAATGAAGTTATATATTATGTATAATCTTCATTTCTTACTTTATCATGTACATTTTTGTAAATGCACAAGATTAATTATAATGAGAAAATTCAATATGACTGAATTAAGAACTAATGATCTGTAATGAGGGCCATGAAATACAGGTACTTACTTATAGATTAATGACACTTATTGATTCTTTGATTTTAAATTATTTGTTGAAAAATCAATTAACATTTGGTCTTTGTAACATGGTGATTTATTTCAGGTGAAAAAACCCCACCTGGTCTTTATCTTGAGCCTTTAACAACTCCAGCCAAGGTAGATTTATTGATGTTTACATGTGTATATACCCGGTAAGTCATAAGCGGCCATGAATGACATCTGAGAAAGCAGTTCAGTGTTGATAGGTACATGTATAATCACCAGGAGGTGAATATGGTAAAATTGATTTTTTTCTCAATCCAACCTTAACATAATTATATCTGAAATCAATTCTCGTTCAAAAACAAACAAAAATGTTCACAATGAAAAGGGAGAAGAAACAAGAGGTCCATAGGGCATGTATTGCACACCTAAATTGCTTCATCTAAACTAAATGAAAGGCCTTTAAACATGAATATCTATTTATCCTTTTAGGGCTACCCCTCTGCCAAGGGAATGAGACACATCATTCATACAACATTATATTCCCACACATGGATGCTTCTGACCAAGTATGGGTAAAATTCACAGTTAATATGAAAATGATTCCTATTCTCTCTACGATACTTAAGAATGAATTTAGGCAACTTCAATCATTTCTACAGGAGTAGGATTTTAAAGAACTTAAATGTTGCCCCTAAGGCCCCTGTGACCCAAGACCCACCATCTGTACAAAATTGTTCCACTTCCCCAAAGGATGCTTCTGATGAAATTTGATACAAATGCCCCAATTCTATATGACAACTAACAATTTGAAGAAAAAGTTTACTGAAGACAGATGCCGGCAGTATATGGCATAAACTCTCCTGTCCTTCAAACCAGGTGAGCTAAAAAAAATATACACATATCTTCACAATACCAGCATGTGGAGAAAGAGAAAATGTTAAAATGACTTATACTAAAAGATATCAGATGTTTAAAAAAACCAAAACAAACTTCAAAAATACAAAGCAACGTACAAATTCATTACAGTCACTTAAATTGTGAAGGCTGGGCAAAGTTGTAATTGACTTTTAATGAAACCAGTGTTAAAGGTGACCAACATTAGAAAGCTTTGTGGGAAACACCTTTACCATGTTCTCAAAATAGGAAGTTAGCAAGCAATCACACTCTGTAGGAGAAACTTGGAGAAAATAAGTTGGTTAGATAAGCCAAACATTTATGTTCTGTTATATAATGAAGGCCATACATGTGAAAATGAGGTAATGATATCACTGCATTATAGGTCATATTTAAAGCTTATGATGTAAACTAAACTGAGTGGGATGTCCTATAATGAAGACCTCTTTTGAACAGAGGCATATCTAAAGCATGTGCCTTGTTGGATAATATTAACTGAAATTTATTGAATGATTTTTTTAATGAACATAACAAAGACCCTATTTAAAGTAATTTTGATAAAATGTAGGCAGAATACATTAATTTTTTTGTTTTTTTTTTTTGTTGCTGTGTTATCAACTCGAAGACAGCCACCTGAAGAGTCGTTTGGAAGTGAAGCTTCCTGGTAGTAACTGGTGGTTACTTCACTGAACAGAATGCAGGAGTGTTGTGTATTTTCAAAGCAATTGAGGTGAAGTGAGTCTTTTTTCGTTTTAGGCAATTTTCTATACATGTGCCCATAGTTTTTTGTCACATAATTTAAGCATAGGTCCTACAGGCATTGCCATATCATTGTACCAACATACATCTTCATGTTTAAACTCCAAGCAGCAGGAAAATTAACAGTAAGTGGTGACTCAAGACCATTACTTCCCTACTTATGGTGACTCAAGACCATTACTTCCCTACTTATGGTGACTCAAGACCCTTACTTCCCTACTTATGGTGACTCAAGACCATTACTTCCCTACTTATGGTGACTCAAGACCATTACTTCCCTACTTATGGTGACTCAAGACCATTACTTCCCTACTTATGGTGACTCAAGACCATTACTTCCATACTTATGGTGACTCAAGACCATTACTTCCCTACTTATGGTGACTCAAGACCCTTACTTCCCTACTTATGGTGACTCAAGACCCTTACTTCCCTACTTATGGTGACTCAAGACCATTACTTCCCTACTTATGGTGACTCAAGACCATTACTTCCCTACTTATGGTGACTCAAGACCATTACTTCCCTACTTATGGTGACTCAAGACCATTACTTCCATACTTATGGTGACTCAAGACCATTACTTCCCTACTTATGGTGACTCAAGACCATTACTTCCCTACTTATGGTGACTCAAGACCCTTACTTCCCTACTTATGGTGACTCAAGACCCTTACTTCCATACTTATAGTCAGCTAAAATGTTATGTCATTTCACAAACTTTATAGGCTGATGAAGGTCAAGACATTTGAAAGTGAACTCTGAGTTTTATATCTCGTATATTGGAAAACACAGGAATGATGGCCTACGATGAAGAATTTGTTAGAAAAGATTTCATCAGAAGTTAATGCTGGGTGATGGTGATCAATGCATCATTACAAACGTCAATCTGGGAGAAAGAAATCGCTCAAAAACAAGTAGAGGATGATGTAGGGAGAAAACACTTCTAAAATGAGATGGCAATATTTACATGATAAATTACCTTTAAATATAGATCCCCAAAGTATCCGTGCATATTATCCATGCATTCATTCCTCACCTGAAACACATCGTATCATGCAGTGACCTACATATGTCCTTGATCTCATTCCCAAAAGATGATGTAAACATTTGAATTCTTTACACAATGAACAGCAATTTCCCTGTTGTTATTAATATAAAAAATCCCAATTATTCTGTCTTACTGAACAATTCAATATAAAAACTTTTTAGCTCCATTTATTAATGTATGACTTCTTTATTTAATCAAATCTTCGCTGAAAATAGATTTTATTTCAAAAGAAGCTCCAGTAATTATCAACTATTCGGTAAGACTAGCTAAATACATTCAAGTTTTCTACAAACTTGAAAAACTACAATGTGGCAGCAGGAAAGCAGTAGCTGGTTGTCTGACTATGCAAGAATAAGAGAAAAATGTAAGAATAAGTTCTGGGAAGAGGTCTTTCTTGCATGAAAAAAATTCACAAATCTAGAAGAAAAATATTCAAACCAAAAATAAGTTCCTAATATGTCTTTTTGGTTCAATGAGAGAACTAAGATATAAAAATTTTGTGTTTTACGAAAACTAGGAGTAGTAGTCATTAATGATATGATAAAAGAGTAACGTTACTTTTTAAAGTTTTCTAGAATTCAAACATATATACAGTAGTAGAACAAATTTACTGCAATATCTGGGTATCATAACAGCTATTCAGGAACTATGTAACCAACATGACTACACCTATCTAGAGATAAATATTCAATTTATCCCAAGAATGTATTATGAAGTATCATGTCAAGAACAAAATGAAAACGCACAAGAAGAAGATTACATGAAAACATCAAAGAATCTTGACCTGATATTTCACAAAACATTTCAGATTTACAGATATGTTTTTTAACGGTATACAATATGAGTTTTTGATTCGATAGGATATAAAACATTACAACCTAGGGATCACATATACATGTATATAAAGTGGATACTTGGGGAACCCACACTATACATGTACCAAACTGATACACACATTACTTTTTTTTAACAAAACAACGTGTGAAACTGTCGTACATTTCTGAGCCATATGATCATTGATCTATGATACATCATTCACTGTCACTGAACATTTACATTAGGAATCTATCACTTCCTGTAAGCATTAAACAGAATTGAAAGTGGAAATGACAACAAAATTGTTTCCTGTTTTATCATAATGTATGGTCTAAGTTAATGTGTTTTAAATGGTTCACAGGACATTTGACTGATACACATGTAACAATTTCCTTGTATCTTTCTATGCTTTTTAATAAAATAATAAATTCAGTTCTATTTATTGTCTGCCTATTCAGAGATATCATACCAATATTGTGTTTGACAATTGTAGGATATCCTACTTCTCAATTGGACTGAACATATTACAAACGTATCTCAATGTTGCTTTCTTGGTTATTATAATAACTTGGATTTTACAAAAAAATTCCGGAAAACAGCATATCATAATAAGTGGGCTCCATTGTATACCTGTTGAAAAGAAATTGATGGTTGCTGACTTTTCTGTAACTTAAAAAGAAATCTATTTCCATCCTTTATTTTGTTGAAAATAAAAAAAAACAACAACATGAAATTCAATTCATAAGTCATGCTAACTATAGAAATTCTTTTTGAAAATTTACTTCAGTTGTAACTTTTTTTAAAGTTTTGTAAAAGATGCCTTTGAAAAAAAATGGAGTCAATTTCAAAGTGTATAGAACAACATTTCCCACTAAATATATTTAGTGTGTTTGGCAACATTTAAAACTTACTGATTCAGTTAAAAAAGCTCTACATCTGTGTGGAACCTGTATGTATTAACCTTCTGTAATTATTGACAATACATGGGTTTATATATAAAATACAGATAGTTACTATTGTCCATTCCAGATTCCTTATATGGACTTTCAAATCATTATCAATGTCATACTTGACTGAATAATATATACAGTATTGGTAATGATCAGGGCTTCTCTATATTAATTACTATTACTCACACAATGACCTACCAAAAACTGATGATTATCAGATATCTGAACCATTAACATAAATAACAGAGGGGTGGAGGCGCAACGTCCCTGCAGGGTATTCAGTTCCATATAGTGGCGGTGGGGATTTAACCTAAATGTTAACACTGTAATTTTCCTGTATCTATAAGTTATATATCAATACCAGTAATAAGTCCATCAAAATCATGACCAGAAGTTTATGTAGAATTACATTGTATGACCTAACAATGGCAATCATTTTCTTGTTATAAGATGCCCCCCTCCCTCAAATTTGAGACAGATGTGAGGTTTTGTTAACATCAAGTGCATTACACTGCAACTGCATACAAAGGTGAGGTGCACATATTCATGACCTGTTTGATACATCAAACCATGTGACAACACGTGGAAACACAGCATGCATGCGCATGTGACTTATAGTGTATGTTAAAGTCTTATACACAATAACACATCATTTGCACCCTGACATCTTCCTGTGAATAATTTATCACAGTTCTGTTTATGTTGGTATCTTCCAGTTCCAGGTGTGGTTAAGGAGAGCAGACTAGTTACAGTACAGACCTTGTGATTGTTTATACTGCTAGCATGTAAACACTGCTAAAATTGTTACAGGTTTTTCATCTTTTGGGAACAGACAATCTTCATATTTTGAGACAGAGTGGCCAAAACTTCAAGAGTGTAGAAAACAGAAAAGATGTATTCTTTTTTATAAAATATATAAAACTACTGTGTCATATCTGAATAATCTTCTATCCTGAAATGTTAATGATGTATGGTAATATAACCTAATAAAATACCTTGCTATCATTTAGTGTCATACGAAAAGTCTTTTATTCCGGACACAATCAAAATGTGGAATTTGCTATATACATCAGTTAGGAATTCCAAGTCTTTGAACATATTTAAAAGCAGGATTACAAGGAATGTACCAGATAGATAGAATTCCTCATTAATATTCATTAGGCAACAGAAAATTAAACATTATTCAAAGTAAACTCAGACACAGATGTAATGCACTAAATTCAGATCTTTTTAAAGTCCATTCTGCAGCAAGCAGTTGTTCATATGAAGTTGAAAATGTTATCAAACATCTTCAATCATCATTTATATGAAGAAATCAGAGACACTTTTTTTTATTGAATTGGCAAGACACAGAGAAATTAATATAGATTTAGATATCTTGTTACACAGATTAAGTGTATTTTCTTTGAACGAGAATAAAGATATATTTCTGGCAGTTCACAAATATAAAAAGGGTTCAAATCACTTTAATTTTCTTTGAATATTAACATCAATAATAGTATTAATAATAACAACAATAGTGTACATTTACGTCAAAACATGACGAGATCAAGATGATTTTTTCTTAAAATGGGTCAGTCTGGATCAGATATATGTCAGAGGATAATTAGGAGTGGCTTAAGGATATTGCGTTTTTGTGGAGCCGAGCTACTAACATTTGATAAGATACAATGTTTAAGGTCATTTGTTGTTAAAGAATGTCAATACCATCCTGCTTTGATAGATACAGATTCATTAAAAACAGAAGTATACATGCGCTGAAATCTTAGGATTGTATTAATATCATATGTTCTGTGTCATTCTCATACTTAATAACAGGTGTTTTGGGTGCCAGCATAAATCATTTTATCTATTATTCTAATGTTAATCATATCTATAAATCTATCATAAAGAAGACATCATGTTAATAAACAGCAGTGCATTTTGCTGTCTTTTGGATCACCTATATGTATATTATGGGAGAGCAGATTGAAAAGTTTTTTAACTTGTGTACCATCCTGTTTGATTTCATCAAATGAAATATGTTTAAACTAAACTGCTAAGCAGTGTTAAAGTAAACACTGTCCATGCTTATTCAGCATTGAGTACACCTGTCAGAGAAATTCGTGGGACACACCTCTGAGAAAGGTAGGCTTAGACAGGTGTAATAAATATATTTCAGAGTTAATATATAGCAGAATCATTCCGAATACTGGCATGTTAATTAAAGTGACAATGGCTTACCCTCTGTTCATGAGAACTAGCTGGACAAACAATATATATTGCTAGAACGAGGAACTTCACTTGCTCAAACAGGAACGCCACAGTAAAACCACTCCACACCCGGTATGACGTCAAAGTACTTCCGGTAGCAGGTGCGCATTGAGATTACGTTAATAATACACGCAGTAACAAACGAGGTTGCGTCAAAATATTGTAAGGGTAAGTTGCGATAACGTATATACTATTCAGGTTCATAGTAACAAAGAAATAAATTGTTTGTTTATTGGTTGTTAGCTTTGATTCTTTGATATTTACTAGACAGTCGTGGTCGGACTACTTTCAAGAAATGAAAGTGCAGATGACTTTGTCACATTCGAGAGTCCTGCAAAACATCGTGGAATTAGATACATATTGTATATTAACGATATGTACATGTATGTTAAACAATTTGATCATGCTCCTAAAATTGCAGCATTGATGTATTTAAATACATTGATTAGATTGAATAAATAAATAATTGATTTATACATCAACCTGTACGTGAATCATGCAGTGTTTGTTGCTTATATGTTTGTATGATAGGAAGGAGTAATGAAAAACATCCTTCAACCGCCGAGGTTTGAATTATCGAAGCAACCCCGGAAGCTGTCGGATTTTAGTTAATCAGATATATCTTTTCTATTTACAACAACACGTTTTATCCTACAACAAAATGCAGGAATATTTTTTGTTGACAATAATTGGTATTTTGAGCGTATGCTTAAGCATGCAAGCATACATTATTGATTGTCGATATAGTTTATACGCCACTATTGACGGCTCCCGTCGGCTGTCAAGCTAATTCGCTGTACCAACAGGGTGAACCGAAGAGCAGTTATTATGGGAGTTCAGAATGCGTTGTCAGTTTCATCTTATTTTTCCGAAGACAGTTAACGCAACTAAACTTTATTTTCATGGGTAACATGATTGACTCAGTATTATCTGACTTTGTTTGTGAATATGAAATATTGTAGAATAAAAAAACCTCTTCATACACACACGACGTACTACAATGGGTGAATTCTCACTAACGGAGGCGACCTGTGCTCTCAACTTCTACATTTATCATTTGGCACATTAACCTTCCGATTTGGTCTGTTAATTTTGATAATTCTAACCATAGATCTACATTTAAAAATCACTTTATATTTATCAACTGCAAAAGATTATTCAATGCCTTTCAATTCACTTTTTGTTACTTTGATAAACTTTGCCATTTCTTTCTCTGGAAGCTGGCAAACGGACCGACGTTTGTTGTCGTGGTTTTGTCCGTGGGCAAAACACTTTTACTAGAAGGCATGTGTCGGGCCTCCCCAATGTTATTCCGCCTCAAAGTGACCATGGCTGTTTCCTGAGCCATGATCTGGCAGGGATTGACGTACGACCTTTTGATAACACTACCTATTTGTGCTTAGACGCTGACGAAGAATTCAAACAAGAAAGAATAGGCCCGTAAAATTGGAAAACTTCTTCTCAAGTTCTACACGATCAAGAGTCATTATATTACTTATGATCGTTAGTTATTAAGTGTGATAAATATGAATGTCCTTCCTCCGCTTTCAATGTCACAGGGGTCAATTTTGTTCAAATCATTTTATTTTCATTGGCTCCATTTCAAAAAGTAAGTGGTAAAAGGTGATGGTGTTTGATAATTTGCATATTGCGCACGATTGCTTTTGGACTTATCTATTTTTAAGTTCATTGTGAAACTCGTTCTTCCGTTTATATGTAGATGTTGCGTGAACGGTGTCTTGTGTTATCCTACAGTTGTACCTTCCCCGACAAATTTCACTCATGAGTGTCCGATTAGTTTTACTTCGGTATTTTTTTTTATTATGGAACCGAACAAAAGTCAGTTATAAGTACAAAACGCGCTAGAATTATTAGCTGACATCAGTTTAACATCGACAGCTGATCGACGTCTGATTTATCTATATAACGACTTTTCGGCGAACGAGAACGATGTCTGAGAACAGGTGGATAATAGGTATGCTAACTAGTAACGCATATCCTCGTGGGTGTATTCATAACTTTCATTTATGTGTAGATTTTCTAAGTAAACACGTGCCGCCTGACGACGAAATGTTTACAGGTAAAACAGAAAACACCGGATCTATTTTTAGCACACGTAATACACAACCAAGCGATGTTGGTTCCCAGTGGTGTGTGTAAAATTACGCCGGAATAACGGGAATGTACCGACAGTATCTGTATCAGCTGTCACTTTTATCAGGTGTTAACGCCAGGGTTGAAAGTGACAGGTAAGTTTGCGTGAGAACTGCGTTATTTAGATAGCTCTGGTGACTCGCTAGACAGGATTTTAGTCTTCCCCATTTCAGTATTTTCATTATATTAACCTGTTATCCGGGGATATGATTGGTTATGCAGAAAATACATTCACTTTCGCTGATAAGATTAGATAAATAAATATAAATATTGACGTGATTTACAGAGAGAAGAATGAATCGACTACGACAGAGACGCAGGCATTGGTTAATAACACCAAGTCGTCCCCACCAGTTGGCATCCCACCCCCTCCGCAACCTCCTCCACTGCCACCTCCTTCTCCACCCTACCCTGGAACTTCAGAAGAACCGATTTTGGATACTTCAGAGGAGACAAATCTACCCCAAGTGCACCTGTCTCTCCTAGGGGACACCACCATGTCTGTAGGAACACTGGCAAAGATTGTCAGAATCTTTACCAGTAGTACATTTACAGGTAAAATGGCGATATAGGTTACAGTAACAAGGACCTACACAGGTAAAATAGGTTACTGTAGCAAGAATCTTAACAGGTAAAATAGGTTACAGTAGCAAGGATCTTAACAGGTAAAATAGGTTAAAGTAGCAAGGACCTACACAGGTAAAATAGGTTACAGTAGCAAGGACCTACACAGGTAAAATAGGTTACAGTAGCAAGGATCTTAACAGGTAAAATAGGTTACAGTAACGAGGATCTTAACAGGTAAAATAGGTTACAGTAGCAAAGATCTTAACAGGTAAAATAGGTTAAAGTAGCAACGACCTACACAGGTAAAATAGGTTACAGTAACAGGACCTACACAGGTAAAATAGGTTACAGTAGCAAGAACCTACACAGGTAAAATAGGTTACAGTAGCAAGGATCTTAACAGGTAAAATAGGTTACAGTAACGAGGATCTTAACAGGTAAAATAGGTTACAGTAGCAAGGATCTCAACAGATAAAATAGGTTACAGTAACGAGGATCTTAACAAGTAAAATAGGTTACAGTAGCAAAGATCTTAACAGGTAAAATAGGTTAAAGTAGCAAGGACCTACACAGGTAAAATAGGTTACAGTAGCAAGGACCTACACAGGTAAAATAGGTTACAGTAGCAAGGACCTACACAGGTAAAATAGGTTACAGTAGCAAGGATCTTAACAGGTAAAATAGGTTACAGTAACGAGGATCTTAACAAGTAAAATAGGTTACAGTAGCAAAGATCTTAACAGGTAAAATAGGTTAAAGTAGCAAGGACCTACACAGGTAAAATAGGTTACAGTAGCAAGGACCTACACAGGTAAAATAGGTTACAGTAGCAAGGACCTACACAGGTAAAATAGGCTACAGTAGCAAAGATCTTAAAAGGTAAAAACAGGTTACAGTAACAAGGATCTTAACAGGTAAAATAAGTTACAGTAAGGAGGATCTTAACAGGTAAAATAGGTTACAGTAGCAAAGATCTTAACAGGTAAAATAGGTTAAAGTAGCAAGGACCTACACAGGTAAAATAGGTTACAGTAGCAAGGACCTACACAGGTAAAATAGGTTACAGTAGCAAGGACCTACACAGGTAAAATAGGCTACAGTAGCAAAGATCTTAAAAGGTAAAAACAGGTTACAGTAACAAGGATCTTAACAGGTAAAGTAGATTACAGTAACGAGGATCTTAACAGGTAAAATAGGTTAAAGTAGCAACGACCTACACAGGTAAAATAGGTTACAGTAGCAAGGACCTACACAGGTAAAATAGGCTACAGTAGCAAGGACCTACACAGGTAAAATAGGCTACAGTAGCAAGGACCTACACAGGTAAAATAGGCTACAGTAGCAAGGACCTACACAGGTAAAATAGGCTACAGTAGCAAGGACCTACACAGGTAAAATAGGCTACAGTAGCAAAGATCTTAAAAGGTAAAAACAGGTTACAGTAACAAGAACTTTCACAAAGAAAAACAGGCAACAGTGACCAGGACCTTCACAAGTAAATACAGGTTACAACAGCGAGGACCTTCACAGGTGAAAACAGGTTTCGGTAATAAGGATTTACACAATGCTCTACATTTTCAATATCTAACATATTTATATATCAACCAACACGTGTCGTGTTACAAATACATCATTATCTATACATGAACAACTTTGTAGTCTATATGTTATAAAACTTCATCATTTGGCTTTGTGAAAAGACAATCTCTTTTCTTGGGGACTAATTATGTTTTGGCCCCAAGGGTTAATGCTGAATGTATACATTGAAAAATAATTGGTCATTCATCAAACTGTTTTACCATTATTTAAAACAAGATCTTTTCAAATTTGTAAAGGTATACTTGAAATTAGACTATATAATATATATATATATATAGAATATAAACTCTGATAGCAGGTATATATCCTCCTTGTTTTCAGACACAAAATTTGAGAGAAATACATGGATGAGTGATGCCTATCCACGTGTGAAGGCTTTCTGTCAGGAACGAGGCTATGAGTTTCAGGTGGTGGACATGAGGTGGGGGGTACGAGATGAAGCTTCAGATGACCACAGCACAACAGACCTCTGTCTCCGGGAACTGGAAATGTGCCAGAAACTCTCCACTGGGCCAAATTTTGTGGTTAGTAAAACTTCAAGATCAAAATTCAATTTTCATTGGGTAGAAGTTTAAAGAACAGGTCAACTTACTAGCTTTAGCATGTGGAAATTTCCCTCACTTTAGCAGAAAGAGTGTCTGACTGGAGACCAAATGGTTGCTAGTTCAAACCCCATGGAGCAGGGTGTTTTTCATTACTCCTTTCTATTGCAGATTCTGTGTCATTGACCAATCCAAGGGTAGAAACTATAGGAGAATGAGATACTTCATTGGAAATATTATATGCTGGAGGGACAGGTTTTTTTTTTCAGAATTCCTTCCTATAACAGATTGTACAGAAGTTTAATACATTGCAGGTGTAGATTTAAGACGTCTTGTCCCAATTTATTATGAGAAACTAAAGTGTCAGCTGTTTTACTGAATTTAAATACAGCAACATTTCATGTTTATTAAAAATGTATGGGAGGACATATCACAGCATGTCATGAATCTGTTCATCTGCTGTAATCTGAGATTTCAATTTTCACCCCATTTCTTAATTTCATACCTTGTAGTTTAGGTATTAAAAGCAATTAAATATATCTGTTTAATCTCTTTCCAGTCTTTGCTATCTCACAAATATGGATACCGGTCTCTGCCAAAAAGTATAGAAGCAGAAGAATTTGACAAAATATTTGCTGCTGTGAAATCAAGTGTAGCCAAAAACTTGTTGAGCAAGTAAGTAATTTTTTTTCATAAAATCATCATGATTGATAAGAAATGAGAGTTACAATATTTGACTTTCATTATTACTATGAGAAAGAAATAAGGGACTATGATTAAGTATAAAAAAGTGGACATTAAATTTAGCTGTAGGTAACATTTTATGTAACGTTTGTGTATTGATAAAGGGACAGGTTGCCTCAAAAATTTGACAATTCACTTGTCTGTAATGTTATTATCACTTCATTGATCATATATATATATACCTGTTATGTAGTAATGTGACTACATCAGTGACCTTTGACCTTTGACCTGTAGGTGGTACCTGAGAGACACTAATGCTGTACCACCTGTATACCTACTGTCCTCAATCAGCAAGCATCTCCCTGACTCTGTCAGTCCGGACAAGGATGTTAGCAAGAAGGCGAAGCAGATTTGGTGGGACGAGAGCGATGCCATGCAGGAGGCTTTAAAAACAGCAGCAGAGGAAGTATTAGGGGAGGAAGAGGCCAAAAAATATGTCATCTCTGGTAAATTGTGGATATTGTTTACAGCATTGTGTATAGCGATACTACCAAGATATACATATATACCTCAACAAGGCTTTTACAGAATGCAGCGTTTTCCTGACATTTATACACGAAGGATTAACTACCTCTTTCTTGACAGTTGTCTCCCCTTTCTTGTTTTAGTTACTGAGAAGGAGATCCAGATGGGGCTGTTATCTGTTGATAAAGCTGAAGTAGAGAGTGGCTGTGCATGGTTTAGGAGGAATATCAAGGATATCAATTTGGTGGAACCCAGCTATCAGTTATCAAGATATATGGGTAAGATGTCAATAGCTTGAAAGATGTTGATAATTGATTCAAACAGACCCATCTTATATGAGTGTTAAAGTAGCTTAAAGGTTTTCAGATAATAAGGATAGTAACTTGCAATTAGCTCTGACTCAGAAATACATGGCAGGCAAATACAATACAAGCTCTGACATCTGATAGTTAAGTTAACCATTAATAGAATTATTAGGTAAAGGGGATAGATACCTGTAGTCAATTATTACCAGCGACAAATTACATGTGAACAAACAACAGTGGACACTGTTGAGGGTAACGTTGTGAATAAACAACAGTGGACACTGTTCAGGGTAACATGAACAGATATCAGTTATCAATTACTACCAGCTACAAATTACATGTGAACAAACACCTGTGGACGCTGTTGAGGGTAACGTTGTGAACAAACATCAGTGGACACTGTTCAGGGTAACATGAACAGATACCAGTTATCAATAAGTACCAGCTACAGATTTCATGTGAACAAACATCAGTGGACACTGTTGAGGGTAACATTGTGAACAAACATCAGTGGACACTGTTGAGGATAACATGATCAGATACCAGTTATCAATAATATTAGCTACAAATTACATGTAATGTGATAAAACATCAGTGGACATTGTTGACCATAACATGTGCAGATACCAGTGTTACTTGCTGTCATGATGTATTTACTCTGAAGTACCTATGTTAATCAGTATTGTCAGGAAGCTAGTATTTAGTAACAGTAATGCTGAGATAATAGAGAAAAGTATAGGAGTTGACTAAGTCAATGTTTTAGAAATGCTATCAATAAACATATTACACAGTAACACCCTATCAAACGTTTGGTCATTTCAGCTCATTATAGATCATATGATGTTGTATTTACATGTCTTTAGAATGTTTGGGAAATGAGGAGACGGTGAAACTGGCACAAGGACTTCTGACAGATCTAAAAGATAAGAAGATGTCAGCCCATTTACCAAGCCACAACATCCTCACTTACTCAGTTCCATGGACAGAAAAAGGTCAGTCATATTGTGTTTCCTTAGTGTAACTCGGAGAGCAGTGCATATAGCATTACATTGAAACTATATAAGGTATCAACATAAAACTTCATAGGTAAATAGATCTTAACAAGGAGAAATGCAGTGCACAAGAACCATAACTCTTTTTGCATAATTTAGGAGTTATTGCCCTTGATATTACTGTTATGAATATTTTATTGAGATATATCCTGATCTTGATGAAATTCAGGTATAAATCCAGAGCTGTTAGATCATCAGAAATATCTGAAAGAAATGTCTGAAGACTTTGTCCAGAAAATGATGTCTATGATTACAAAGGGTATATCAGACCGATCACCATCAGACAGCAATGATCCTCTTGAGGCTGAGTGCCTACAGCATATCCACTTCTGTCAGGGGAAATGTGAAAACTTCCATGGAAGGGAGGCCACTCTTGAGGTAAAGTATTTTGTATGTTTGTAACGTGTATAATTATGTTTTCATTTAGCACTAAGACATGTGTCCAAAAGTGTTGTGTTGTCCTTGGAGTGTATCATCCTCTTTCTTAATTAATTTAAGTTAGTTTCAGTCACAAGACACATTGTATTGTGATTGGAACTTACTTGAATTGATTTTGATATTTAATTTCATTGCCCTGCATACATTTTGTTATCCACACCCAACACACCTCACCCAACTTATCAACCTACCAACTCTCACGGAATGAAAATTGGTTCTATCTTTTTTTTCCTCCTCTTTCTTTGTGAGGAAATAAAAAAGATCCATAATTTTTTTATATCCCTTTTTCATATTTACAGGAGATTCAATCATATCTGACAAACTCAAGTCGGGTTCCACTGGTAATACATGGACAATCTGGATGTGGTAAAACCTCTATCCTGGCTAAAGTAGCATCTCTTGTGCCAAGCTCCTACACTGACGACCCAAGTAAACCTGCTGTGATTATCAGGTAAACAATGCTATTGATGTAACAGTATTTTTCAATGGTGATAATCAGATATTGAATTATCATGCTATAGTCTACTGTACATAAGTACATGATCTTAAAGCCTTGATCTTTATATTGGAATTGTAAAGATTAAGTTTGAGTGTGACCTGTGGCTGTTGAGTTAACTTGTAGATATGAGGGTACATGTAGTTACATGTGCTCATTGTTCCCCTTAATATTAATGTTGAATTGGCTGGACAAGGGTATTTTCTTTTTTATCCACTGTCCAGAAAATATGAAATATGACTGAGTGATTTTTTCCAAAGGTGGATGTGACAAGCTAAGACGACAACATTTATATGTTGCACACAGCACTATTAAATAACGTTTACAATGTTTATAGTTTTCAGGGTAATGGATCTTCTTTTCCAACTAATTGATGTTTAATTTGCTGTATTTTGTTTGTTAACACAGATTTATTGGGACAACTCCTGACAGTTCTAACATCATGAGTCTACTCACAAGCATTATCCAACAAATCTACGCTCTCTATGACATCCACACAAAAATCCCGGAGGTAGGATCAGTTTTACAAGTGACACATGTCTTACCAGATGCTATGAATTTAGAATTGGGTATCCTTACCAGATACAGTGAGTCTACGAGAGGGTATCTTTACCAGATACACTGAGTCTATGAGTGGGTATCCTTACCAGATACAGTGAGTCTATGAGTGGGTATCCTTACCAGATACAATGAGTCTAAGAGTGGGTATCCTTACCAGATACAGTGAGTCTATGAGTGGGTATCCTTACCAGATACAGTGAGTCTACAAGGGGGTATCTTTACCAGATACAGTGAGTCTATGAGTGTGTATCCTTACCAGATACAGTGAGTTTATGAGTCTATGAGTGAGTATCCTTAACAGATACAGTGAGTCTATGAGTGGGTATCCTTACCAGATACACTGAGTCTATGAGTGGGTATCCTTACCAGATATAGTGAGTCTATGAGTGGGTATCCTTACCAGATACTGTGAGTCTATGAGTAGGTATCTTAACGAGATACTTGAAGTCTATGTATTGGTATATACATGTTTACTTACCATATTCTACAACATGTCTATGGGTGGGTAAATACATTTACTTGACACTAAGTGTCTATGTATGGGTATAAATTTACAATTTTTAATGTTGGTATCCTTTATCAGGTACCAGGAGTTTATTCTGTTGCCTGAAGTATAATTCTTTTGCTTTTTGAGTTTAAGGAATAAATAGACAAAACAACATGTTGTATTAGATATTTTTCTTCTACTTGTGAATATGCAGATTAAATGTGTTGATAGCTATACAATTCTGTTATCCTTGTGATAAATCATAAGGTCTTGACAGCTGTGAAATCAAACTGAAGGAAGCATCGAATCTGTAAAATCTAATTGATGTTCAGAAAAATTTGTTGTGAGTTGAAAAATCTCTTTGTTTATGAACATGCATTAATCTACAACCATGACTGATGTGAAGGGTTACTGTTGTAGGATATCAAACCACTGGTTAAGATGTTTAAATTTGCGTTGACCTTGGCTAAAAATGTCCGACCTCTTGTGATTCTTCTGGATTCCCTCGACCAGCTCGATCCATCAAACAAGAGTCGTAGTCTGAATTGGCTTCCAGCCCGTCTTCCTGCCAACGTTAAAATCATCGTCTCCACTTTGGAAGATGCTGTGTATGAATGTTTCCCTGCTCTACAGGTATCTTTCAATATCATCTATATGATTAAAGATAATTATAAAGCTTGATTATATTTTGAGTTGAAATAACAGTTAACAAGTGATTTTGTTCATATTTTTTTTCGTTTGAATATCAAACTGGTTACTACGTTATTAATTAATACATGAATTTAAAGCCTGATTGAGTCAGATTCTGTATCACCAAGGCTGAGTCAGATTCTGTAACATCAAGGCTAAGCCAGATTCTGTATCACCAAGGCTGAGCCAGATTCTGTATCACCAAGGCTAAGCCAGATTCTGTAACACCAAGGCTAAGCCAGATTCTGTAACACCAAGGCTGAGTCAGATTCTGTAACACCAAGGCTAAGTCAGATTCTGTAACACCAAGGCTAAGCCAGATTCTGTAACACCAAGGCTGAGCCAGATTCTGTATCACCAAGGCTAAGTCAGATTCTGTAACACCAAGGCTGAGTTAGATTCTGTATCACCAAGGCTAAGCCAGATCCTGTAACACCAAGGCTAAGCCAGATTCTGTAACACCAAGGCTGAGTAAGCTTCTGTAACACCAAGGCTAAGGCAGATTCTGTATCACCAAGGCTAAGGCAGATTCTGTATCACCAAGGCTAAGGCAGATTCTGTAACACCAAGGCTGAGTCAGATTCTGTAACACCAAGGCTAAGGCAGATTCTGTAACACCAAAGCTAAGGCAGATTCTGTAACACCAAGGCTAAGGCAGATTCTGTATCACCAAGGCTAAGCCAGATTCTGTAACACCAAGGCTGAGTAAGCTTCTGTAACACCATGGCTAAGGCAGATTCTGTAACACCAAGGCTAAACCAGATCCTGTAACACCAAGGCTAAGCCAGATTCTGTAACACCAAGGCTAAGGCAGATTCTGTAACACCAAGGCTAAGGCAGATTCTGTAACACCAAGGCTAAGGCAGATTCTGTAACACCAAGGCTAAGGCAGATTCTGTAACACCAAGGCTAAGGCAGATTCTGTAACACCAAGGCTAAGGCAGATTCTGTAACATCAAGGCTAAGCCAGATTCTGTAACATCAAGGCTAAACCAGATCCTGTAACACCAAGGCTAAGCCAGATTCTGTAACACAAAGGCTAAGGCAGATTCTGTAACACCAAGGCTAAGCCAGATTCTGTAACACCATGGCTAAGGCAGATTCTGTAACACCAAGGCTAAGTCAGATTCTGTAACACCAAGGCTAAACCAGATCCTGTAACACCAAGGCTAAGGCAGATTCTGTAACACCAAGGCTAAGGCAGATTCTGTAACACCAAGGCTAAACCAGATTCTGTAACACCAAGGCTGAGTCAGATTCTGTAACACCAAGGCTAAGGCAGATTCTGTAACACCAAGGCTGAGTTAGATTCTGTAACACCAAGGCTAAGGCAGATTCTGTAACACCAAGGCTAAGTCAGATTCTGTAACACCAAGGCTGAGTTAGATTCTGTAACACCAAGGCTAAGGCAGATTCTGTAACACCAAGGCTAAGCCAGATCCTGTAACACCAAGGCTGAGTAAGCTTCTGTAACACCAAGGCTAAGCCAGATTCTGTAACACCAAGGCTAAGGCAGATTCTGTAACACCAAGGCTAAGCCAGATTCTGTAACACCAAGGCTGAGTCAGATTCTGTAACACTAAAATTGATCCAGATTCTGTAACACCAAGGCTAAGGCAGATTCTGTAACAACAAGGCTAAGCCAGATTCTGTAACACCAAGGCTAAGCCAGATTCTGTAACACCAAGGCTAAGCCAGATTCTGTAACACCAAGGCTAAGCCAGATTCTGTAACACCAAGGCTAAGGCAGATTCTGTATCACCAAGGCTGAGTTAGATTCTGTATCACCAAGGCTGAGCCAGATTCTGTAACACCAAGGCTAAGGCAGATTCTGTAACACCAAGGCTAAGGCAGATTCTGTAACACCAAGGCTAAGTCAGATTCTGTAACACCAAGGCTGAGTTAGATTCTGTAACACCAAGGCTAAGTCAGATTCTGTAACACCAAGGCTAAGGCAGATTCTGTAACACCAAGGCTAAGCCAGATTCTGTAACACCAAGGCTAAGGCAGATTCTGTAACACCAAGGCTGAGTTAGATTCTGTATCACCAAGGCTGAGCCAGATTCTGTAACACCAAGGCTAAGGCAGATCCTGTAACACCAAGGCTAAGGCAGATCCTGTAACACCAAGGCTAAGCCAGATTCTGTAACACCAAGGCTAAGGCAGATCCTGTAACACCAAGGCTAAGGCAGATCCTGTAACATCAAGGCTAAGCCAGATTCTGTAACACCAAGGCTGAGCCAGATTCTGTAACACCAAGGCTAAGGCAGATCCTGTAACACCAAGGCTAAGCCAGATTCTGTAACACCAAGGCTAAGGCAGATTCTGTAACACCAAGGCTAAGGCAGATCCTGTAACACCAAGGCTAAGCCAGATTCTGTAACACCAAGGCTAAGGCAGATCCTGTAACATCAAGGCTAAGCCAGATTCTGTAACACTTAAGGCTAAGCCAGATTCTGTAACACTTAAGGCTGAGCCAAATTCTGTAACACCAAGGCTGAGTCAGATTCTGTATCACCAAGTCTGAGCCAGATTCTGTAACACCAAGGCTAAGCCAGATTCTGTAACACCAAGGCTGAGTCAGATTCTGTAACACTAAAATTGATCCAGATTCTGTAACACCAAGGCTAAGCTAGATTCTGTAACTCCAAGGCTGAGTCAATTTCTGTAACACTAAAATTGAGCCAGATTCTGTAACACCAAGGCTAAGCTCGATTCTGTAACACTTAAGGCTGAGCCAGATTCTGTAACACTAAAGGCTGAGCCAGATTCTGTAACACTAAAGGCTGAGCCAGATTCTGTAACACCAAGGCTGAGTCAGATTCTGTAACACTTAAGGCTAAGCTAGATTTTGTAACACTTTAAGGCTGAGTCAGATTCTTTAACACAAAGAGTTTGTTAATTTTCTTATCTTGATATATGTATTATTCAACAATTTCAGCAAAAACTCAAGAAAGCATCAACAAATTTTGTAGCAGTCCCTGTTCTTGGCAAGGACGATGTGAACAGTATCATCAGCAGCTGGCTGGATGCTAATAAACGTACACTGACTGTGAATCAGAGAGAAACAGTAATCAATGCATTTGACATTTGTCCTATTCCTCTGTTTCTCAAGTTGTCGTTTGACCAGGCTTGTAAATGGAACTCATTTTCCCCACCAGATGATGTGAGGCTGCAGTCTACCATTAGAGACAGCATTGACCTTCTGTTCTCCCAACTTGAGGTCAAACATGGCAAAATCTTGGTCTCTGATGCTCTTGGATATTTAACTACAGGTAAAGTGTACCTGTGTCATTGTATTAAACCCTTTACTTGACTCTTTTCCACCTTAAACAGGGTTTTTCTGATGGCTCTGTGGAGACCAATGTGAGCCCCACACCTGAAGGAATGGAAAAAACCTTCTTATACAACACCCACCTCAAAACATTACTTATTGGTCTCCAAACACATCAGCTTTAGAGATCAAACTCATTTAATCATGCAAGTTATTGCTTTAAAATCATGATGATATGTAAGTTTAATGGTCAGCACTATTAATGATGGATAATGAGTTATAATCAGGTGTCTTTGATACTGAATCCCTGATCTTCGTACTTGGTTTACGCTCTCTCTAAATACACACAGTCAAGCTGTATCTATCAGACATTAAAATGAGTAGTGCTCCTAGAATGGTAAAGCAGTGACAATCATATCTGAATATCATGTTTCACACAGTAGAGTTAAATCTCTTCGTTCGTTTTCTATTTCAAAGTTTGCAAGGCAAAAAAGAACAGGTCAGTATTAAAAGTATGTGTTAAAACTTTAAACAACGATGTTTTAGCCACCAATGGCCTGTCAGAGTCAGAGTTAGAAGATATTCTGTCCTGTGATGATGTTGTCCTTAATGACGTATACGTTTACTGGACGCCTCCCATCCGTCGACTTCCACCTCTGCTCCTGGTACGACTGAGGACAGACTTGCAAGAGTATATAGGTAAGTAAACACTACAATTAATATATGATATGGATATAAGATATGGAGGCAGCACTTTGATGTTTTTACTATAATTGTAATGTACACCTTATCTCGTTATCTCAGAACCCAGAAATCTGACATTTTATATGTTATAGCTGTTAAATATGTATAACAGACACATCAATCAAAGTCAAAGTAGATCACTTCCCTTACAAAATGTAGAACATTGGAATCTACTTCTAAAATTACGATATGTCATTGTATTTTGGATAATATATATAAACTTTATTAATTTTTCAACAATTGCGAAACAAGTTATGTCAACTTATACTAATCACTCTTGTTGGCCCGGTGTCGATATGACACCGGGAATTGAACCGTATTTTGGAGATATGGATAATGTCACTTAATTAGGTAAACTGGGTTGGATCCTAATATAAATATACAAAGTGGTTACTGATGAAAGTTAAAATGTCACTATGTGGTATTGATTAGTTTGTATCAAGGCAAAAGGTCCTAGTTCACACAAGAAGCTTTCAGGTGACAGTGATATACATACAGTATTTTCCTGATGTGAGAGTATAGGGGATGGACAGATATTAGGACTTTTGTTCTCCAGGACACTTTTTTCTTTTTTAATTATTTGAATGCACAATTACAGCAATGGACTATCTTTTTTATACAATAAAATAATGTATCCTGTGTCGTTGAGGTGAGCTAGAAATTCTTTGATTATTCTGCGTGACTGTAACACGATATTGTTGACAGTGGAGAGAGGAGCTGATGGCATTCGTGTACTGTACTGGTACCACCGACAGTTTATAGAGGCAGCAAGGGAGCGTTACTGTGGAGATACAGTCATACAAAACCTTCACCAAGGTCTGGCAGAGTTCTTTAGTGGAAAGTGGAGCAATGGTGAGAGTTTTCAGTAAGCTTTGAGAAAAATCCACAATACTTGTACAGATATATTGTTGGTCTGAGTTCACTTTTGAACTTTCAACATATACTTTATGTCATAATACAGTTTATACTGGAGGTAAATTTCAGGAATGTCTTTGATTAGAAAGTGAACAATAACTAAAGGAAATCTGCTGTTTTAATTACAGGAAGTAAGAAGCCATTTACTGACAGATCAGGTAATGCTGGGTTGGAGGACCGTCACTCCTCAGTTCAGCCATTAAGACATGGAGACAAGTACAATTTGAGGAAACTTAACAATCTTCCCTTCCACCTGACCATGGCCAGAAATCTGGAGGACCTTAAAGAACTCTGCTTATTGCGCATAGATTTCCTACAAGCCAAGATGTTGTCTTCCTCCCTCAGGTCAGTGTCTTAACTGCAAGTGGATTTCCTACGGACCAAGTTGTTGTCTTTCTGTCTCAGGTCAGTGTCTTAACTGCAAGTGGATTTCCTACTGACTAAGTTGTTGTCTTTCTGTCTCAGGTCAGTGTCTTAACTGCTAGTGGATTTCCTACTGACTAAGTTGTTGTCTTTCTGTCTCAGGTCAGTGTCTTAACTGCAAGTGGATTTTCTTCAGACCAAGTTGTTATCTTTCTGTCTCAGGTCTTTACTTTGATAGCTGTGAGAATATCATTGTAATTTTCAAACAATAATCTGCAGAGTTATGGCCCCTTATTCAATTATGGAAAGGGTGTGCCCTTGATATTGCAAGTAGTTTTCAAAGAATTAATTTCAAACCTCATAGCAATGTTCATTACTATAATAGCTCAGACAGCTTTGATGACTGCAATTTTTGGACCTAGATTTAAGAAGTTATGGTCCTTTATTCAATTATGGAAATTTTTTGTCCTCTTAATATCTCAATTAGCTTTTTAACAGATCAACTTCAAACTTGATAGGAACTTGAGTATTTTTCACTGATCATCTGGGAATGTTATCACGATTGACACTGGATGGTTAACTCTGGTTCCTTCCACCATTACACAACTGACACTGTCAATGACCTTAATGTGTTGATTAGACATTAGACTTCACTTTTCTTCCCTTACCTGTTTCAAAATACTCATTTTCCTATGATGGGCATATCATGTACCACCTCATATAACTTTTATTTTCTGATAATGTATTCATGTATATATGCAGAGAACCAACATAGTAGTATGTTTATTTGTTGGTTGGGTATATTGTTGTGTGAAAAGCCAGTGCCATTAAGAGGTAGCTTGCAAATACCTTCTGACATAGAACACTATCACAGGGGGTCCTATACATGCTAACAAGGCTACAGTGGCTGTGTAGTTAAGGTGTTTAACCAACTTTATCACTTGTCCTTGACCTCTGGGTCACAGATTTGAGGCCTACATGGGGTAGTCACCAGGTACTGGCTGCAGGTCGGTGTTTTTTTTTCCGAAAACTCTGTCTTTCCTCCACCACCCATACCTGGCACATTCTTAAATGACCCTGGCTGTAAATAGGAGGTAAAGCTACAATAAATAAACTGAATACTTTCTTCTGTGTATTAGGATAAATTATCCAGCTCTGGACAAAATCATACGACCACCGGATACTAAATTATTTTCTTTTAAACACGAACTGCCACAGGTTGGCAGCATTGAATCATAAAACATAGATTTTGATCTGATGTTGCAGGCTGTTGCTTTACTGGCTACGAAACAGAAAGTTAATTGTGTAACCATACACATGTACACAAGCCTGGCCACAAATGACCATCATTCCTTTTTATTTAGGCAGACGCAGTTGATCCGCAACATGAGATAACCTAGCTGGATATTTGAAAATCTACAAAATTGAAATCACCATAATTCTAGAGGTTTTTCGACTGTTACATCTGGACACCACTACTGCCTTTCGTCTGTCATCCCAATACTGTCCTTAACATCTGTTATACTTGTCGTCATCAGCTGTCATGTGATGGTGTAATTACTAAACATTAAATACTGCGGTCCTATATGTAAAACCAACAGTCTTTACCTGAAAGGACTGCCCAACATAAGATGACTGTAAAGTTATAAATCTCTGTTACACAGGAGTTTAATGTCAGACATACACCTAGCTCGGAAGGAGTTTCCGGAAGACTATGCTATCAACACCCTCCATGACGGCATCCAACTTTCCATGCAGGCTTTAGTGTATGATCCACAGCAGTTGGACTTACAGCTCCGCGACAGGCTTGCTGGTGACCAGGTTAAGGCTTAATTATGTTTATATCATTTGAACTTAAGCTCAGTGACCAGCTCACTGATGACCAGGTTAAGTTGTCTATGTTTATCACCAACTGTCATCAGATGGTGGGTTAGTCACCCTATGTCTGCTATCTGTGGTTAGCTGTCTGTCCATAAACAATTTTTGTTATTGTTGTTTCTTGTGACATGCGAGATGGATTTTTAAATTTTATAAATTTCCATTGTTCCTTATATAATTAGTTGTGCACATATGATTTAAGGCTAATTAAAAAAACACAAAAACTGACAGATGGCCATCTTGGATTTTGGCTATGAAATTTTGATATTGGTATTTTTTGAGAAATACTTCCTCAAATTTCATATGTAGATTTTCCTTACTTTCTAGTTGTGCCATTTGATTTAGGACTAAGCAGTAAAACTATACAACTGACAGGCAAACTTTGTATAGTTAAGAGCAAAAGCACAGAGGAACTTTTAAAACAAGTTGAAGATTTCTTGTATATCAATCATAAGTCATTCGTTGTTTGTTGTATACAGGATGAAGGACTAGTGAAGCTATGTGAGCAGTGCAAACACATTTCTAGACCACACTTACTGCCTGACCAAGAGATATTGACTAAACCAGGTGGTCAGTTAGTCTACATGCTGTCTGACCACACAGCAGAGGTATCTGATATGGACATTAGCAGGGATGGCAAGACCATTGTCACATGTAAGTGTAGATATAAGGAAAACACATAGGCAATAAACCCATGTCTGGCAAGAGAGAAGCCACCTGTTTTTATTACATTTTTGCTGAAATCGAAAATATCAATTTAATAAAAAATCATATTGTCACTGAAGTACAGAAATCTTACATCTTCCTATGCACCTAATGACCTTCTCTCAGTTGAATGGCCATTAGGAATGATAATAAGTAATGATATATCTTTTCCATTAATGATATACATTGTATCTTTTTGGGTTTGACCAATCAAAGTGGTGCTTTCTATTTATTCATTATATTAAAAATTGCCATATTTTTCTGCTTGATGGCAAAGGAGGCATATATTGAATCAGTGTAGCTTTCACCAAACATGTACTTTGACTGGATGTTTTCTTTAAATCTTTTTATGCTCCCCGAAGGGAGAGCATATAGTCGCCACTTTGTCCATCTGTCCGTCTGTCGGTCCGTCTGTCATAATTTAATCTGGAGCATAACACAAAACCTATAAGAGGTACCAACATAAAACTTCATAGGTAGATAGATCACAGCAAGGAGAAGTGCATAAAAATCTTCACTATCTTTTTGTATATTTTAGGAGTTATTGCCCTTTGTTATTTTTGCAAACTTAAATTTTGTCTGGAGCATTTCACTAAATCTATAAGAGGTATCGACATGAAATGTTGACGGTTTGAAATGTGCAGAAATACCAAAAAGCACTCACTTTTTAGTGTAATTCTGATAGAAGTGAAAAATATTGTGTGGTTGGAAACACAAATTTTTGTATTGTCACCATTTTGAAAATTAAAAATTTGAACTAAAAAAAATGTTTCAATAAGCCCATTTAACAAAGTTAGAAAATAAATGAATAAAGAAAAATTAAGTCAAACTTGATGTATTGAATTGACTTTATGTAAACTATATTTGCAATTACAGGTGCTGATGATGAGGATCAGAGTGTTAAGATATGGAATTTAGAGGATGGAACTTTGATCAAGTCTTTCAACAAGCTAGGTAAAACCCCTTCAAAGGTGCGATTCATGGTCAACGATTCACTCATCCTGGCTGAATACGAGGGAGGCAAAGTGAAAGCAATCCAGCTCACAGGTGAAGTGGCCTATACATTGCCTAATGTGACTGAATACTGGGTCGGAGGGCAGGAGAAAGATATACTCATTAAACTGAAGGATGATGCCGCTGTTTTGTATAACGCCCTCACAGGGGACAGAAAGTCAAGGGTGAAGACAAAGGGCAAGCGTTTGTTTGCAGATGGTGTTGATAATCTGGTACATGGTAGGTAACAGATTTTGTATAATCATGATAAATTCAAACATCAGGATTATGTTGGCTGAAAAATTTTAATTGTTCATGATATGAAATTACTTACAGCAGAAAGAAACATGCCTATATAAAGCTAACTTAATCACATCAGCTTGGGAAATGACTGTCTATATGTACATTTACTATTGATGAAAATTACATGTATGTTGTTACAGTAACCTCAATTTTTTTGTGTGATAAGAATCTGGACGTGTTTGATGTTCATTAATTAGCATGTTGGTTCTGTTGTTTTATACCTTGTTCTTATTTGAGAACATGGCATTACTTACCTGATGGAGCACCTGGTCTTACATTCCTGGTACTTTTTCAGGAGTTTCCATATAAATCTTTCTTTTGTTCACCTTTTACCCGAGATTTATTGAACTTGAGGATTATGATTATGTTGACATGTTGATCTTTTCTTGTTGTTATTTATTACTAATTAGCTTAAATCTTAAAGTTCTTGAAGTTCATTGTTGTCGCAAATTTTTTCTGAAAGATACATAATATAAAACTCTTAGTATGTATAAGCTCTTCTTGTCTGATACAGAAAAAAGAAAAACAAAATGACTAGAATGATATTCATGTTCACAAGGGCTGTAGTTTGATTTCTATAACAAGTTATTCTGATTAACCAAAAGGCCTTGCATCATGATATTTGGATAATAGCTTACATGTATAAAGTTGGACAAATTATGTGAAAAGAAATGACTGACCCATATCAAACATCACTGGGATCAAAGACAAAGTACATGTAGTTAGAAATACACAAACAACGGATTAACTGTTTAGCTAAAGATCCTACATGATATTTGTCTCAAAGGTTCCAGGGAATGATTGAACAAATGTGCAAAAAAAGGAAAGCAAAAAAAAAAGGCCTTGATCTATTTTCAAGGACACAGAGGAAATACCAGTAACTAAAATGCTCATATGATCATGGCTTCTTCTGATTACAAAAAAGGCCTGGAATCAAGGTATTTGGCTGGTAGTTTCCTTTGATTTGGCCCAGCCAACTGTAAAAGCAAATTTACCAATATCCATCCGAGGTTCTTTTTTAAATATTTAATCAAATGCTTTTAAGGCTCTGAAGAATCAAGAAGTTTGGCCACTAGGTTCCTAATATGAAATAGACATATAAGGCTAAAGGTATAATCTTTACCTGTATTTTAGGTCAAGGAATCAAATCTGTTTAAACACTGAAATGGATTCACCTGCTCATAAATTGTGTTCACTGAAGTCCTCCACACCAGCATCCATCAGTGGTAGACAAAAGACTTGCAGTTGAAGCATGCTAGTTTCAAGGTTTATTTACCAGAGTACATAGATGTAATATAGACTCTGTTGAATGTCTAGTGTAATATAATTTGTTAAAAAGCCTTGGATACCATGTTAGCAGTGCAGGTCCATTGGACCTCTTGTTGAATTCTCTGCCAATGTAATGATCAATTTTTACCCCCTCTGTGTTTTTGAGCAGGATCTGGACGCTATATGGTGGTTGTTGATGTAGAACTATACAAAGTGTCCTTGCTTGATCTTGAGAAAGAAGAGTTTTCACATTGGATTGAAGTGTTCAAAAAACCTCCAGTTGGTGCAGATTTACCAAACTTGAGTGTAGACATGGTGTGTGTCTCACCAGACGAGAAAAGTTTTGTTGTTACAAGCATAATAGATGGGGACTTTATATTCTACAGCACAGAAACACTCCAGAAGACCAGAGTCATGAAAGGTAAATGCTGGCATTAATGTAGGCAATTTTAAAGGTATTTTTGTAAAACAATTATCTTGAGGGGAAAATAATGTTCACTTTAGAGACTTTTATGATAGCTCTTGGGCAGATTTACTGTATGATGAATTTAACTATGGACTTCAACATTCTATTATGAATATTGCTGACTTTTATTTTCTAAGGAATTTTAAAGTTATGTAAATTTTCTCTTCTCTCAGGAAATACAGATGATATTGGACAGTCGTTAGGTTTCACTCCCGACTGTAAATGGCTATTCTTCTCCAATCACAACAATGTCATAGTGTACAACCTTGAGACAGAGGAGAGACAAAAGACCCTTCCTCACCTATCTGCTGTCAGGAAGGTCATGTGTGCTTCATGGAAGATTTTGGTTACTCTGTCTGAGGAAGACAATTCCGTACGTGTCTGGGACATGACACGGCCAGAAAAGCTAAAAATGGCTGACAGAACAGCTCTGGGCATATCATGCAGGTTGTCATCAATTCAAATCAATAGTTGTGCATATTTAGTTCATCACAGGAAAATACAACAGATTTATAACAAGTTTATAGATAAAATTTCCTGAAGTAGACCAGGACTTTACATGTACCTTACATGTATCCTTGTTTTTTTTAAATGGCTGACTTGAAAAATAAGCCCATTGTAAAAATAAGCCCATTATACAAGTAAAAAATAAAAAAAGACCTTTTGAAATCATTTGCAATCAGTTTACATGAAGATTTGTCTATTTCTTAAAATCATTTGCAAATCTTTTTTATCTGCTAAAGTCCGGTTCCCAAGCAAAAGTTTTATCAAACACAATTATAACAATTATAAAGGATATTTTGATGGCTAAGAATTTGGATTACATAGTTTTGTCCTTATTAGAATTCACCTGTTTGAGAAACAGTTAATGGTGTATGGTATTCTTCAATCCTTTATCCATGGAATGTAATGTTCTTTCTGAGTAATTACCTGTTATAATGTTGTTCTATATGGTTAGTGCCACAATGATAAGGTCACTTCCAAATCATGAAAACTCACTCTATTGATGTTATAATCATGTTTACTGTCCTCAGTTGTTATTGCACTCTGCCAAACCCGCGATTTTTCGCCATGGTGGTACGCACTAAAAATGAAGACTACAAAGTTGGTGCTATCCTGGTGTATGATTTTGTGACTCGGAAGGTCGTACGTCATGGAACGTTGGTAAGTTTCTTAATACTAAAGATTAAAAATTTGCACATTCAAATTATTTTACAAACAGCTTTATTTACATGTAATGATAAAAATTGTGTTTATATTTATTCAGAAAACAATAAAAGTATTGGATCTATGAGATTAAGTGAAGCCGGAATGTGTTATAACTATATATACTTTTACACATGGCAAGAGTGATGGCCTCCCCAGCACAATGAATTGTATCAATGACACGGAGGTTGTCCTGGCAACAGCCACCAGGAAGATCAAGGTCCTGAATCTGGACACAATGACCGTTACACGAGTGTTTGAAGGAAAGTTGTGCCGTTATGGTTCTAGAATGGAAATTATCAAGGATGGAAAAGGTAAACAAGCAACAAATGCTATTTAAAGTGATGATAAAATCCAAGATGGCTTCTGAAACTTTGATTGGTCTAGAAACATTAACCTTTTTACTTTGTAAAACAATTTCAATCTTAGACCCTATTTATACTGAATGTATTACATATTATGATCAACATTTCAAGGATTGTGATTGAAGTGTCTTTTTGAAGATTTTTATTGTGAGTTCATTTTTATCCTGGAATGATTTCACTTGCTTGACTTTATTTTGGTCAGAAGAGGGTGTTGAATAAGTACTTGGCTAATACTCTTCTCTCCATTGTTATGTCATCTGACCGAAGGGTCTGATGACCTATTGCGATGGCCTTTTTATCCGGCGTCATCCATCGTCTGTCGTCCGTCGTAAACATTTTCAACTTCTTCTCAAGTTCTACATGTCTCATTGAGCTGAAACTTACCTGAAATGATTGTGACACGATCCTGACCAAAGTTTGTTAATTTCGGGGTGGTCTGAAATCCAACATGGCGGCCATTTTGGAAAACACATTTTCGACTTCTTCTCAAGTTCAAAATTTGAAATCTTGTATTTTATTTCAGATGAACATTAAGGCCCATGGGCCTCTTGTTATACTTTGTATACTTCATGTGATAATAATGATGTTTGTGCTATGCATGTGTCTGTGAGACAGGTGTGGTCATGTGATGTTTGAGAATAAAATATCTGATGAGTCTGGGACAGTTTTAGTTCATATTCTAACTATAACATCACAGCACAAAGTTCTACACCTGAATAGATTTTGGTGGTCATGGATCAAACTGTAACCTGACCACTCCTATTTCAATAGTTGTAATTCTATTATGGTTATGTTTCAGTAATTGATTTCTGTTGGTTGGTATTGGAATTTTTTCTGCAGAAATCTTGACATTAATGCAGGGAAAACATGGATTTAAGACATACAACATAGAAAGCGGGAGAACTGTCAGCTTAATACACGCGCCTTCTGAAATAAGGGAGAGCAAACACAACATGTTTGACCAATATTCCCTCGTAGTAAGTACATGTTGTCAGTGTTATTTATTCTTACTTTTTAAAAAGTGATAAAAGTTTCCTGACTTAACGACACTTTTGTTTGTCAGAGACTTGGAACTGCTACTTAATAACAAAACGAGAAAGGCACACACAGAGCTGGTTCCTAATGGTGTAGGATAGACCTTGCTTGCTCATTTTCTTATCTATTTTTAATCATCGTCTTACCTTATTTTTTCACAGTTTTATTATCTTCCTGTTTCTTTAACATGATTTTTCAGTAAATAATGAAAATAATATACCAATGTTGTTTACTTAGAGACTACTGAGGTATTTGATTTAGGTGTAAGATTTGAGGATATGACGGATCTAGAAGTGGTTTATATAATGACAGGAGTTTCAATCTTGATTTTGGCAATATTGCCATGACAACAACTACATCAGGAGGCTAATTATGGCTTTTTGTGGTGTGATGTCATCAGATAGATTTTTTTTTATCAAGTCCTGTTTTTTTTTGTGATGATGATGAAGTGGTGTAGGGATACAATGGCTTTCATCTGGATAATTTGAGAGGTCAATTTACAGATTGGAAGAGATAAGATATAGGGTCATATACCCGACTATGTAGGTTTTGCAATGATACTCTAGTTTCCTCTAACAGTAAGACTCCTCATGGTTTCCTCCTGTAGTTGGACCCCTCACACACTTCCATCTGAACCAGCAGGAGTGCTTTATACAAGTTGATGTAACTTGTTTCACAATAATTGTTGCAATGTAGATGGTGTTTTATGTTATATATATCAAGCTGTAAAATTTTCATTATGCATACCAGTTAAATGGCATGATATTTTGATGTATTTTGCTACAGATCAACAACATCAATCTAATGGCGTGTAACATTGGATATGAAGGTCCTCATTTGATTGTGGTGTTTGACTACCTACAAAATGTTTGTGTCCGGATTTTGAGGGCATACTCTCATTACAGTACATTTTTGGGAGCATATCTGTCACAAGACTGTTCCTATTTGCCTGTAAATACATACAAAAGCTTCCCTCACCCAATCATTGAGGGCAAGATGAATTCTGTCAGTTGTATAGTTGTGTACAACATTGAACAAGGTGAGAAATGTCTGTATGTTGTTGATGTATGAAAGCTTATCCTCTATTGTTCAGATTTTTTATCCATTAATCAAATTTTTCGTGAGTTAACCAAAAGTCTGGCAGAGAAAGGGATGTGTTGTATTTATTTAATCATGAAATGGACGATTTATTTCTATATCAATTTAATTTTCAGAGTGTCTTCCTTTTGCATTTTCATTCCATCCTTGAAATAGTAAAAACATAGAACCCCTCAAAATTGTTATCTTTTCAGTAAATGCTTTACATGTATGTAGATTTCATCTTTAAACATGAACTCATGTCATTTATGGATAAAGTTTTAATGTTGATGGTTGAGATATGTAGTAAGTGTGCCAATCTAGTGATAGACATTTTTGTGTACCTGAGATATGTAGTAAGTGTGCCAATCTAGTGATAGACATTATTGTGTACCTGAGATATGTAGTAAGTGTGCCAATCTAGTGATAGACATTATTGTGTACCTGAGATATGTAGTAAGTGTGCCAATCTAGTGATAGACATTATTGTGTACCTGAGATATGTAGTAAGTGTGCCAATCTAGTGATAGACATTTCTGTGTACCTGAGATATGTAGTAAGTGTGCCAATCTAGTGATAGGCATTTCTGTGAAACTGAGATATGTAGTAAGTGTGCCAATCTAGTGATAGACATTATTGTGTACCTGAGATATGTAGTAAGTGTGCCAATCTAGTGATAGACATTATTGTATACTACAGGAAAGATAACTCACTGGTGTTTAGACCAGGACCTCTACAACACGTACGCCAGGGAAGGAGAGCTGGAGAAAATGGAAGTGGACAATGCTATATTGTTAGATGATGACCGTTTGGTTACCTCCAGTGAGGACTCCATCCTTCGGGTGTGGAACATAAGGACAGGTAGGTATATGTCAGTGAGAGACGTTTTGTTGTGTACTCATGTTGTATTGGTTGTTGTAAAAATATCTAACATTTCAAATTACAAAATTAAAATCTGTACTATATCTGTTCAAAATCAGACAAATGGTCCCTTTGAATAAGTTGGTTAACATTGAAAATTATTCTTTACCACGTTACACTTTCTTTCCATCTACTTCAGATAAAATTTTGTGTCCTGAGCAAAGCTTTGCTTGCATTCAAACTAGGATCATGAAACTTTGTTTATACATCAGTCATACTAAGAGAATGTGCAGTATACCGTATCCAAGGCTTCCAACCCCTTAACTACATAATTATTGCCCTTTTTTTTTAAAATTTTGTGTTCAATAAAGTTGTTATTGGGGAGCATTCATCAGTTTCACTGATGCTCTTGTCATTTTTCTAGTTCCGTGACTATATCCTGATTTCTTTGTTACAGTTTCCCAGATTATTTTGTTTTGTTCAGTCATTCTAGTCCAGGACAAAATTTGGGTCAGGTTGTCATGATGATGTCACATACAGTCATCATAAAGAACGTTACTTGGTCTTAAGATATAGGTGTATATAATTCTATCTCTGCGGCACTCCTGTTTTATAGGTGAACTGATAAAAAGATTAGAGGGACACAAAGTTCTGCCAAAGTTGGTTAAGAACCATGAAAAGAGCCCATACTTTGTAACCATGGCAAATTTTGGGGAGGAGAACTCACTGCGTATGTGGGACAAAAAAACACTGACGTGTGTGGCGATGTACCGACTGGATCACAAGGTATCGTGTCATCAAACAAAATATCTAACAAAGTTCCAAAGAACAAGGATATTTGTGTCATTTCTTCTCCACCATTACAGGGTTGGAAATTCTGTACCCTTTGATGTCAATAATCAAGGTTTAATTCAAATAAGTCTATGATAATTGTAATAAATACATGATACTGGTAACAGCACTGTGTTTGTAGTAAAAATAATAACTCCTCTGTGTCAAGAATACATAATGTGAATAATACTAATAAAAAAAGATAATCTGGACAGATTTTTATGAAGAGGAATCAGATAAACGTCAGTCAACAGACACAGCATATGACACACACATCATATATAGAAATATTTAGTACCTCACATGGTTGGCCTGCTGAATTTGTACATGAAACAACTCTAGTAGCCTTTGATATAGAAAATTTTCCATTGTTAACATGAGATCTAATTGAATTTATCATGAAAGAGGGAAAGAAAAGCATTCTCTCCCTTGGTAAAACAATGTGATTTTCTCTTTATAGCTTATTTTATGAACATCCTTTAGTAGTGACCATTGGGCAGTCCAGAATACATACCCAGATGATGTATAAAAAACACTAACAAGACCTATGTCCATGTTGTACAATTGTATTTCATAATTTTGTCTTTGTTGTAAATATCTCTATTTGTTTTAGATCCAAATGGTCACATTCTGTGACGATGGACAAAGCCTTGTTTGTATCATGGATGATTGTAGTCTGATACACTGGACACTGGTCAATCCAGACACCTGTACCAAGTCCACCATCCTGGCTGACCATCCACTCACCTTCAAGGGTCAAGGTCAGTGTATTTCTGTTGTGCTAATATGGCTTCTGAGTATCAGTGTACAGACACAAAATATTATACCGTCTTTCAAATCTGTGATGGAATAATCTGTAGGTCTTTTTCTGCAGTGTTTTTAATCCTTGTCACTTCTCTGTGATTTTAACCTTAAATGATCAGATTTCTGGATACTCGTCAACATATTTTTCAGTTTCATATAACCAGTATAAAAGCTGTACATATGGAGAAGCTATGTAGAATAACAAAGTCACACATATGGAGAAGCTATGTAGAATAACAAAGTCACACATATGGAGAAGTTATGTAGAGTATCAAAGTCACACATATGGAGAAGTTATGTAGAATATCAAAGTCACACATATGGAGAAGCTATGTAGAATAACAAAGTCACACATATGGGGAAGTTGAGTATGAATTTTTATAAAAGGTGAATCTGTCTTTTGTTCAATTACAAAGTCGGTACCCAATAGGAAAAATATTTCAGAAATTGTTTTTTCATATTTGATATTCTTTTTAAATGAATTAATAGCTTAATTAGCAAGGAGTGTGATACGGGCCCCTTGGATGACTTATTTTAAAATATGATCATTACTGTTATGCTATTAGATATTATGTTTTCTTCCCATGTTTGTTTAAACCATCTGTCTGCATGTAATAACTCTTTATTCTCTGAGTAATCTTGTTGAAATCATTGCTGTAGGTTTATCTTAACATTGTTTCCAAGTTGTGTGTTTATCAACAGTCGACGTCCCTGCTGTAGGGTTATCTTGACATCGTTTCCAAGTTGTGTGTTTATCAGTTCTGTTGACGTCCCTGCTGTAGGTTTATCTTGACATCGTCTCCAAGTTGTGTGTTTATCAGTTCTGTCGACGTCCCTGTTGTAGGTTTATCTTGACATCTCCTCCAAGTTGTGTGTTTATCAGTTCTGTCGACGTCCCTGCTGTAGGTTTATCTTGACATCTCCTCCAAGTTGTGTGATTATCAGTTCTGTCAGCGTCCCTGCTGTAGGTTTATCTTGACATCGCCTCCAAGTTGTGTGTTTATCAGTTCTGTCGACGTCCCTGCTGTTGGTTTATCTTGACATCGCCTCCAAGTTGTGTGTTTATCAACACTGTTGACGTCCCTGTGGTAGGTTTATCTTGACATTGTCTCCATGTTGTGTGTTTATCAGTTCTTTTGACGTCCCTGCTATGGGTTTATCTTGACATCGCCTCCAAGTTGTGTGTTTATCAACACTGTTGACGTCCCTGTGGTAGGTTTATCTTGACATTGTCTCCATGTTGTGTGTTTATCAGTTCTTTTGACGTCCCTGCTATGGGTTTATCTTGACATCGCCTCCAAGTTGTGTGTTTATCAGTTCTGTAGCCTAATATGCTTGCCATATCTTTCCGCAAATAATACAAATAATTTCAACTGAGATTTTATATACTTATCACCCCCATAACGCTTAATATATGTGAAAAGACTGAATATGTATATCTATTTTAGGAAAAAAGTATTTATCACCATTCTGAACTCTACTCTCATGTTTGTTACACACAGAGTGTGATATCACGCTAGAGATAAATAATGAAGAGGAAGACAAACAAACTGACGAACTTGACCCGGATGATGATGATGATGATGATGATGAAAATGTTGATGCTGAGAATGATGACGGCGATGATGATATCGGTGATTCAGATAACTTTACAGATGACAATGACTCAGATGACTTTGATGAAGAAGATGACGACGACGATTATTGAACAGAACAATGTTGGAATCTCAATAAAAAAGTATGAAATGTCATTAAATCAGCAAATGTTAACATCATCATCTCATACTAGCTACATATGTAGCATGTGAAGGCAGCATCCTAATGGGAAAAAAATAACTGTTTTTCTTTGTAGGTTCTCAAATGACAATACTATCTGGTGTGTGTGTAGCTATATATATATATATCATTATGTTCCCAATTCACTCAAGAATGTAAAAATAATAGAAAAAAAATTCACTTCAAACTTCATACATGATTTGGTCTCTATAAGAACATTTGTGATAGTTTCTTTGAGTTTTATCACACTTTGCCAAAACTTGTACCATATAGTGATCACTATGATAATGTTTACCTGTAAATGTTTTTACATAGTACCAGTTTCTTAGTATATCTACATAACAAACATATCTAGTTTTTTGTAATGTTCGATTTAACCAAAAGTTCCAGTTAACATTTATGTGAAGGAAGATAAATTTTACACTGACTTGATCTCAAAAGTATGATTTATTGTTGATTTGTTTGTAGCTTGCTTGGACAAAAAACATTCCTTTAGGCTTTTAACCATTAAGTATTCCTGTTATTGATCTATTTATATAAATCATAGTGAAGTGCTCTAAGATAAAGTAATTATCATCATAGCAAACTCAATGTGATGTTTTCACTTCAATTTGTTAATTTTGGACAAAATCCTCTGGATTTCTCTTTATTTTATTTTACATTATTTTACATAGATAATAAATATTTACATATTTATTTACAAAATTATATCTTTTACATAAAATGTACACATTAGTATATATTTACTCTTTATTACAATCACATTTTATCCTGACTTGTTAGAATCATATCTCATAGTATGATTAATTATATGTGAATTTGGTATGATAGAATTTTTAATACTTTACAATTAGTGCAATTATCAAAGGGTGATTAAAACTATGATATACTGACAATTTATGAAACATGATTATATTTAATAAACGTATGGCGTTTGGCTGATATTAACATAGTAAGGTAGTATTTTCTGTTAGGAGTTAACCTATTGTTGCTGTTGACGATCTTTATCAGCAGGGATATTTGTTTTTAACATGTACACTTGTTCAAAATAAAATTCTATTTCTGACAACTGTTATTCTTGTTTTGTATGAAGATTTATCTCGTAAAATGTATAATTTGTTAATCTATTTCCTTGAAACCACACAAAAATTTTAGGGATCTTGTGTAGAGATGCATTAAATTTGAAATCATCATGCTTTGTGGAAAGCTGGTATTGTTGTGTGAAAATTATGTCCGGAAAACTTCTCCTGAACTCGAGAACCAATTTTCATGAAACTACCCAGGAATGTTAGAGATCACATGTAGATGTGTATGCTGGTTTTTTTGCAGAAAGTTTGGTTGCTCTGATTATTGGTTCATTAAAAACAGGTTTTTGTGTAAAGAAATTGACAAGTCAACTCCACATAGTTTTTGTGTAAAGAAATTGACAAGTCAACTCCACATAGTTTTTGTGTACAGAAATTGAAATGTCAACTCCACATAGTTTTTGTGTAAAGAAATTGACAAGTCAACTCCACATGGTTTTTGTGTAAAGAAATTGACAAGTCAACTCCACGTGGTTTTTGTGTAAAGAAATTGATAAGTCAACTCCACATAGTTTTTGTGTAAAGAAATTGACATGTCAACTCCACATAGTTTTTGTGTAAAGAAATTGACAAGTCAACTCCACATAGTTTTTGTGTAAAGAAATTGACATGTCAACTCCACATAGTTTTTGTGTAAAGAAATTAACAAGTCATCTCCACATAGTTTTTGTGTAAAGAAATTGACAAGTCATCTCCACATGGTTTTTGTGTAAAGAAATTGACATGTCAAGTGCACATAAGCTGTAGAACTGACTTACATAAAACTACATTGAAATGGTAGGGATCCTGTGTATATGTTCATGCAAGTTTTTGTTAGCAGCAATTATAGTTGTCAAAGTCACCAGCTAATTAAACACCAGCTTTTAAGTGATAATTCTGTCTGAACAACTCCTAAACTTGTAAAATGCCAGTTTTAAACCCCTCCTGCAACATTTGACTTGGCAATTGTGTATGTCTAGAGAAATTCAAGGTCATAGGTAAACTTTAAGGTCACTGGGACTGATACTTAAACAACTGGTGTAGAAACTCCTTGCACCTGTGGGTGTAACGGATGTCCTCAAGATGACATTTCTAGGTGGCCTACAATTTTCAAACACAGACTTGAAGTTAATTTCAAGAACGTTTATTAAAATCAAATGACATATGAAAGCCTACTTTACATACGACTTGTTCTGTAACAGGTTTTATTCCCTTTTCTCTGCTTCGATCAGGTATCTATTGGCCATGTAACCTGTAAGTCCTGAGGCTTCAGGAGAATAATCAGCTGTAACACCAGACGGTAATCTGAGATTGAATTTTTGAAGGATAATCGATATCATCAGTGTTAGCTCTTGTTTTGCTGTAGATTCTCCCATACACATTCTTTTTCCGGCGGAAAAAGGCAGCCAACTTTCAGGTGATGGAGCTAACTTCCCTTCTGACGTCAGAAACCTCTCCGGGTCAAATGTCTCAGGTTGTTGCCAATGTCTTTTATCATTGTGAAGTGCCCAGTGGTTGATAACAACTATCGTGTCCTTGGGAACATCGTACCCACCTGATATAGAAAAAGACTCTGTTTATAACTGCATTTAAAGACGAAAAGTAGTAGTTGTGATGGAAGAGACCAAAAATGTGAATAACTAGATGTAGCATTAGAGAAATCAAACTTGATTCACAGGATATTGGAAAAGAAAGATGTACTAAATTAAAGTGACGAATAATTTCAAACGTACATGGATATATTTTGTACCGATACTGCTATTAACATTCAAGTAGCTGTAATAACTACACAACATTCTGGAATAATCATGACAAATATCACCTGCAAACATGCATTTAGTAAAAGTTGATTCAGTATGTAGAAAGAAAATTTTACTACTGTTAATTAGTAACCTAATTGTAATTAGTAGTAACCTAATTGTAATTAGCGGTAACTTATTTTTAATTAGCAGTACCTTAATCGTAATTAGCAGTACCTTAATTGTTATTAGCGGTAACTTAATTGTAATTAGCGGTAATTAGCGGTAACTTAATCGTGATTAGCGGTAACTTATTTGTAATTAGCGGTAACTTAATTGTAATTAGTAAGGGCAAATTTTGAAAGGTAAAGTAATTTGAAAGCTTCAAGATATTTCTTAATATAATTCAGTAGTTCACTTATTTCATTGGAATATGTATACATACAAATGTTGGAATCAACTCGAGCAGCATGGGCAACGCCAAACGGTACCACCGAAGCAATTCTCATCACCTCGTATAGTACTGCCTCTGTGTAAGGGAGGGCGGCGCGGTCCTTTATTGTTGGGAGTCGGTCTCGACCTTTCGATGTATAATATTAGGTATCAAACATCAACGTTATGAAATACAGAAAATAAAATGTTGCGCATTGAATATTATCGTGATGGTTTTCTATGCTTAAATTAAACAAACTTATTTTGATCTAGTGGTACGTTTTTATTCAATTACAGCAGTCAGCGTCCAATTTTGTATAGAGAATACTCGACAGTGATGTTTTGATCAAGGAGGAAAGTTATTGAGTTGGTCCTTTTGTTACATCTTCAGTGTGACCTAATACCACGTGTTACACATTTATATTGGAAATATGCTATGTAACAATGACATTGTTAGAATCCGTGTTGACCCATTAACCAATTAACAAATAATGATAACGTATGATAAGATCCGCCTGTCACAACTATCATTAATGCTGCATAATGTAAGTACGGCTGTGTCAGTTGCTTTGGGCATGCCTTTGTGAGTACGGCAATAAAATCCTAGTTGTGTCTATTTGTCTAAAGACCAAAAAAGTCCAAAAGACGGACAAGGAAGTGCTTTATCTGTTCCTAGTCAATGCCCTGGAAACATTTTAGTACTAGTGAGTTTATCTTCACATCGTCCCACCCCAGCCACCACTGTTGTTGTGGTTACCTGTAGGCTGGTATACACTCGTTTACATACCTACGACTGCATCGATCTCGTCCTGGGCCCGCTTCTGTACTTCAGGATGATCGGCCAAGTATAACAAGCCCCAGGTCAGTGTTAATCTTGTAGTTTCAAATCCCGCTGATTACAAAAAATCACTTATCAGGATACTTATATTACAATATAATAATAACAAAGTGCTCTCATATAAAAGTTAATTCATTGCTGTAAATTTTCAATATTTCAGTAAAATAATAGCTATCAAAATGTGTGCCGAACATAACTTACCAAAGAAAAGGTCCGCTATTGTCTGTCGTAGATGGACATCAGTTAACTGACTCAGTAGCTCAGCATCCTCTTCGTCCTCTGCTTCCTTTCGTGTCAAGATGACAAAATCAGTCAGGTCTTTGATGTCATCTAAATGTCAAACAGTTTATTAGTTCTAAATGATACCAACGTTGTCATTTATGTTACGGAAAAGTACGTTACCCAGAAAGAATAAAGACTGAAACATCTCAGAGTGGTAGACTATTGCTTACTGCATAAGTACTGCTCATTGATAACCAATTATTGTAGTCGGTCACGCGAGAAATGGTTTGCAATTAAAGACGGGTTTATTCTAAATAAAAGAAATAAGACAATTCTGACATGTTCAGAAAATTTAACTTCCAACTCATAATCGATAACACGAAGGCAAATTATAATAAACAAAATAGAGATTTACCCGGAGGACGTTTGGAAAAGTACAATGATAATAAGATAGGGTGCTCAAGAGGGGTAAGCTTGTTCATAAACAAAACTCGCAGTATAAATCGTGCTCAATCCTAGAAAGTAGTGTCAAGTTCTCAAAGAAATATTTAAAATAAAAAGAAAGAAAAAGATGAAATACGGACATTTGATGAAAATTATGAGGAAGTTTTACTGTCGTCATAGCGATCTCATTGCAAATATTGGTTTTGTCGAGCGATATGAAACTGGACGTGTTAGATGTTCCTTAGTTTGCCTGGTCTGTTGATTACGTTAACATATTTTCTTGATGTTTTTGAAACATCGATTATTGACTTGGGGCTGGTATCTTTTTTTAGCTTTTTAAATATGTTATATCCAATAAGTTAATCTTATAAACAAATGTGATGTAACGGTCATCTGCACATTTATTAACTTTTTTGGCCGTCAAATCTTGGTTTTTATAAAGATCTGAACTTGTCGTTTATTATTAGAGAAAACATTGTCTTGCTAAATCCGTTAGTTTAACGTTTTCATGATGTGTTATCTTTAATTAATTCAATAAAATGACATTGCCTTACCTACCAAATTTAATGTTGTACAGCTGATCCAATCTTCAGGAGCTTTACCCCATGCCATTTTATAAATAATTTCAAACTTTTGCGATCGTCAAAAAAGATCATTATCGGATGTTCCACGATACCAAATGTATTATGATTTTAGATTTAACGTGTACATTCTGCTTTTTTTGTTTTTTTTTTGTCTAGGTTTCTTTCCTCCTAACGTATAATTTTGGGTACATGACTTTCACCGAATTTGAACACTTACTTGCATCAAATTTCTCGACATGGTCGCGGAATTCATCTAACAGAAACTGCAGCATTTCCTTGAAGTATCCCATAACCTTTCGGTATTGTTGGCTGGGCCAGATTTTGGCCAAAAGAGGAAAAACATCTTCTATTAACCCATTACCGAATACTTTAATGAATTCATCGTCAGCGTCCATAAATTTGGTAAACTTTGGATCGTCAAATTTGTACCTGAAATATATATATATCGATGTAAGAAATCAGGATTCAACTTTCGATTTTGGTGCATTGTTCCTACACAGAGAAAAGATAATTCCATTTTGAATTGCGCAAGGGTCCAAAGATTTGTTGACCGACAAGTTAAGCACCATGTGCAGTGATTAGATCTTAAATGTACTATCTAGTGCAGGGTTGGTGATTTTATTCTCCGACAAAACTTTAACTCTTAATAACAGGTCAGTAAGGAATCAGCGAGGTAACAATATCAAATATGTATCAAATATTTTGTTTTATATGTATCAAAATTTGTCACCCAATCGCGGTTTCAAACAGATATAAATTATACACCCATTACACATTCAAATTAATTCCGGTTGTTATAATTATGTCGAGGTTCATTCCAACAAAATACTTACGAACGTCTACTTCAATCATCGTTATTTTCTTTTTCTGTTCAAATCTACAAAGTCATTACCACACACAGGAGTTGTTTCCCTTATATTACGAACTTCAATAGGTTCCGGTAGGTGTAAAATTCTTTCGTTAACATGCAAACATGTACATGTCAATGAATCAACGATATTGTTTGAAATTAAGACTGAATTATATTAGATAAACCCAAAAGTAATGCAAACTTACACTTTGTTGAAACAGAGTCCACACATCACATTGAACAAGGCGTGGTCTACGTAAGCATGAGGTGTGAAGGCTTGTCCCTCAGTTTTCATCAATATAGTAACGAATTCCTTCATAGAGGCATGAACAGCAGCTTCTGGTTTCTCACCTCGTAAGTACTTCCTGAACAGAAAAGACATTTGTCTTGCGATTAGAGCCTGGTCGTAAGATAGAAAAGTATAGATATATTGTTTTTTACGTTTTGTTCACGTGTTGTTTAAAACCAGTTGTCTTTACAATGCTTCCGAAAACTGCAATCGCTGTCTCGTTATGGTGACATATTTGTGTCAAAATTATGAGTTAAGTAAAAAAAAAGTAAAAGTTTGGTGGGTTTCTTTAAAGAAGTAAAAAATATGTGATACGATCATATAAAAAAGAACAACCATTTTTCTGAAACAATAAAAAGATGGTTTTGTTAGATCAAATATACAAATAATGTGACCTGTAGTCTTAATAAGAAATTTCTAACTAAATACGTTCATTTCAAACCTATAAACTGATATATTTTGAAACTGAAAATATGAACAAAATAATAATCAAAAGAATCAACAAGATTTACATCAAAATATTTATCAGGTATAAAAATGGCGACGGTGACTTTGTTCCATTACTCCTTAGTCTGGATCTTCTCTTCAATGTGACTTAATTATATACCGAGTCTATCAGAGAAACACCAGACAAAGAATCCACGGCAGGATGCAGTAAGGTCATCTTATCACGGTCTCTACAATTAATGTAAGACACGTTTGGTAAAATGATAACATACATAGGTTCGACCAATGATAAGTGTTTTACAATAATGCTTGTGGTTCCACCAACCTGAGAGCTTTGGTGGCAATTCTGCGGTGGATTTTCCACGTGGGTGAGTATTGTGATAAGAAGATGTTCTTGCCGCCCTCACTAAGTTCTGTCCCTTTGTTAATAAAAAGATTAATAAATAAAATATTTATGGAAACATCAGTCAAAACGGTCTCTGTACTACTACCCCATCATTTGAATCTGATCTAGATTTACATGGCGTCAGACCATAATGAAACAGTGAACCGTTTCCTTTCCAAACACTTTCTACATGCTGTTTACACTTTCAGTGTGTTTATCGAGTCTGAGTAAGAATGGCTGGTTCGTGTATTTGACGGTATCATTTGTTGTTTTCTGTCATAGATGTCAAAGGCATATTGACATGCAATGTTGTATTCTTTTCAAGAACGAAGTAAAGAAATAAAATTCTTCACACATTTTGCTCGGTTACAGTCCTTGTTACTGTCCGACATTGTCACCATGCACCTTTTACATCTTCAATGTACCCGGTATATTAGAAAGTGTAGTGATGTTACACAGACCTGATAGGATCATTATCAGCTTTAACAAAGAAAATTCCTATTAAATCAGATGAGTATTTTCACAGATAAAACACCTACCAGAAAGGGTGACGGGTCTGTTTGCAAAGTCCGCCCCTTTTGTAACCATGGCCTCCATTACGGCTTCAATGGTATTCAAAACCACCATCCGGATTGGACCTGTCGTAACATGGATAAAGCTCAAATACATATATGATCATGACATGTTACGTGGCATTAACCTGTATTTCAATATGCCGTAATAACCTCGAAAGGAATATTAACTATTATTTTCTGTATTGGTTTTGATAGTACAAGAAAGGGAACCGTATTTTTTTTTATTCTTTTCGCGACGTTTTACCGCTCGGTTTCGTAATAATAAAAACAAAATGGCTTCTTATCGAATAACACTACAGAGGAACGCCAACAAGACTTAAGGTAAAATCCTTGATAATGACTTCTACTACATTTTTGTGGGGATGAAACAAATCGACATGAAATTAGCTTCTAGGGGTTAATTTTAAACAACTAAAATATATATCTCTTTGCAGTTACTGAAAAATATACCTACTTACCAAACTGAATAGTGATGACGGGACCATAGGTACCAGATAGTCGGGCACATGTCTCGTGCAATCTAGAATCTCCCAATACTATCATGAAAAATAGATATATATAGTGAGTTGCAATCTGATCTGCTCGTTATCATATATATACTCAAGGGATAAAGAAACGCAGGGTAAACTTTGAAGATGATTCTAGGCAAGACGTCAATATTTTAGAGTAAGAATGAAGATTAATCCATACAGAACGAACTGCAAAATCAACGATTTGTATTTGGTAAGTGATTTGGGAGTAATCGAAGGGAATTGAAAGAGAACTCTGTAATCTTAAATCGGAATGGACTAACTGTCGGAGCTGGCTAGTCAATACAGGGTATGTCCCCATTCGCTCTCTCCACAGCCCTGATTCTCATAGGCATATAGTTCATGAGTGAGTTCATCCTCGTCAATGGGATGTTGGCCCATTTTTCCAAGAGGGCTGCTCTCAGTTGAGCCAGAGTAACGGGAGGCTGGCGTCGTCGAACCTGTCTATCCATTTGGTCCCACAAATGCTCATTAGGGGATAGGTCGGGGCTGTATGGCGGCCAGACCAGTGGGTGGATATTGTTTTTAGTAAGGAAGTCGCGACAAATCCTCGCTACATGGGACCGAACATTAATCTGAGGGAATGTGATGTTATTTTACTGCAATAATGGGACAATATGAGGTCGAAGGATCTCATCTCTATACCTAGCGGCAGTTAAATTACCTGCTACCACACCCAGTGGTGATTTACCTGCATGTGAGATTCCTTCTCACACCATAACCGATCCACCCCCAAACCTATCCATCTCTGCTAGCAGCAGTCGGCAAAACGTTCTCCACGACGTCGGTATACACGACGTCGACCATCTGCTCGAAACAGGGTAACCGGGACTCATCAGTAAACAAGACTCGCCTCCACGTCTCAGTGGGATATTCAGGGGTCATATGCCGCCACCCAAGCCATACGACGCTGGTGACAAGCAGCAGTAAGGGGCAGACCTACAAACGGGTGCCGTGTCTCCAGGACAACTTCCTGCAATCGTTTCCTTACAATTTTTGCATGGATAGAACGGTTATGAGTACCTATGCTATGAAGGGCAACTTCAGTGACAGTAAGGTGCCGATTGCGTAAATGCGCGAGATGAATATAACCTGTCCTAACGTTGTGACTTCACGCGCAGACGCCCAGATCTAGTCTTTCAGCAACCTGCCCAGTTTCCCTTAGACGTCTAACAAGACGTTCTACAGTGCTAATATGGACACCGAAATGTCTGACAACCTGTATTTGCCTTTGACTTTGCACAATCATCGCAATGGCCTGACCCCTCTGAACTTCCGTCAGCCATAACATGTGTCTTTATGAAAACTACCTAATGGTATGACGAGCAGTGTCACTCAATGTCACAACACTGCTGTACACGAGATTTTCCTGTTTCGTACTTTCCCCTAAAGACATCGTCCCGCAATATATTAATGCAACATTCGTTATTACAGAACTATGCATTGTAACAGAGAGTTTCTTGACTGCTTTACATTGGTTTTGAACCACGCGTCCGCAAGATATTACAAATAATGTCACCCTGCGTTTCTTTATCCCTTGAGTACATTTGTTATCACACTTTAGAACGGAAGTATATTAAATGTACGTACAACTGTAGTTCCCGACTAATGGCAAAGCAAGTGGTCCTGGTGGTAGGCGGTATCTTTTTCTTTTTATCAACCAATAAGCAACAAGACCCGCACTAAAGCTGACCAGACAGGTAGTCGGTGTGAGGTGGTTCCGAATGAGCGAGAGCATTTCTTTGATATGACATAAGCCATCTCGTATTTGTTCTTTGAGTTCGTCCATGGCGAAGATAAATGTGACGTACCTGCTTATATAAAAAAGCAATGCAATATAACGAGTTAAACTTAACGGATGTGGACGTTTATCGCTGGTGCTGGTATACATATTTCTGGTGTAACAAACGCGAGAGGAAGAATAAATCATTATAAATAGATTTTGACAAAAATGAATAGAGAAGAATTTAACATTATTTACCAAAATATGCTATCTATTCAAGAGAAGACGAATTAATTTCGTATATTGCTGAATTTTCTCACTCTTTTATTGCATTAAAGTAACTTAAAAATACGGGTGAAATCCTTCGTTTAAACAACAGTGGTCCAATCAATAACGGAAACATCTATCATACGAAGACAGGTATAGCGGATATACTACCAGGCAGGATGATAAACAAGTCCTACATATGCGTTATAAAGGTGTATATACTATATATACGTATCTAACATAATATCTCATATAATTTAAATAACATATTATATATGATACACATGTTTTTCCCGAACATACATGAGTTAAGTTTCGAAATCTAAGCTTCTCAGGTCACTGTCAACTGGATATATTGACATTATCTCGTAGTTAAGTAAGTTGGTTCCCCTTTAGGGGTTAAATCACAATGAATTCCTTTATCATGTACATGATGTCATTTTTTCCAAAATGAACACAATGCATCAAAGTGAATAACACACTTCATTATAAAGATTATAAAAAGGAGAATAATATATTTATATATACAATCTGGAGTTCGATACGGAAGAGTGAAATAGTAAATTAGTATTGGAGGAAACTGGGGAAGTTTCACGTTGTTGGAAATAGGTGTGAAAAACTATCTGGAAGAAATACAATTATTTTCAAATCAGTGTAAGAAATCCTAATTGCACAGATCATCAAAACATGTCATTATTTTTGTAAATGTAGAATAATTTGTGTATCCAAGCATAACGAACGGCATAGAAATATCTGTATGCGTGTTGTCAAAGCCCATCAATGTACTAAAGTTGTTTAAACAATCATAACATTACCTCATGTCTCCTATTGACACACGGAGGAATACCCACGATTCTATAATAGTGTACGTAGTTTACAGCAGATAGAGGACGGACTTACTCTGTCACCGATATTATATATATAAACTGTTCACGGTACACATTTGTTTTGTCCGATCAGATGTTCGTCATAGTAGTGAGATATGTAAATATGTTGAATCACACGATATAGCTGTACAAGTGATTTGTGACCTGTTGCTAACAGCGAGATGATTTGTTTGACCTATTAAAATACAGCGACATGTTCATAGTACTTGTAATTATAGATGATAGGATATTGATGTACACTGGTATATAGTGCTCTCTCACGTTTACATACCTGTGTGTTTTTGGAGATGTGAACTCACGTTTACATACCTGTGTGTTTTTGGAGATGTAAACTCACATGTACATACCTGTGTGTTTTGGATATATGAACTCACGTGTACATGCCTCTGTGTTTTTGGAGGTGAAAACTCACGTGTACATACCTTTGCATTTTTGGAGATGTGAACTCGCGTGTACATACCTGTGTGTTTTGGAGATGTGAACTCACGTGTACATACCTGTGTGTTTTTGGATATGTGAACTCACGTGTACATACCTGTGTGTTTTAGAGATGTGAATACCTCCTGTGTAAATCAGAACTAGCGTTTATAATTTCAGTCTCAAAATAGATATACCGAGTCTTTTAAGATCTATCTCTTCAACTCACCTCTACTCTGCTTTTGACGAACTGTAAGGGTATACTGAATGCAACGAGTGACACATATTCACCTCGGTGAGGCGTACGTGTTACACTGATATAGAAATGTTACACGTAGCCTACTGAATGGCGTCCCCTGCCTTTTTTTTACACGACCTTAACTACTGTGTGCGAGCCATACATACAGAGACTATCAGTGCGCTTGTACTTTTGTCGTGGTGAATTTTCACCGGTTGGACAGGTGACATATCGTACAATACAGTATTGCCGTTTTCATTATAAATTTGAAAGAAAATTGGTATTTCGCAATATGAAGAAAGTAAATTTTCCTCACACAAGTCTTGATCACCGCTACAACTACTTATCTTGTGTGCTAGTTTGGAGACAGGATTGCATGTTGTTATGTACATAAATAAACTAATCACTATATTTTGCATTGTTTCCAGCTGCATGATATATCATTACTACTTAGTAATAGGCAATGAAAAGTGTATGTTGTAGCGATGGAAGTATTGTATAGAAACTTTAATCATGGAACATGTATTACCAGTATAAATTTCCTTATGCCTAAGGCGTGTTTACGTGTAACTCCACACACGAGTGATCTAAACCTCGTCCTGTATCATTTTGTGATCCTAAGTTATTATTAATGAATCTAATGAATTATCACAGACAAGAAAATAAAAGTTTAACACATTTTCTTATTGATGCAAGTATTTTAAATGAATATTTCTTTACTCGTTTAAAAACAACTGATATGAATATTTGGATAATAGAAATTAGGATACTGATCTAAATGTGTACCAACTGAAAATTCTGACTATTTTTATTCTTGTTTTGATTTGGCTCAGGACTAGACATTAAAGTACAGCATACCGGATATCTCAAACGAGCGGGAACTGTTTTTGTATAAAGCTATATGCTAAATGCTAAAAGCTAAATGTATCATTCCGTTGTGTATTCCTTTCTATGCACATTTCGCAAGTTGTGACACTCGCAGTACTTCTGTCCTGAAATTGTTTACGTGCGGATGATTTATTGCAAGATAACCATCCCAATTTGTTGATTATTTACTTCACTGTCCCATGAAAAACTATACCCAATTCAATGAGCATAGTGAAACTCTTACTGGTTAGCACGATAGCATCCACGATTTATAAAAAAAACAAGAGATGATATTCCGAAAGAAAAACAGGTAATGATCGACTTCAACAGCTTAAATGATGTCTAGAACTACGCCACCAGGTAGGTACTGCTCGATAATTAGAAATCCATAATCAAGAGAGGTAAACCCTGTTAAATTTTCAACATAGAGCTTTTATGACACCAGTTAGAGAATTTTTTGGAGAATAACCAATAAAGAACGGAAATGTCCCATTGTGACAAAACAAGTAATCAGGCAGATATAGTCCAGTGCATCTCCAGGGTGAGATTCATAACTGTTGGACGCTAAGATGGCGCTTAAATAAAAAAATATATTATGAGGTTCAGAAATGCACGGAATATTCTATACCAAAAATAGCATGGAGACTACAGGTTATATTCCTGACAAAAAAATCAGATCAAAGTAACATCGTCGTGATCAGGACTTTCATTAATTCTTTATTTTTCCTTGTGTTGTACCATACATCGGAGAGAAGACATTATGGCACAATATGATAGTACACCATTACACATATTGCAACAAAGTAGTCTAACACTTACTTTGATAATAATCAATATTATAGTAATAGACACTAATTCACATACTAATCGACTGTAATATAAATTCTAGTAATAGACGATAATTGATATAGAAACGCGCAATAATTCATATTATAGTACTAGACAATAATTCTCATTATAATACTGGATAATGATACATATTACAGTAATTGCCATATTGTTACAAATACTGTTTACTATCATAGTCAAAACACGTTATAACACATCATAACTGTATAATTGTAATGTATTATGATATACTTATAACATCCTACACTATAATTACTGACTATTATAAAATGGCTTGGATAATAAAAGTACATTTAAATTAAAAATATAATTATCAACATCGTACAATGTATTAGAGCAGCACATTGTATTGTGTTGATGTACAGTGTAATACTTAATAATGGGGTGAACTTGATTACACTTGGTCTTCCATAAAAGTATATCTTAATATATGTACCTCAAAGATTGTTATAAAAACTACACTTAGTATCAAATGAAATTCATCCTCTATATCATTTTTCTGACGTAATGTACAGGTTCTTTGCTTTCTTTGCTGATTTCTATATCCACCTTGTTCTATGTTTAGATTATGTGAGCTAAACAGAAACCTGGCTATATATATACTTTTCCACTTATCCAGCATTTAAAGAAAAAAATATCAATAATATGTTAATATATTTTACCTATAGAAATATTACTAATATCAGATAATATCCCTTGATGATAAACATCGTAAAGTCTTTGTTTAATCAAGTTGAACACAATTTGTCGTTACAATCTGTATTCCACAAATAGCGTAATCCTAATCTGTTAAGCTCGACTTGAATATTCAATATCCATCTATCATAAAATGCTACCCTTTCATCAAAACAAGATACATTTATTTGTATCCTTCATCTTAAACTAATATTTAAGTATTCTCAGTCTCCTACAGGTTAAAAGTGGTAGTTGTCCAACTCACAACATACTAAACTAATATTTAAGTATTCTCAGTCTCCTACAGGTTAAAAGTGGTAGTTGTCCAACTCACAACATACTAAACTATTACATACACTTTTGTTTACACCAAGGAATCATTTGCAAAAATAACAAGCATTTTTTCAACATCCAAAGTTTTATAAAATTTATACTTGGTATTATATTTTTGCGATCTATTCGACATTCTTTGTAATTTATCGGACGATTTTGCAAATAAAACCATGAGGTCTGTATACACCAAAAGAAAAATATTTATCATGTTGATTTCTATCGATGGACAACCTTCTTTAAAAAGATACATTTCACAATCTTTAACATATATAGAATGTAAAATTGGTGATAAAATTTCTCCTTGAAAGAGGCCGTTGTTGTTACTAAAATATAAAGAATAAGCTCCATCGTGCTTAACACAGGATTCAACACAGCTATACAAGGACTGAATAATTTTACCGCCCACACATTGTATTAATGTACACCACTTATTAGGTTTATCAGTATAATCAAACGCCTTTTCTTAGTCTCCAACACAGCATGAAAATCTCCCTCTTTTTTACCTGAATATTTATTTATTATTAAAGATTAGAGAACAACAGTTGCACCAGTAATAGATTGACCAGGTCTAAAACCAAATTGAGGCTCGTTATTGCACTATTTTCTTTATCATTATCAAATTATCATGTATTCAATATGCCCATGTAATTAACCAAGGTGATGCCTCTGTATTTGCGTCATCATTTCCCCCTTTCTTGTATACTGGTGTTTTATACAACCAAACTTCTGGAAAAGAAACCTGATTGGAAAATGGAAATGAACGACTTAAGATATATCTTTGCATTCTGTGAATAATTCATCAAGTGATTTTCTTCCTCAAAGCTCTAATTCCTGTTCAAGTTACTGATAGCAAAACTAACCTCTTCTTCATTAATAATCATATCCAATTCGTCAGATATGTTTTCTTTTCCGTTCATGTCAACTGTACACATACTATTATGTTTCCATGACGACTTAACTTTAAAATAGTTTGAAAAACCTATCTGGAGTAATTTTGCCTGAAGTTTATAATTTGCGCTTACTAAAACTATTGGTAAAGTGTTTTGGATTTTGCCTTCATAGATACTCCTTCATATCACCCTAATGACGTTGGTATGGGAAGTATCCTAATTAATTCTTCATATTGAAAGCCTGCAGAGGACGAAGAAAATGATGCATTTTCAGTATGTAGATTAGTATCTGAGAAAAGTATCTTTGATACAGATCCATTAAACGCCAGACATTTCTCTGGACAATCCTTTCGTTTATTACTGTCTTCAAAGAAGGGAAGTTACTTTACTGATGTTTTATAATGATATAAACAGCGGTTGTCGTGTTAGTAGACCTTATCCAACAAATGACTGTATGACACGATAATTACGTCCATTCTCAGGTCATTTGTTACCCCATCACCTAGATAATTTCGATTGCAGAGTATATTTTTCGGGAGTAATGTTCTCTTTCCTAAGTAAATGTTCTCTTTTAACTTTTTTATAACCAAGGTTCCAAATGTTACATAGTATATTTAGATATTTCCATGAATGAAACGTTGACGGTCTGTGCTGTTGTATTGCTCATTGTTGAAGTAAAGTGGTGTTGTGTTTCCCATTAAGTAAAATATAGTGTTGATGTAATGTTGTTTATGGTTCAGGTGAAGTATAGTTTTATTGTCGTGTTGTTTATTGCAGAAATAAAGTATAATTCTATTGTCTTGACGTTAATTCTTTAATTGAAGTATAGTGCTGTTGTCATGTTGTTTATGGTTTAAGTGAAGTATAGTGCGATTGTCATGTTGTTTATGGTTTAAGTGAAGTATAGTGCTGTTGTCATGTTGTTAATGGTTTAAGTGAAGTATAGTGCTGTTGTCATGTTGTTAATGGTTTAAGTGAAGTATAGTGCTGTTGTCTTGTTGTTTATGGTTTAAGTGAAGTATAGTGCTATTGTCATGTTGTTAATGGTTTAAGTGAAGTATAGTGCTGTTGTCTTGTTGTTAATGGTTTAAGTGAAGTATAGTGCTGTTGTCATGTTGTTAATGGTTTAAGTGAAGTATAGTGCTGTTGTCTTGTTGTTTATGGTTTAAGTGAAGTATAGTGCGATTGTCATGTTGTTTATGGTTTAAGCGAAGTATAGTGCGATTGTCATGTTTTTTATGGTTTAAGTTAAGTAAAGTGCGTTTGTCATGTTGTTTATGGTTTAAGAGAAGTATAGTGCGATTGTCATGCTGTTTATGGTTTAAGTGAAGCATAGTGCTGTTGTCATGTTGTTTTATTCATTGTTGAAGTGAAATATAGTGTTGTGTTTCCCATTAAGTGAAATATAGAGTTGTTGTGGTGTTATTTGTTGTTGACCAGTTCTGTATGCTGTTTTGAAAAGTTGTTTTAATGACACATTTTGTTTTTCTTATGGCTCCATGCTTTATCCAAACGCGCATGAGAATATATATATTGAAGAATGATTAGTTCTTTTCTACATGTGTTTCTAACATATGGTTTATTCTGACAGTTAAAGACAATGCTTATTTGAATATGGGTTTAAACTCTTTTCTCGACTTGGATGAGATAATGTTTTGCTAAATAACCAGCTAGCCCCGATGCCCCCTCCTGGTGGCAGTTTCAGGGTGAACTGATGAAGGATAATCGAGATAATCAATATAAGTTCCTGTTTCGACGCTGATTCTCCCAAACACACCCTCCTACCAACAGAGAAAGGAAGCCAGCTTTCAGGCGTCGGAGCAAGCTTTCCTTCGGACGTCAAAAATCTCTCCGGGTTGAATTTCTGAGGATGGTGCCAATGCCTTGGATCATTGTGAAGTGCCCAGTGGTTGATAATAACTGTTGTGGCCTTTGGAACATCGTACCCACCTGGAATGTGAAAGTGTTATATACGTCATTGAAACTTAATTGTTTATATTCCTGCCTTTCCTACTTGGTTGTTGACTGTTAAAACTTTAAAGTTTAGTAAAAATTGTGACAAAACATTCATTTATATGTTTGAACGTTAGTCCATAAGATAGGTCCAGTTGATTTTAATATTAAAACGTACAGATCGTGGAATCAACGCGAGCCGCATGTGCAATACCAAGAGGTGACACCGTAACAATTCTCATGATCTCAAGGAGGACAGCTTCTGTGTATGGAAGGGCCGCACGGTCTTTTATTGTTGGGAGACGATCTCGACCTTTACAGTAGTAAAAATAGAAATCCAGTATCAATATCATAAAAATCAATCTTCTGAACTTTACTCATATATTATATATTTAATCGAAACTGAATAGTTTTATGACTCTTTTTTTCTAATTTTATACTTGTCTATACAGATGTTATTTATTACTGTGTCATTAGTGCAATCTTCATTACTTTTTCCTTATTCACTTATATTCCAACATTAAGAGACAAATAACGTGTTAGATTATTGCTCCGTTTGTATGTTGGCGTAAGTTCTAGTGACAACCATCCTAATCCACAGAGATGAGAATAGCTGTGGTTGTTATCATAATCTGCGTAAAGAGTTATACTTTACAATCAGGCTTGATCAGTCTTGAGAAAATACAACATTCCTATGACTTCCTATCCTCACCTGGGCTTGTGTCTGTAATTACAAACCAAAATCCAAACTTCAACTGTTACCATTACATTATATATACCATGCTACATACCTACGACTGTATCTATCTCTGCCTGTGCTCGTTTCTGAATCTCTGGATGATCGGCTAAATATAGCAAACCCCAGGTCAAGGTGAAACGCGATGATTCAAATCCCGCTAGTGACAACAAAATATCGACATGCTGGTATTAGGAAAAGTAAGTAAAGAATAAAATTAATACTGTTATACCAATAGATTGTACTATCTAAAAGTTCAATAATCAAAACCAGAGATGCAATATTAAAAACAGCTTATCTATCTGCTTGTATTGAAAGATAATCATAATAATATATTAATGATTTTGCTACCAGTAGGTGTGAGCCTATCATCAAAGAAATCAGGAATGGCAATGTGATATATCGAATAGGACTAGCAAATAGGACTAATACAGGCAATATTTAAAGTGATTGTATGTAAAGCAGTTCAAATAATGATAAATAATACTGTTTATTTATAACTTTAAGAAAATAACTTATCAATTGTTTTATCAAAAATATTGTAATAGTGAAATCACCGAAGAAAATATCAGCAATGGTCTGTCGAAGATGCACATCCGTTAACTGACTTAACAGTTCAGCATCCTCATCATCCTCAGCTTCTTTTCGTGTCAAAATGACAAAATCTGTCAGATCCTTGATATCATCTAAACGTTGAGGATTTCAGAAATAAAGAAAATACCAACATGTTAATGGAATCACAGACCACTTAAAATCAATAAAACTAGGGTAAAATATAAAATAAAAAATGACCATCTCACATTTAAAATACATCGGCATTAGAATTAAATGGACAAATTACTGTATTGTCGATATATCACATTACTCTTAACGATTCTAGTATTAAATCTATTTGGACTTTAAGATAGTTTTGTTCCTTTGTATAAATCTGCCTGAGTGTCCGATAATACCACGCTATTTCTTGTACCGCCCATTGTTTTAGGTATTCATAGCGTATACAGACACCAAATTTGTACCGAAGTTCTTTATTTTCATATACATGTATTGATATTGCAAATCGTATATATAAGAAAACATTTACCTGCATCGAATACATCCACATGTTCCTGAAATTTGTCTGTAACAAACTGTATTAATTCTTTCAAATGCCCAATAACTTTTCGGAAGTGTTTGCTGGGCCAAATTTTGGCCAAAATTGGAATCACGTCTTCAGTCAAACCGAGTCCAAATTCTTTGATGAATTCATTGTCGACTTCGATAAAATGGTTGAATGTTTGATCGGTGAAACTGTATCTAAAAACAGCACATTGTCATTTTCATAAATGTCAATGCAGTATGCGTATTTTCATCTCTATTTTTCAAAACTTTCTACCCTCAAAGACGCTATTCATTCTTTCAGCGTTGTTAAAACACATTTATATAAATTCAGGCTCTCTGATTCACATAAGTAGACTTGACAGAAAACTATCTAATAGTCATATGATCAGGAATCAAAGGAAAAAAACAAACAAATTGTATAAAACGTATACGATATTAGATGTAAAAATACTTTTATATAAACTACCAGTATATGTTTAATGATAAAAATAACATTGTTTGACTGCATATTAATGACATGATGTTTAATTGAATAGATTCCAAACTTACACTTTGTTGAAACAGAGTCCACACATCAGGTTGAACAGGGCGTGGTCTACGTAAGCATGAGGAACGAAAGCCCGTCCTTCAGTGTCCATCAGAAGTGTAATAAACTCGTTCATGGAAGCATGGATAGCGGTCTCCTGCTTTTCACCCCGTAAGTACTTTCTGTGTAATGATGTGTATGGGTAAGAGTTATCTCTCATTGCTTAGGAAAAAATAAAATAAAAACAAAAAACCCCAAAGAATCCGACAATTCTTCAAAGGATCAGTGAAGAATATGACTTAATAAGCGTTACTTGCCATCAAAGATATATACTAACATGTTCGAATATTAAGCAGAGTAGTATTCTTATACATCCTTTGAATCCACACTAATGGTTGCAAAATTTTGTATCGACCTGAACCATGCCACAATTCGAATTAATCAAAACGTGGCATGCATATTGGACTCAGTGATTCTGAAAGTATCAATGTTGAAGCCTTAGATTCGTCTGAGGAAACTCCGCAGTAATCGAAAGAACAGTCAAACTCTAGATTTGGAGGCACAATAGCACCATAATTCAATGAATTTCATAATTGTCATATGTCGGATAATTCTAGAACAAAAAAAGTACGTGTGTATATTCTGAACCATGTCACTATTTGAAAGAATTCAAATATGACGAACATGTTATGGCAAACCTTTGGACAACAAAGTCCACCAGCTGTGTCAGCAAGGTTCCGTATGCTCCAATTTACGTAATATATCACTCAAATAAAACTTCTTGTCCGTTAATTATCTGCTGGTTTACAAACTAAACTCATTTGAAAAATAAGATGTCTCACGATGACTTCAAAATAACGCTACAGTATGACATTACGGTACATAGTGTACATGTTATATTTGTCACGCACCTGAGAGCTTTAGTGGCAATCCTACGATGGAGTTTCCACGTGGGAGTGTATTGTGATAAGAGAATATTCTTGCCTCCTTCACTAAGTTCCATTCCTATATTACGGAAACATGAATTATAGGTCGTTTAATTGCATACGTGATTAAAAGCAAAGTTACTGTCAGAAAGTTGCTTCCTTCAAATTCAGAACCACGGTACTCATACTGGCTAGTAAAATTATTTCGAACATTTTTTTAAGTTGTTTCACATTCATACATTAGAACATTCATCATTTTAAGCAGAAAGTTAGGTATATTTAGGTAAAGACTTGAAATTGACTTTGTTCACTTTGTTGACATGCAACTTGAAAATCGCGTTGCTGTTATTTAGTGCTTAACACTGACCAGAAACAGTCACAGGTCTGTCAGCAAAGTCCTCCCCCTTTGTAACCATGGCCTCTGTTACAGCTTCTATGGTATTCAAAACCACCATCTGCATAGGACCTGCAGTAACACATATAAAATATCATACATTATTTCTCATCTACCATGTTCAAATATCATACTATAAACTTGTTTGTATAATTATTTTACACTTATTAGAGAGAAAATGCCGTTTTGTTTATTTTGTCTCCGTTCAGAAAAGATGGATATCGTTTTTCGTTTAGTAGCCACCTACCACAGGGAATAAAGCATTTGGCTCTACTAAGAGATGAAATGTTCATAAACTGAATTGTTTATATGGATTAGAATTAAATATTACCAGACATATCTTACCAAACTGTATGGTGATGACGGGGCCATACTTATCAGACAATCGGGCACACGTCTCATGAAGCAAGGTGTCTCCCACTACTGTCCAAAACAAGAAATACAGTTTGCTGTATCTATCAAATAATGATGTTTACACACAGATCAATAAAAGGATATTGGTAAACAGAGTATTTTAGATGTAAGAGATACTTACGATTGTAATTTCCAACCAATGGCAAGGCTAGTGGTCCGGGTGGTAGGCGGTACCTTCTTCTTTTTATCAGCCAATAGGCAGCAAGACATGCACTAACGCCGACCAAAGAAGACGTCAAGCTGATATGGTTCCGTAAAAGTGAGAGTATGTCTTTAGCGTGACGTATGCCCTCACGTGCTTGTTCTTTCAACTGAGACATGTCTAACGTAGAAGTATTATGTGCCTGTAGTTCAAATATTGTTTTTTATCACCAGTTGTTGTTATGGGTCATTAAACAGCATATCAGTGCTTATGTTTTTATAACTGACCATTGATAAAGCTACCAGTATTCAAATACCAAACTCTCAAGTTTTATCAAAATATGCAATTCATTTCTGCGTCTTCTGTAGAATATTGAATATTTTTTCTTATATCTTATAATATTTTTGGATATGTTTTGACGAATCCTAATAAGTAAAAGATAAAAAAAGAAAACAAAATGGAAAAACAATACAACCATAGAAATTAAAGTTAGAACGCAATGTTGGGCGAAACTTTCACTTTTAGTATAAAACAATTTGGAATAGATCTTAGGGTAGCTAGGTGACGCGGTGCTAACGCACTAGCCTTGATTTCACTCAGAGTCCGAGGTTCGATCCCAAGAACGCACGTGACACGGTATTGATTCACCAACCTTACCACGTGGTATTCTCTTAACTCTTCCTACAGAATGACCCTCTCACCTGCACTTATTTTTAATTCACTGTACATATCGTATTTTATCAATGACATAGACTGGAAAATGCATGTATTACTACTAATATAGACACTTCTTATAAGTATGAGGTGCTAGGATAGTGTATAGTTGATTCCATCATCGAGTAATTTGTGTATCATCAACAATTTTCACTCATACGGAGAACAAAATATAAAAGGTTATCGAGGTTCTGGTCTAGAATATCTTCGTCGAGTGTGGTGGTAACGTCTTCCAGCAGCCTATTGGCATACCTATGTAAACTCACTGCGCCCCTCTGTTAGCTGACTTGTTTTTGTTTTCATACTAGGATGAATTAATCAACCTTCGTGAATTATGATTGGCATTTAAACACTATTACGATGTGCTGTATTACTCCACACGATCAATATTAGCATGCTAGGACATGCAGTAATACTGAATATTCCTTTGTCAAATATTTTTAAAAAAATTCTGTGAACTACTGCGTAATTGAATTATGTGTTAAAAAGCGACGTTAACCAACAATGCAAATAATAATAATAATGATAAAACCCCTACATCTTAGTATTGCTGTCTGCATTACACACTATACAACGAAATATCGAAAGTCCTGTATTCACGTCATGTATCGATTCTATACACACATTGTATGCCTTTGTCAAATCTTTTGAGAGAAATTTCTGTGAACTACTGCGCTACTGAATTCACATTCTGTGTTATAAAAGATAGGTAAACGAACCATGCAAATAATGATAACACTAATAATGATAACCCTACGTTTTAGTATTGCTGTGTGCATTACATAATATACAGCGAAATATCGAAAGTCCAGTAACCAGGTAATGTATCGATTGTATACTCACATTGTATGAAGTAATGTCAGAATATTTTCATAACATGTTTACACTGATATAGAGAGGGGGACGAATACTTACGTCAAAAATCCTAGTCAGAAGCACAGCTTGTCGAAAAACGTCAACAAAACTGAGTCAACCATGTGACACTTCCTGTTTCTTTAACCGTAATGTAAGGTCGGCCAGAAGAGCCCCTACCTCGTGATTTCAGCTGGTATATGCGTTGCACAGTTGCGTTCGACTTAATCTTTCTGCATTGAATAGTAAGGTACCTGGGTGTATTATAATGTATTGACATCTACCTGTATTCTGTTGTATAGCAAGTTATGTCTCCAGGTCGACGATTTAAAAAGTATACATGTATTTATCCATTGCAATATTTGAAACTGTACTGGTACTTCAAGGTTAAATCCTGATGATGTAAATATGTATCAGTACGGCCACAGAGTTATCAGAGGACATGTTTGGGGTATCAGTACGACTACTGAGATATAAGGGAACACAATCATGTTTGGGGTATCAGTACGACCACATAGTTATCAGTGGACACAGTCATGTTTGGGGCATCAGTGCGACCACAGAGTTACCAGGGGACACAATCATGTTGGGGGTATCAGTACGACCACAAAATTATTAGGGAACACAATAATGTTTTGGATGGCGAACAATTATGTATGCTTGTGAACGCTAAAACAAAATTAATTTCAACGTCATATTTTAATTAGAAAAAAAATCCAGCTCATTGTCTAAGATGTTTGTCACGCCCATCAAAATGTGAAAGTATTGTCAAATGATATTAACTGGTCAATCAGTTATGTTACAATGAACATTTTGGTAGAGTATGAAATGCAGAATAAAGTTACAGAGAAAAGAAAGGAATTGACATAGTATTGTTGTTCTGGAAAGGTAAGCGCCATGTAAACCGTGGCTGCCTGTTTTGTCGTCTGCAAACACACGATAGAGTACAGAGTTGTTATAGCTATCAATTATTGATTTTGTAAGGTAATGTTTGAATATTTCTGAAGGACTGTATTCAGCTTGTTTACATAACAATCATATTTGTTCATGCAATATGCATTGGGCATGTCTTCCCATATACTGTAATACTGGTACCCAGAGTGAAAACGTCCAGCAGACTAGTCAGACTAGGTTTAAGAAGGGCGAGCAGCGGATACACGCTACATTGTCATTATTACATGTGGTGTTTACAAGTTGCTGATCATTTGATACACAAGGGTTATTTTTTATCAATATTGCTGTATCCGTGATAAATGATGACATCAGACAGACTTGCAGTATGGAGTCTCGAGTTGTTTTACGATAGCCTGCCACTGAGAAATATCTCATTCCATTGCCCGATATGAAATTAGAGGTATAATATGTTGTTTTATTCATTTTAAGTTTCTCAAGGTTTTCTATGCATGCTGCATGTTGTATAAAAAGTAGTACATTATAATCAATCACCTGAATATAATCTCCACATAACGAGCAATGACTTTGGTACAATTTGGTAATTGCCATGTTTTATATCGGATATACAGTCAGATTATTTGTAATGTAATTTGAAATGTATTCGCGATACCCTCCTCAGATTTTTTCCTTGATGTAAAACTGAAATATTTCTTGATAAAGACTGTTATTTCATATTGAGCTGATTATTTTGGGAGAATTTATTATTTCAAATGTTCAACCTCTACGAGGGTGTGAAACCCTTGATTTCCCATGTATATACATTACATTCTAAGTTCACACGAACACTATATTTAATTAAAAATAGAAGTTTGGCTCAATGTTTACGCATAGATATATCATCTACATGTAATTTTTTCGAGTTTGATGAAGGTACCTATCTGATAATCAAACTGTGTAGTTGACGATAATTGAAACATTCGGCGATGTTGACGACACTCTAGCGATCTCTATTCATCGTCAATACTGTTTACTGACATTGCTGAAATGCAAGCATCCTACCGTCCATGTCGAGTTATAAAGTCATGTCAGGCAGATCGTATAACCAAGGATGGTTGTCATTTGTTTGTGATAAAAGAGTGATCATGCATTGTCTTTTTTATGAAACAGACAAGTTTATCCGCATTAGATACGAGACTCGAGAGCTTTGCATATGCTATTTATTGTTTAAAAGTTTGCCGGGTTTGTCGCTTCCTTAACAGCCACAGGTCAACATTCTTGTAATAGCTGGTGACTTCCTCACTAAGCATCCTTTAAGAGAGTATTCGTATACCAGGAATCCTCCTCTTGGGTTTGAGAACCGGTGCTTAACTACACTGTTGTAATGACAGTCAGTAACTAATATTGGCTACACGTATTACCTACAATATTTTACCCAATGATCAATTACATTTCAGTATAAACTATTAAATAGTCAATGAGATTAAGGCCGAAAGCGCGATTTTCATCTGAAGGAAGCTACAACCAGGAAACCGGTAAAGCACTACGTCTTAAACTGGACAAATTATAATTAAAACACTGATAGGTATATAATTTCGAAGCCAAAGTCATAGTAGAAACGCGTACGTTATACACTAAATGAACCTAACAACAAAAGAAATGCCAGTCTGAACCAAGACAATATATGAAAAAACCCGACCACTAAGAAGAAATATGGGATAATTCCAGCGCACGATGTAGTTAAAACCTTTTTTCAGCCACGATTTTGTATCTATTGGCTGTGTAACCAGCAATACCGCTATGCTCTGCCGAGAAATCAGCTACCACGCCTGGCGGCAGTTTGATGGAAAATTGGTGCAATATAATCGCAAGGATGATGATCAATTCCAGTTTGGCAGTCGACTCTCCGAGACAAACCCTTCTCCCTGCAGAAAATGGAAGCCAGCTTTCTGGTTTCCTTGCAAAGGTACCGTCAGGATTCAAAAACCGTTTGGGGTCAAACTTGGAGGGTTCTTTCCAGTGGCGAGGGTCGTTGTGTAGAGCCCAGTGGTTTAGGATGACAGTAGTATCCTTAGGTATGATGTATCCACCTGGAACAGATAAATAAAGGTGTACAGGTGTTATATTGACATTGTCATCAAAATTATTTAAGCGGTAATTATTTATTAATGTATATCAGTAGCAATTAAACACTAAAAAATACAATATATATATATATCAGCAAACTATTGACTATTTATCAAATTAAAAGTTTAATTGATATAGATTACAGAATTTGTAATTTCTTTCCGTACTTCGTAGATTACCAATAATGTCGTGACGCGTGAAATGCCGATTGAAATTCTGAAAAGAATGTCTTTCAATCATTGTTCACTTTTTCAGTCTTTAAATATTCAGTTCATTATCTAACAATTATATTCTGCATGATGTTTACCATCATCTTACCTTGGTCAAATGTAATAGCCAGTTCCGTAAAAAATCATCTTGAAGTGTTAACATTAAAAGTGTCATATAGTCCCCAGCTCCTTTTACCCTCATATTGTCTTGAAGTGTTAACATTAAAAGTGTCATGTAGTCGCCAGCTTCTTTTACCCTCATATTGTCTTGAAGTGTTACATTAAAAGTGTCATGTAGTCGCTAGCTTCTTTTAACCTCATATTGTCTTGAAGTGTTAACATTAAAGGTGTCATGTAGTCGCCAGCTTCTTTTACCCTCATATTGTCTTGAAGTGTTAACATTAAAAGTGTCATATAGTCGCCAGCTCCTTTTACCCTCATATTGTCTTGAAGTGTTACATTAAAAGTGTCATGTAGTCGCCAGCTTCTTTTACCCTCATATTGTCTTGAAGTGTTAACATTAAAAGTGTCATGTAGTCGCCAGCTTCTTTTACGCTTATATTGTCTTGAAGTGTTAACATTAAAAGTGTCATATAGTCGCCAGCTCCTTTTACCCTCATATTGTCTTGAAGTGTTAACATTAAAAGTGTCATGTAGTCGCCAGCTTCTTTTACTCTCACATTGTCTTGAAGTGTTAACATTAAAAGTGTCATGTAGTCGCCAGCTTCTTTTAACCTCATATTGTCTTGAAGTGTTAACATTAAAAGTGTCATGTAGTCGCCAGCTTCTTTTACCCTCACATTGTCTTGAAGTGTTAACATTAAAAGTGTCATGTAGTCGCCAGCTTCTTTTACCCTCACATTGTCTTGAAGTGTTAACATTAAAAGTGTCATGTAGTCGCCAGCTTCTTTTACCCTCACATTGTCTTGAAGTGTTAACATTAAAAGTGTCATATAGTCGCCAGCTTCTTTTAACCTCATATTGTCTTGAAGTGTTAACATTAAAAGTGTCATATAGTCTTGAAGTGTTAACATTAAAAGTGTCATGTAGTCTTCTTTTAACCTCATATTGTCTTGAAGTGTTAACATTAAAAGTGTCATATAGTCGCCAGCTTCTATTACCCTCATATTGTCTTGAAGTGTTAACATTAAAAGTGTCATGTAGTCGCCAGCTTCTTTTACCCTCATATTGTCTTGAAGTGTTAACATTAAAAGTGTCATGTAGTCGCCAGCTTCTTTTACCCTCATATTGTCTTGAAGTGTTAACATTAAAAGTGTCATGTAGTCGCCAGCTTCGCTAACAAGCATAATGAAAGGTTAATGTCAAGTGTCGTGCCGTTGTCAGTTTCGTTTACCATCTTCTTGAAGTGTTATTTGCGCAAGCTTTGTGTAATCGCAAACTTTTTTTACCAAATTCTTGAGGTGGTTATCTCAAAAGCTTCATATAATTGCCAGTTTCGTTTACTAGCATCCTATATAGTTAATATCAAACGTGTTGCGTTGTCGTCATTTCCGTCTACCATTAAGTGTTTATGTCAAAGGTGTCATGTAGGCGTCAGTTTCAAATTTCAGATGAGGTGTCGTCCCTTGACGACAAGTATACAGATTAGGAAGACGTTATGAAGAATAATGTTGATTATACCTTTATGTTTCCTACATGTACCGCTTCATGTACCAATAGAGATACCTACCTACAGAGGAGTCTACAACGGCAATGTGTGGCATTCCTAGTGGCGCCACAGAAGCGATCCTCATCACCTCATATAGTGTAGCCTCGGTGTAGGGTAAGGAGGGACGATCGTCTACCTCAGGAAGGCGGTTCCGACCTGTAAATAAAACATTTCTTATAATGACCTGAAAACGTATGTGGAAGGACCATACATGCGATTGACATAGAATATCGGTGGATGAGTACTTTTTACCTTGCCTCGCGTCCATTATCTTTCTCCAGTACTAACGTGCATACATACCGACCACTCTGTCCAGTTCCTCCTGTACTTTCCTCTGCACGTCCTGATTGTCTGCTATATATAGTAGAGCCCATTGGATTGTAAATCGTGACGTTTGAACGCCCGCTGTCAATGTTAAATATTGGACTCATCATACAAAACTATTTATATCACGGAAATAAAGCGATACAATGGCTCAGAACAGTAATTATCACAGTGTTTGCTGCGTTTATCGCCCCGTGAAGAGCAAGGGTCAATATATAGAAATCGGTGGCTGCCTCTCTGAACAACAAATGGGAGGCACGTCGCATGCCTTACAGAGCAATCAGGGTAAAAAGACTTGTTATAGGTAACACCCACGACAGCCCGGTCCATCGAAAGTCGAACCATGTACCAAAGATACGTTTATGACAAAGCCTTATCAGAGCAATATGATGAATAAAAAACAATTCGTATATCAAGTATTTTTTTTTTGATGATCTTGTTAGAACAATAAATAGAAGGTACTAGATAATGATTTCAAGAGAACAAAGGAGTTACCAATAAAAATGTCCGAAAGCGTTTGTCTTAAGTGAACATCTGTAAGTTGATTCAGAAGCTTGGGATCATCTTCCTTCTCGGCCTCTCTCCTCGCCAATATGAGACAATCAGCGAAATCCCGTATATTCCCTTCAATATACAAATAAAACAATATACTTATCAAATTGCATATGCTTTGATCCAGGAAGATCATACTGATACAAGCATATCTTACGTTTACTATTGTAAGTGACTGTAATAATCTCAAGACAAAGGATTCAATATTCAGTTGTGCTGTGACAGACATAATTGTCAGATATAGGGGAAAATGTACCACATACCTTCGTCAAAATCTCGTTTGTGTGCTTCTAGTTGTTCGTTTAAAAACTCGACAAGTTCACCGAACAACTTTGCAACATTCTTGTATCGTTGACTAGGCCAAACCTTTTCCAAAATAGGGTACAAATCTTCAATAAGGCCCATTCCAAGCTCTGCGACGAACTGATCGTCAACGCCTAGATAATACTTGAAGGTTGGGTCGTCGAACTGATATCTAAAACCATATGCGTTTATAGGTTGTCAAAACTTGAAACACAAGTTTAGCTTTTTGTCAACGAGGACTTTGCTGATGTTAGTAGAAAATGACTGCATTATATCGTAACCAGAATTATTTCTGGAACTATCTCAGTAACTTAGCATTTTCTAGAACTATCTCAATAACCAGCATTTTGTTCAGGCTCTATCTAAAACTTTTGTGTATATGTATATTTAACAATAAAACTGGTCCCTTGGTTCATCATGTTTTAAGGAACGATAAACACACTATAGACGTGTTCTTTGTGTTTACTTGTAAAATTAGTATAACGTATACATTCATTAACATTTTGTTGGAAAAAATAGTTCACAAATGATCTATTTTGTTGCCTTTTTACATACTAGAAATTACGTATTCATGAAAACATTAATCTTGACATAGGGTAATAGACACTTATAGGCGACTGTTCCGTGCACAAGAACATCTCAACTCGAGAGCATGGCTGGCCTATATAAGTTCAATAAAGAGCTACCATCGGCACTGCATATATAAGGAAATAAAACCATAAAACCAAGTCAGAGAAAAATAAACCATAATGTTCTTAATGCCTGTTAAAATGTCATATCCGAATACATAGTAAAACGTTAATGAACAAATATTCTTACACTTTCTGGAAGCAAAATCCGCACATTATATTGTAGATGGATAAGCCTATAAACTCATGAGGTGTGAAAGGTTTCCCATTTGTCCCTTCCACCAGCTTTAGAAACTGTCCCATAGCCTTCTCTAATACCGTCTGGAGTCGAGGTCCTTTTAGGTAATTTCTGTGAACCAAAATTACCTGTATTTCAACATGATGTTAAAGATTTTGACATTGCTAAACATCCACAGCTTCAAATATGTCTATCCATATGAAAAATTAATCATTACGAACGGAATCAAAGTCTACATGCAATATTGAAACAAATCAAAACATATATCCTCAAAGGAACAATGTTCTCAGGTTTTATTTACACTAGATAAACGTGTAGTTATATATAACTATATACAACGTTAATAACAGACTAAAATAGAAAAAGTGTAAACATAAGGATGTTACTTGTGCCGATTTGCACTTTTCACTTTTAGCATGTTGAAGTTCGAATGAAACATGTCTTTCGGAAAAGGAAGACAAAGTGGTCGTCATTTAAAATGTATTATATTTTCTAATGTATTCTGACCTATTTAAAAGTTATTTCGGTGAAACTGACTAAATGGCTTACTTACTACATGACTGTACTAACCTATATAAAAGATATTTCAGTGGTACTGACTGAATGGCTTACTTACTGAATGGGTGTACTGACCTATATAAAAGATATTTCAGTGGTACTGACTGAATGGCTTACTTACTGAATGGGTGTACTGACCTATATAAAAGATATTTCAGTGCAACTGGCTAAATGGCTTACTCACTGAATGGGTGTACTGACCTATATAAAAGATATTTCAGTGGTACTGACTGAATGGCTTACTCACTGAATGGGTGTACTGACCTATATAAAAGATATTTCAGTGCAACTGGCTAAATGGTTTACTCACTGAATGGGTGTACTGACCTATATAAAAGATATTTCGGTGAAACTGGCTAAATGGCTTACTTACTGAATGGGTGTACTGACCTATATAAAAGATATTTCGGTGAAACTGGCTAAATGGCTTACTTACTGAATGGGTGTACTGACCTATATAAAAGATATTTCGGTGAAACTGGCTAAATGGTTTACTCACTGAATGGGTGTACTGACCTATATAAAAGATATTTCGGTGAAACTGGCTAAATGGCTTACTCACTGAATGGGTGCACTGACCTATATAAAAGATATTTCAGTGGTACTGGCTGAATGGCTTACTTACTACATGACTTACTAACCTATATAAAAGATATTGAAGTGAAACTGACTGATTGGCTTACTCACTGAATGGCTGATCCTGCTATTTTGCGATGGAGTTTCCATGTTGGTGTATACTGGGCCATTAATATATCTTTTCCACCTTCACTCAGCGCCATTCCTTTGTTAATAAACATCATAATATGATAGGTCACTACCCATTATCACACCTTGTTTAACACGGACTCACACAATAAGAGTTTTCTAATTAAATGACGCGACAATATTATTGATTCATGAGTAACCACTCAATAATTTTGAGAGTAAAAGGTAACTTATTTCCTCTCCATTACGTAAGGGATACACAAGACATCCCTCTACATGACAATGAACAGTGTTCCTAATACATGATTTTAGGAAAAAAATAAATAACAATGCTGTTTACTACTATAGTTATTTAGACAAAGACATTCGATATATCATATTGATAATATTTTCTTGTATACAAGATAAAAATAATAGAAAAAAAAAAAAAAAACAAACAAATAAACAAAAAAATCCATATGATTACTCATCCTGGTTGTGATTGTGAACATACCCGACGGGACTGGAGGTCTTCCAGCGAAGTCTGCACGTCTTTTGACCAGAGCCTCCAACACAGTTTCTATAGTGTTCAGAATGACGACTTTTGAAGGACCTGGAAGTAAATCACATAGGTTTTAGATATTGAATGCTTGAAAGTTTAAACCGAACGCAAAACCAGACAGTAAAAAAGAATGAACTGTGTTTTTCTTTGATTTCTGCGCATTAGCTCAACACTTACCAAACTGTACTGTGACTACCGGTCCGTACTTATCAGAAAGCTTTGCACAAGCCTCGTGTATTTTCGGGTCTACTAAGACTGAAACAGAGATCGATATGAAATGTTTGTGAGGATGAAATATTGGGATGTCTACATTTCATGACTAAACATCGCAAGCTCTTAATAAACTGTACGAATATATATCAAAACAAATATATAAAAAATGAATTCGATACGGCAAAATAAATAAGGACTAAAACTGCATCATACAACTTTTTATAGAATTGGTCAGTGATGCTATGGGCTCTGGTATCTCCTGTGTTGTCTTTTCTTTGAATATGTAATAAACGTTAATTATGCGTATCATTTATTTGGTGTAACTGGTCCAATAAGAAATCATAACTCACAATCACAATACAATCACAATATTAACAAGAGTGCGGTAGAATTGTGGAAAATGTATCAGGATTAATGAACAGGATATTTCATGAAAAAGTACCAGGATTAATGAACAGGATATTTCATGAAAAAGTACCAGGATTAATGAACAGGATATTTCATGAAAAAGTACCAAGATTAATGAGCAGAATATTCCATTAAAAAGTACTAAGATTAATGAACAGTATATTCCATTAAAAAGTACCAGGATTAATGAACAGGATATTCCAGAGGGTCAATGACTTCCGGTTTATCTACAAGTACCTGACATATATATCCCTGTTCAATTAATGGCATGAAAAGGATTCGTGTGTACGTTTTCATGTTGCACCAGAACCTTTCTGTGCGGATGCTGTATAATACATACGTTTATAGTGACCAATAATTGGAAGAGCCGCGGGGCCTGGTGGGTACTTAGGCCTGGTGAGGAACCTATGTATTACGAGTGCCACTAGGAAGAAGAGGATGACAGAGGTTAAAGTGACATTCGTCATAATGTTGTCCATCATGCTACTCAGTCCTGTCGGCAGGATTTGTCTCAAGGAATCCATCGGTCAGCTTGTCTTGGCTTCCGACCTGTAAGAGGCATTCATAGTGGTACAAATGATCACAAATCTATCTTTATAGATCTGGAATGTATCAATACATAGAAAATATGTCTTTATAAGGTATTCCATATTTTCGCCATATCTATTTAGCAACAATAGGCATTTGGAAAAACTATTATGGGTAACAAAATTCTTCTCATGTTCCACAAGGTGTAAAGCAGCTTTGATATTTCATACATATGAAACTCTGGTAACTGTCCATCAAGTTTGGTGGTATAAATGACCTTGGCCTATTTTCAATATCATTGGATACAATTCTTTAGATTTAAATAGCATTTCTCAATAGTCAACATCCACACGTTGCTGAAATTTGTCAATAGCATGCTGTGATTAATTGCTTTTGAAAGGATATATAAAATCATGTCTGAAAATTCACTTCAGGTTCTTGAAAGGGGTCACCATTGAAAATTACTATTTCGGGTAACAAACGTTGGTCTTCAAGGTCAATAGCCTTGATATTACATATGTAAGATGTCCCAGTCGTTATTTATCAGGTTTGATGATATGACTCTGACTCGCTTTCAAGGTCACAGGGGTAAATTTTGTTCAAATCATTCATTGCTTCTTTTCAAGGTACAGGATGACGGTGTCTGATCACTTGGATATCGCGTGCGATTACCAATGTTAGTGGTAAGAAAACATTGTTGCAGATGTCAACTTCCAGTTTTAAGAAGAAGGTCACATTTAGAAAGTTCTTTTCTGGGTAACAGAAATAAATAATCTGAGATCATACAGTCTGTCTGTCCGTATGTATGTCTGTCATTCTGTCTGTCTGTCTTTCAACTTTAAAATGTTTGTAAATGTCTGTGTGTTTACTTGTTTGTGTGATGATCACGATGACAATGATAAATGCATGATCTGATTGTGATAATTATGACATATATGACTGTGATAATTATGACATATATGATGATATGATTGTGATAATTATGACATATATGACTGTGATAATTATGACATATAAGATGATATGACTGTGATAATTATGACATATATGATGATATGATTATGATAATCAGGACATACATGATGATATGATTGTGATAATTATAAAATGTTGAAAATGGAAAATTAAATAAAATTACGGCTTTTTTCTTCATGATTTTTCAATATTTCCTATTTTACTTTGATCAAATCATCGAAAAAAACTTTATTTGCATCGATATATGATATTTAATATCGATACACTAATTCATGATATTGTGTGATCATTTTATATTATTCCATCCTTGTTAAATATAAAGAAGTAAATGGTACCTACCTATAGTGAACTGCTCCTTTGTTGGTCCTGACTATTATACTAGGCAACACATATATCAGGGGGACTTATCAACTGGTTTTTTTCTCGCGACCTTTGTTATCACCGACATCATAAGTATGGAGAGTACGTCGGAGCGTCGGGTATTTTTGCATAGTCAGTATGTTACTAATCTCAAAACTAAACAGATCAAATTAAAACATTGTTTAAATTGATTAAAACTATCGTGTCTGAAAATTATCAAACATGACTTTTTGATAAAATAAAGTGTCTTGGCCAATGTTTGTTGAACGGCCGTTAAGTCTTCGTCATCGTGATCAGCGTATCTGACTATGCGGAACCTGTATACCATTTTGTGAAATAATTGGTCGATGTGACCAGACCCCACTGTTCATCTATCAATTTTCCATACTGACGTTTAACCTTTGGGTAACATTTTCGCGGACACATTAAAAAGTATAATGACTATAATTTACTTTAGTACAGCGTTTGGGAGCATTTTCTCTTCCCACTGAAGGTTACGACGACTTAAAATGCTTAGCGTTGTATTCAGTCTTGTGTATCTCTTGACTTTCCAAAAAATGAAACTTAAAGCCCCAATATACGTAACATTCACCAAAATTTAGTGTAGAATCACATATAATTATTGAGATATTCTCTAAGATGTAGTTAAAATTAAGTTATTCAAACAATAGTTACCATGACTTTCTGCACAAAGTATTGATATATGAGCAGTTGAAACTCGCTATTTGTAAACACACCTCCATTTTAAACACACCGCCATCGAAATTACGATTGTTGCCGAACCACGTCGAAAAGTTCGTCACCTGATCTTGCGAGAGTTGAGGTTTCTACTTATAGAGGAAGCACATGCAGATATGTCTACGGTAAGTTTTTGTTTACAAACATTGTTTGCGAAGTCTTGTCGTAAACATAAGGTATTCCTGTGATAAACATTCAGTTTTGGGAAATTATTAGAAGGAATAATTAGTTTAGAAACGATACGACGCACAATTATAACGTAAGAATTCAGAACTGGCCTGATGTATGATTGAAAAAAAAGGAAGCGACTGGTGAACGTCTATACTGTGTCTGCCATGTTTACACACACGGAATATGCGCATGCGCAATGTCATCGCTACGAGCGGTAATGTATGAATTATTGTGGGTCCCACATTGTTTATTTTCCGATTTTTTCAATTTTTATTTAAATTGAAAACAGTCAGTTTTATTTTCTATAATTAAAGGAAAGTATTTGTTTTGTTACATATATTACGGGGAAAATAAGATAAAGTTTGTTTTTTTATAGTGATTTTTACGTATATTGGGGCTTTAAGGAGATATATAAAATCTAATCGTAGTAACCGTGTCATTAATCCGGATTATTTGCGAACAATCTGAAAAATTCTACTCCAGATGAAGTATCGAAATCTACCAGCACGACAGAAGTTACGAACATTCTGCTTCAAATAATTTTGATGCAAAGCGTCAGATAATGTTGCTTATTAGTTCAATAAAATACACATCTAAAACTGCATATCAAACCAGTTGTATATATATATATATATATCGAATAGTGCCGTTACAAAATTTTTTAACCTTTCGAAACAACAAAAAGATACCAACATGTCAACCTAATCATAAACCAAACTCAATTTCGATAAGAGGCAAACATATCAACATAGGGACCCCTGAAAAAACATACAAGAAGTTCCGGAAGGTTAAGCGTTTTGAGGACATCTACCATGTAAGCTTTTGTCAATCCAAGTAAGTAATGTCAGGATCTCAAACGAGGACAAGTATAACAAGCAATCGTAGACAGAGATTAGACTCTTGCGGACGTGGTGATGTATAATATCGTTATAGCGCACATCGGCACACAGTACATTCGAATACGACCGTCACTGCTATCAATGTGGTGAGTTGCGCATTTCTCCATCACTATGTTAGGCGCAAAACTTTGTAATGTTGAAGCAAAATTGTTTGGATGGCGATTTTGAAGTTTACAGGATGTCCTTGGCATATCAAAATCACTAACGTACCGTTCTCTTAAATTACCACGACATAAAACTTCACATGAAACACACTTTGAATGGCTTTTCTCGATTAAGGTGTAACATCATATACACACCACGCTTTTATATCATTGTAAGAACAATATCATTGAAATGACACAAGGTAGTATTAGTATTAAAATCTGTCAATCTCATATCAACAAAATGTTATGCATACCGCTAGATGATGATGATGGTGGTGGTGGTGGTGGTGGTTCGGGATTATCATGCGTTTAAGACGAACAATAATGACCTTGTGAATGAATGTGTTAACAATCACAAATAAATACCTGTGCGAGTATGTTTATGTAGGGTAATGTCATATATGTTATAATAAAAGTGCCTTCTTCACATATTCGTCTTAGAACTTTCCTTCCAAACCTGATTTTGTAGTATTTTCTTGTCACAATAGGATGTATCTTTATTGCATAATCTTTATCCAATTACGATATGATGAGATGAATGTGTCTTGATGTACGATCATCTGTTAAATGCACAATTTTAGGACAATAAAATTGCTTGAAATTCATGTTCGCCATAGTGTTTTCATTCAGAAATATTTTATCTCTTTGTGCGATATGAATATGGATATGTCAGTTTGCCTGTTGGTTCCGTTGTTGTAAACCTTGTTATTATTTTAGAACGTGACATTACTTACATGTATTAACCAAGATTTACATGGTAGGTGTCTTCGATGAAACAGAAGACGTTTACTCTTCCGGAGCGCCTGGCATTTTTCTCCCGATACTTTTTCTGGGGTCTCTATGTAAATCTTTCTTTTGTTCATATTTCGCCTAGTTTTATGGAATTTGAATTTGGGTTATGACTATGTTGACATGTTGGGTGTTCAAAATTGAACAAGGATACTTTTATTATCAAACAGAATTATAACGAATTGAACAACACAAAATGGCAATAATCCCTGCTGGTTGTTGTGGACTTCCATACGTGTAGCTCGCTAAGTTAAGCTAATATACCAGATTAATGCAAACAAGTCAATGACAGTCTTCAATCAATTTTAGAATTATTTATAGCATAGACAAATAATGCGTGTTAACAGCATTCTAACGTACAACTTTAAACTTACAGTAGAGCAAAACCAGAAATAAAACTACATGTACATCACACAGCTGTTTCGTCCTTCCAGGGCCTAAAATTTGAAGACTCGGGGCGATTGAGGAAAATCTAAAGTATTCGAAAGAAATGCCAAAATTCTACTGCATTAACGTTATTATTTGGGAACGTGACACTACTTTATTGGATTGACAAAAAAATATTTGGTGGTGTCGTCGATGAAGCAAAAGACTTTTTATCCTTCCTCACACCTGAACGTATTCTCCTTGCACTTTTTCAGGAGTCTTCCTTTCAATTTATTTGGTCATATTATACTTTACCTGCTATATTCTACAACGAAATTTGAGTTTCAGTTCAGATTCTGATGACCTACCGGTATCTTCGCAGTTGTTTTTGTATGTAGAATTAACTTTTAAAAATTCAAATATCGCACAAATGTAGTTATAGTTTATAGTCTTTATCTACGTTCATTATAGTGCTGTTTTAACCACACTATATTAGCTGGCCATTTAACACTAGGTGTGAAGTCTAATGTCCTTTGATTAAAGTCATATGGGTACATGTTGTGTCTGCTCATGAACAACTGGATTGTCGTGGCAGTGCCGGGCTGTTTACTGTATGTCCACTCCATTATAACGGCTTGTACGTCAACTTTGTGGAAGAATTCATCAGCACCATTAAGTACGTGGTCTTCATATCCTTCCACATCCAGTTTGATGACGACCTTGGTAAGAGGATTGGAGGACAGCAATGATAGCAGGTCATCCAGCAGGGCAGTGTTAACTAGTTCACGGTATTGTCCAATTAGAGTTACGTCTGATCCATTTCGTTTGTTTGGATTATTATTTAAAACAAACGTACCACCAACATTATCCTGATCGCGCCCCAGTGCGACCCGTTCATGAATGTCTGACACAGCATTGAACACTATTGTGGTATCACTTGGGAACTGACCCGCACGAAATGATGAACATAATCGTTGAACATTATCTATTAATGGTTCCACCGACACTACTCGGCGACCGAGTTTAGCTACTTCTAATGATATGACTCCTATATTGGCACCAATATCAAGAAATTGAAGATCTTTGTCGGCCTGAAGATAAAATACCACTGCTAAAGCGACCTCCTGTTCAAAGGTCCCTGATAACAACACAGTTTGTGAAATATATTTATCTACTCCTGGTTCATGGATGAAGATAGGAGTGTCCCCGGAGAATGTTCGTAGCGTTCCTTGTCGGAATCGCGGGAGATTTTCACAAACAGTTTTATTTTCTTTCCAGGTATGGCCATTCCAGCTATAAACAGCTCTGTTCAGATCACGTAATTGTATCGAATTACTTTCGTTGACTGTAGTTTTTAGATGATTTCCACTGTCAGCTGTTGTACTGTATATATTTAGCGCTGCCTTTTCATATGGGTTTGACACTGTAACGGGGCGAATACCCATATGCATTTTTTCATGTGAAGTTCTCGTTTGGGATTCTTTTGTTTCCATCACCATTGCACTCGATGTCTCGTCCTTGTTGACTGGGGGTCTACAGATGCCGAAGTATATGTAAAGTACACAGCCGATATTGAATGAGATTGAAATCATCACAAATGTACTGTGTCTTGTTTTCATGGCTCGCACAACGGTTTTCGTTGATATTTTCGCTTTTTACCTACAAGTAGTCAATAAATTATCATATAGTAACTGTAATGATACGAATGTACTTTATTAATAACTATTTTTAGTGAAATATTAATGACGTAATGGAAACAAAGCAAGGTTTAATCGAAAGATTTGCATTGTTGGATGTTCCAAATAGAGCTCATCAAATTATTGAAATAGAATAAGATCACCATACAGGGTGATATTTGTGTTTCATGAAAATTTCATCATAAGACAATTAATTTGAAAACAATATGATAAATCAAAGCTTCATTATAGAAAGTATTATACAAAACAGCTTCCTTATAGAAAACATAATACACAACAGCTTTATTATAGAAAACATAATACACAACAGCTTTATTATAGAAAATATTATACACAACAGCTTTATTATTATACACAACAGCTTTATTATAGAAAAATAATACACAAAAGCCTCATTATAGAAAACATAATACACAACAGCTTCATTATAGAAAATATTATACACAACAGCTTCATTATAGAAAATATTATACACAACAGCCTCATTATAGAAAACATAATACACAACAGCCTCATTATAGAAAACATAATACACAACAGCTTTATTATAGAAAATATTATACACAACAGCTTCATTATAGAAAACATAATACACAACAGCTTTATTATAGAAAACATAATACACAACAGCTTTATTATAGAAAATATTATACACAACAGCTTTATTATAGAAAATATTATACACAACAGCCTCATTATAGAAAACATAATACACAACAGCCTCATTATAGAAAACATAATACACAACAGCTTCGTTATAGAAAACATAATACACAACAGCCTCATTATACAAAAAATATTATACACAACAGCTTTATTATAGAAAACATAATACACAACAGCTTTATTATAGAAAACATAATACACAACAGATTTATTATAGAAAATATTATACACAACAGCTTTATTATAGAAAACATAATACACAACAGCTTTATTATAGAAAACATAATACACAGCAGCCTCATTATAGAAAACATAATACATAACAGCCTCATTATACACAAACATAATGCACAACAGCTTCATAAAAAAAAAAAAACAAACAAAACAAAACAAATACACAAAAGCTTCATCACAGAAAACATAATACACAACGACAAAGTTTCCAACTGAAGTAGACAGGTGAACGCAGTACGGCTACGATGGCATAGATCTATGTATAAGTTAATCGGTTATTTGTAATGGCAGTCAATGAACAAAACAGATATATTTCTACTTTCTCATGTTCTTGTTTAGTCATGCAATAAAACAATATAATCAACTACAGTTGTAATCACTTCGTTCTGTCATGCATACACCCTTACTTTCAAAGCATGTATCGATGATATAGTTTACGGAATGTCAATACAACGAAAATAAAAACTGGTCTTGATATGTTACTAGAAACGAGGTGTGACGATCATATTAACTAGACTTTACTATGCACATAAGAAAAAGTCTACACAGGAAAGAGTTTACCTGTAGAAAACTTTATACAAGCGTTAGACCTAACAAATCACGCACAGGTATATATACTCTATCAAGGAAAAATGCTTTCAGCACTACATGGTTGAAGCACTAAATCTAGAAAAGTATCCGATTACAGTCCTTCATTAAACAAGCACTAACATAGGTTCTCTGGAAATCGTGGAGATAAGATTTCGTCATAAAGTATGTATTGGTTTGACGGTTTCGTTCCACACGTTCCTAAAGATGTACACAACCAACCTCAATGTTTTCATCTCTTGTGTAAAACTTGTTTAACGTACAAGTATAGGTTATTCACTGCTACACGATAATGACGCTAATTAAGAAGCCAACGTTTAATAGGATGATTAAAATGGTAATTAATCGCGAGAGACCAAGTGTTGTATAGACCGACACGCCGTAATTAGTCATGTGTTACGTACAGATGACATTCCACTTTGTGAATGTAATGACCTATATCTTCAGAAGACGTACCGACAAAAATTAATTTCGAGACATTTTCCAGATGACATTTCTCTTCTTTTACAATTGAAGGTGCTGAAAAACCACTTTGACTCAAACGATATCTCGACACAAAATTCGGGTCATCAGAACTAAAATTAAAACAATGAAGAAAGAAAACAATTGGGACTGAATTTCGATTTAAACGGAATTTCTACTCAAACGATTTCTAGACAATACATTTATATATGTATATATATATATATATATATATATATATATAGAGAGAGAGAGAGAGAGAGAGAGAGAGAGAGAGAGAGAGAGAGAGAGAGAGAGAGAGAGAGAGAGAGAGAGAGATTCAGCCGTTCTGTGTTTACTATAACACCTATGTCAATACAATTTCTCTGTTGTGTTGCACCTCATATTTGTCCTTTAGCAGCCTTAAATGTACGAGGTAATTAAGCAGCAGTGTGACATACTGTCTAAATGAAGGAGAATTTGCTGTAAAGATACAACTATAAAACTATGTCCTTGTATGTAGCTAGCCAAATAAATAAACAAATATATACTTGATTATCCGATTGCGACCTTGAAACTGTAGAGCTGCCTCTTCAGTGTTTGGTAACTATCATTATCAGGCATAAAAACTGCCCGTTAAGATCATCATGAACTGGGATGTTTTTGTAAGGTTGGCTACCGAATAACACTGGAGTTGAAAAACAGCTTAAGTCTTAATTAGGTCCCCGCCCAAAGATTGTACAAAAGACAGAAAAGTGATTTGGACCATTCAATACAAATTGAAAGCTTAAGAACTAAACCTAACGGCTGTTTCACACTACTATGACTCGCAAATGAAGATCTGTAGTTTAAAAACCTTTCTTTAGGAGGCGATAGCTGATTATTAAACCATAGTAGACCGAAATGACAAAATTCAGAAAGAGGGCTAGATTAACCACACAAAATTATAGATTTCAGAAAGTTTGGTATTGCAAAATTGCGAACGAAAGTTAATTTCGATTTATCAAAACGTGTCATGCAATTCATGTCAAACATCATGGACTTAAGTTCTTGATCAATCTAGAAGATTGTAAAAAGGACAAATAAAGTGATTTGCCCATCTCAATACAAATTCAACATTGCATACATTATAGCTAAATAATGAATGAAACTAGTTAGTGCTGATCTGTGTGCTATTAAACACACGTGGGAGTGTAAAAATATTCATATCTTATATAAGCTGTAATCAAAAGTAATTAGTGTGATAAAGACCTCTTATACACATATTCCGACGTAACTTCCGACGAATATTAGTTAAAGAAAATGATATGATGAACACATATACATTTTGTGTATTACCGTCTAAATTTAAATATAATTATAAAAGAAAAACAAACATGCGTAGATTGAATGTCTATTTTTATATTTTTATTTGTACCTGTAATCACCTAAATATGGCCGCAGGGCATGGAAATGTTAGGTATACATTTGTCCTGTTGACTTTATCATTTATTTAAACATGTATATACTACGTGCTAGTAATTTTAACTAAAATATGAATTCTTTCAAGAAATATGAGAACATGACAGTACACGTGTTCAGACGGCAGTCTACGAAATTACGCCACCTTAAGCGGCGTATTCAAACTTATGGAAACAGAAGTGTTAAAACCACGGTACAATATTGAGTCTGTTCAACTTACCTACATTATCATCCAACCCCTCCCAAACCACTGATTTGAGGCTATTCAGGAGCACATAGAATATCCATATACACTCAGAATTTGAGGACAGCTTTGCTTTAACGCGTATATATTTTTCTCAAATCCTTTCTTCTACTCTGGGTGAAGGTGCCAATGGCCCATAAAGAATCTTTCATTTGGGCTGCATTGTATTGCCAATAACTCCAGAACAGTCAGGATGAGTCAATTACCGTGTTCACCTTAAACAAAGTAATAGGTCTAGTAGTCCATATTACATTACGTGATCCGCTCAATCGCCACAATGATATATGACGTTATGTCCTCATTCACTATTACGTTCAAGTCATGTGCCACAGGGTTCATCGAGCATGAAATATAGTTTTACTGACACTTTTAAAATACTGCAGTAAAACGTTTCTTCTTAGAATATGTTACAAACCGTCTGCATGAAGTCAGCAGTTAATCATGGTAAATCAAGAGCACGTACAATACAAAACTCACTATTAATAACAATGTGACATACAGACTGCCAGACAAACGACGAAACTGAGTGACACAAAACAGACAGACATACACACAGTTGTCGAGTCCTCTAGCTAGGTGATATGTAGGTGTATATATATATATATAATTCAAAAGATAGAATTATCATGGTAAATATATATAGGATCTAACGTTCTTTATTTTTGTTTTTTGTTTGTATTATTTTTCTTTCTTTCCTGTTTTGTGTTTTTTTTTCATTTCTCACAATATGGCCATGTCTCGAACATACACGTATAAAGATTACAAAATTGATGAAAGAATTTAGCCCCATTACCACCTATTCACAAGATTATAATATAAAAAAAAACTACTCTTCAGCATGTATCTACATTCATTCACTGCTTGTCGGTCAGAATTATATAGAAAGAGAGGCGACGATTGGACGATGACCTCTGTAAAAGTGCCTCTTTTCCCAATTCTTTATTCTAAGTTTATTAGTAACACACAGCTTACTTCTAACAAAGCAATAACACACATGAGAACTATCTGTACCCTCCGTTTTCTGACATGTTTTTGTTTTCATACGCGATATCTATCGCGGAGAGAAGAACAGGTCACAAAGACCTCGCGAAATAATTTTTCTACTTCACTTACAGATATATCAATGATATCTAGTCTTTCTTAAATTTACACGAAATTCATCGACAACGTCCATCGTATATATCTACCAGTTTTGTGAATAA